TGACTGAAGGCTCATAGGAGGTACTTTAAAAGTTAGACAGTGCGAGTGTGGTCTTATGAATGAGAGTGTGAATGACAAGCCTGTATATTTTGTTAGAAAACGAATTGGAAGTTAAAACGTCTGTGGCTGTCCAAACTGTGTAATTTGGGGATAACTGTTGGGTTCGTGATTGTTTAAACCATATAACCCATCAATAACAATTGGGAACATAAAGCTAAAGTGATTAATTGTGTGACTGAACTGGTTTTGAATAGTTGTGTTGAAACAATTTGGTTTATTATTTGATTCAGTGTTTGATGTTTGACATAGCATAATACTGGTTTTAGGTGCTTGGGTTGAGGCTTCTTTTTTGTTGATTATTTGATGTAATGTTTGACCCTGCAAAATACTGGTTAAACAATTAGACTGAAATAATTCGGTTTATCATTTAAATATAAACATGCACCAACTTTAACTAATTAGGTGGGAATAATTTGATTTAAATAACTAGATGAAAGTACTTTAAATAACCACAGAATATTGGAAACACTAACACAGCTCCTCGAAGGAACCTGCTCCCAGAGGAGAGGGAGAGAGAGTTGCGAGGGGAGGGGCTGGAGACAGCGAGAGTGTGGCTTTTGGAGAGTCAGGAGAGAGAGAGAAGGGGGGTGATTTAGATTGATACAAACAATTATTGATGGGTTAGGACTGGGGATATCTGTATCATTTATATTTGCATTTTTGGTTATTTAGTTAAATAAAGTGGTCTAATGGTATTACTATTACCCATTTGGTTTTAACCTAAAAATATTAGACCTTTAACATTGAAAGCACTTTTTATACAAAATATTGGAGTCAGTAAGGTTTTTAAATTACAATTAAGAATAAATAATAAAGTTCTTAAAACAAAAGTATAGATACAACAACATTGGCAAAAATGACAGATAAAGTAATTAAAGTGTTGAAATCCACCCACGAGATAAATGGGGGAAAAGACGGGAGGGAAGGCAAGAGGAAGGAGGAAGACGAACTAAAGCAGCTACAGAAGAAAGTTTTGAAAAAACAACTGGCTGAAGACAAACCAGGCAAACAGATGGTTGTGACCAGCACCCCGAATATGCAGAATGTGCAGAGTATTGATCCAGTTGCCGCCGCAGCAGCTGCAGTGGTACAGGCGCTAACTGGAATGGTGGGACCCCAGATGATGGCTCCTGTGGGGCCAAATGGGTATTTCTTTGTCGGGATGTACACAGAACCAGATTTACCCCAACATCCTGGCTACGTACCTCATCACAGGAGGTGTTTCAACTGTGGCAAGAACGGACACATGGCTAGAGACTGTTGGTCACAACCCTCAAACTTCAAACGACCAAGAGGACGAGGTTATGGAGGACAGCAAGAAGGGGGTGGGCCCAGATACCCAGGTCAAAGGCCAACCTGGCAAGGCGCCCAACAATTCCAACCACAACCAGCACCCCAATATCCTGAAGGGTCAAATATCCAGCCACAGCAACTACCCAACCCTGAAATGCTGCCAAGTATGTCATGGATGGGAATGCAACACCCCAACCAGGACCCCCAATGAAGCTGCCAAGAAACCCAATCTAACCACACCACCAACATCTACTCATTTCCACCAGGGTTAGAACCGGTAGTGTTATGTTTAATTGGAGGAAGCTATTGGTTGTTGTTTTTCAAATTGGGTTTTTCAAACAAAAAAAACAACACACCTAGTATGATGTTTATAAAGCCTTATTGTTTCAATTTTGGGGGGTTTCAGCAGGTCAAGGGTGATAGGTCTTAGAGGAGGACACAGTGAATTTTATGGAGTTTTTTAGCTTTTGGCTGAGTTTGGGGTATATATGATTTCTTATGAGAATGAATGTCATGAGGATTTAATGAACACTTGGGATAGCTAACATTTATGAAGTATTTAGAATAATGGTAATGTTTAGTATACTATGGGATTAAACAGTTCGTTAAATGATTTCAATTGCCTCTGAACTCTGTTTTAACATTCTGGTGTTATTTTAATCATCCACACTAGTAAATTCTAAAGGCATGAGAGGAGGACTTTAAGATAGTTTATTTTACTAAGTTGAGGGTAATTTATAGTACTGTGAAAATTGTGAAGAAGATTATAATTTGGTAATAATATATTTGATTTGAACCATAAAATAACAGAAGAGAGAGTGGAGGAATGGCAATCGGATAATGAATTACCAATATTAACTAAAGTGATTGTTTAGATAGGTGGTAATATTGACACATGGCCAAATCATGTGTCAAAAAGGGGGATGGTTGGATTAAATATTAAATATATACGAAGGAGAGGACAAAATACTTAAAAACAAAAAAAAACATGTATGATAGTTTATTAACCACACCTGTATGTCAGAGGTTTTGTGCCCCACAGGTGAACTAAAGGAGAAGGTGACCCACTCTATCTAACCAGGAGACTGAAGCAGGCCTGGCGGGATGGGCCCTACCAAGTACTGCCTTTGCCAGCTGAGAGATCCATCTGGGTGCATGTCACACACTGTAAAAAGGCAAAACCAGCTACACCTGACGAACAAACACAGAGTTAGGAGAAAGATCCGATAACCACAAGGGTCCGGGGGTTGGCTCCTTAACGAAGATTCCCTTACCCTGTCTGATCATCCCTGTGTGAGTTCGGTAGAAGGTGAAGCAATGGGTTGGCCTCTGGCATCTGACATGTTCTCAGGGCAAGGGTGGGGATTCACAGGTCTCCCGACGGTAGGTAGCTGTCTGATTGTGGGGGCCATATTCCTAACACACACGGACCCTCCTGTTTCAGCCAGAAGTAGTAGTTAACCTAACACAAGTTGAAAAGGCATAGGAGACAGCTAGACGTAGGGAAAGGGGAAATTCTAGAGTAAACCTCTCTGATGGAGGTAGTGAGACCGGGGCTGTGGTAAAGATAGTGCAAAACTATAGACCTGGAGGAAGTAGTACAGGTGGAAACGGGGTATAGAAATCTTAACCTGTGGTTGGAATGGATTCAGTATACGGCAAAAAACTATGTCTAAAGAGGACTGTTTTGCCTGTGGGACAGCCAAACCAGGGTTGACAACTACTCCGTTCCCCTTGACAGGCTTTGACTCTCTGTCAGGTTTATCCTCCATGCAAGCCCGATAACGGGGTCGTCCCGACCTGGGTTGCCTCAATTTGAAGTCTCAGGGGATTCTAATTGTTTTTCTAGGACTAGTAAGATAGGATACAGAGTAGGGCATCTTAGCTCTGCTCCTACACAGAGAATATCACAACTGAAAGAGAACATGACTAATCTCTCCTATTTGTTGCAGACAGAGGATTGTAGGACCCAAAACCAGGCCTGTGCTGACATCTGATGGTTGTGTGGTGATAACTGATTGTGAACTCAACTACATATGCAAACAATCAAACGTGTCAGAGACTGCACCGGACGGGCCCGTGACCAAAGCGCTTGAGTGACCATCACCACGCTGGCGAACGAACTGGTTGAGAACTCTGGTATTGATAGCTCCATAAACGGAGGTCAGTGGTAGGAGCGGTGCAGGCGTCAGGTATGATGCTGTTGTTACCGGCCCAGGATGATGCGGGTGACTCTGCTACTGACTCTGAGACCAAGCTGGATGATCCATGGTTTGCCTAGTAAAATACATACACGCATTTATTTTCAGTTCTTGCTCATTTATTACCTTATGTTTTTACTAACCACTGTGATTGTTTATTCTTCCTGATGTGAAGGTAAAGGATTCCTGGGTGGCTGGTAGCCAACTCAGTACATGTTAGGTGTAGGGGAGGAATAGAGGGTTAAAATTATAATTTTTTATTTTTTATTAACATTAAATGTTGTGATTTAATTTCCATATCCTGTTATTCTTAAGGGTGATTATACTCTGTTTAGAGTGACACCATAAATGGTGTCAAAAGAGGGAATTCAAAAATGTCCCTTTAAAAATCTTTAATCACACCCTAGAGTTTTAATAATCTTGTGTTTTGTGTTCTATTAATCCTGTGTTTTATGCTTTATTAATCAAGTTAGCCATGTGAATGTTTGTCTTTCCTTATGTGATGGTTTGAACTTCTTTGATGACTGGTAACAGTTTGCAAGTTGGGTGTCGATGGAAGGACTGAAGGACTTTTATTATCAAATTGTCTATTAATAAAAGTGTTTATTTTTGTTTGTATTGTATTTTAATGAGTGACACCCTAGAGGGTGTCAAAAGAGGGAATTGTTGGGTTTTATTTTTCTCATAATTGGATCTGTATGTGATGGATAGCTTGGAAGGAATGCACTAATGAGGAGCAATATACTGATATGGATTGTTTCACATAACAGGGTGGGGAACATTGGGGGTAGGACAGATAAGACTTGTGTTGCGAACACTCTCTCTTTGTATTCTGTGAAACTGTCCTTGAACATTGAGTACAGTGGGATGATGTATTTCTGGGTGCTGACTTTCGCAGGTTATCATAGCAACCATGTCTAGTAACAAATGGAGTGCCGAGGAGTTGGGCCCACCCCTGCGCCAACGGATTGGCTGAACCACACTCAGTCCTTTGCTCTGGTTGGCCAACAGAAGAAGGGACTGCTTTCTGTCAGAGTATTTGAGAAAGAATCTGAAAACAGATTCTTAGTTCTCTGTCGGCCCTGCGTGGTTTGACAGTGAGCCCGTATACGAACCTTCATACTTATCATACAATACATTTTGCATATAATAAATTAAGCTTAGATTGAAGATCTCTTGATTCTTATTCCAATACCAGATTTGAATTACGCAATCTCGACACTATAAAGGCAACATCCTATTCTCTTCTACTGGCAGGTGTGGTCTGTAGCTGTCTTTCTCACACAATCATTCCGCTATCGATTACTGTCTATGAGGCTATACATACACTGCTTTTTTTGTTCCCAAGTTGCTGAGCAGTTTGTCAATGGATGCTGCACATGACTAGTTAATGGCACGGGGAGGCGCTTTTGTAGTGTACAGTTGTGGTACGAGTTTTCAAGTTCCATGTACAGTAGGTGGGCCGTGCGTCAGCTGATGACGTTGGACAACAAAAATGGCAGGAGGAAGCAGCAACTACTGGGAAGGTGAGGTGGCAAACTGGCACAACTAGGGTGCGATCAGACAGAGCTATTTGATACATTTGCAGCGATGTTTGGTAAATTATAACGGGTTTTACAGGCCAAAGGTGTTGTCAAATTTGGAGCAAGTCGACATGCGGTTGGGTTGGGTGGCCTGTCCACGAGCTCAGCTAGCTAGCAAAACAAGCTTTGCTAGCAAGTGAAGCGTTTATGGATGTAACGTTAACGTCAGCTAGTTAGCTAGCTAATGTTGGTTAGCCTAGCGAGCTAGCTTCAAATATTTATACAAACTTTAGGTTGTAGCTAGCTAGCTATTTTAGATTAGTTGTATAGTTAGCAAGCTATCTTACTAGGTTGCTGTCAAGTTGATTAACTAGCTATGTGATTTCAGTTTCACCTAGCTAGTTAGTTATTTAGTTATCAATATGTTCAGCCAAGGTTAGACAAATTATGTTTGTGTGCTAGCTAGCTAGTTGGTTAGCCAGCCAAGTTATATTGTCAACAGCAGCAGGATGATTAGAGAGTGCTGCCTGATTTGTTTTTTTGTCTCCACGTTAACTACGTACCACTATTGTATGTATAGATGGCTAATTGAATACAGTACTTGAATACAGAAAATATTTGATGTTTAACTAGCTATATGAAAAAGACAGCAAGACAACATCTGATTAATATGACTGATTAGCTATGTGGATTACAATCTTTCTGTAGGCTTACCTTACTGTTGATGCCAACCCTGTTTCTCAATTCCAAACTGTGTGTGTGTGTGTGTCTGCTGTGTGTGTTGCACATCCCAGATTTGCGAAAGCAGGCCAGGCAGCTGGAGAATGAGCTGGACCTGAAGCTGGTGTCCTTCAGTAAACTGTGTACCAGCTACAGCAGCTCCAGAGATGGCCATCGAGGAGACAGGTAAGACTAAGGCCAGTTCCATTTAGGTCCCTAACCCCTTCGCCTAGGTCCTACATTACAGGTGAGACTAGTGCCCAGTCCCATTCAGGTTTCTAGCCCCTTCCCCTAGCTCCTAGCCTTCTACACCTTCGGGGCCAGTTTCCCAAACAGTGATTAAGCCTTCTCCTGGACTAAAAAGCACTTTCATCCTTGGTGTTCATGGATCTGAAACGACTGATAGGTGTTACAAATATGGTGGTACAGTACCTCCACCAAGCCCACATGTTGAGAGTTCTAATGGTCTTTCTCTCCCTCCTTGTCTTCCTCTCTGCCCTATAGCAACTCAGATACTACTCCCCTCCTCAACAACTCCACACAGGACAGAATGTTTGAGACCATGTCTGTGGAGATTGAACAGCTGCTGGCGAAAGTAAGACTTCACAGCAAATAATTCTCATTATATGCAGTTTATTTGAAATTTCAGAATGTGTTTTTGTCCTCAAGTAGTATTCAGCTTCACTATCATAGGCATGTCAACATGGTTGAATCTTGCATTGTTGTGTGTATGTGTACTGACGGTGCTGTGTCTCTCAGCTCACGGGTGTGAACGACAAGATGGCGGAGTACACCAGCACCCCGGGGGTGACGTCCCTTAACGCAGCCCTGATGCACACGCTCCAGAGACACAGAGACATCTTGCAAGTCTGTGTCTCTCTTACTCTTTCTACCTTCCTGTTTCTCTCTCTTTCTTTATCTCCCTCCCTCTTTCTTTGTTTCACTCCCCCTGTCTCTCGTCTATTCGTCTCTCAGGACTTAGTCCTAACTTGAGATCTGCATGCATCATTTCAACTCCCATAGGGTTAATAGTTTTGCATTCCCTTAACTCCTGTTTTTTTTGCTGTACCCTAGGACTACACTCACGAATTCCACAAAACAAAAGCCAACTTCCTTGCCATCCGGGAGAGAGAAGATTTGCTAGGGTCTGTCCGCAAAGACATTGAGTGAGTATCTCTCCCTCCAGCCATCCCTCCATTCATATTGATTATTATGGTTCTGTATGTAAAAACACTCCCTCATTTGTGTCTCAAATCCTAATCGCTTGACAGTGAAAACAAAAGAGAATAGAATACAAGTCCTGCACGCTGTTTAGATGCTGAAGTTTATTTTAAAAAAAAGTTTTAGTGACATTTCACTCACTTCGGGTGGGGTGACAAAAGCATATACAATGAAAGGGTAAAGCACTGCATTTAACCTTTCTTTATAGGCATTTTCACACTCACCACATACGCTGCTGACTTGTAAAACCTTCAGGAATCATGTCCTCCATGTAGGGCTGGGCGATATGGCCAAAATTATCATATCACCGTAGTTTTCAAATGTGATGTTTCTGAGTAAAACAAGTTCTAAATATGCTTAGGGGTAGTGCATGGCAACAAATTAATTATCTGTTGTTTTAATGGGCTTTCTCCATTCTGATTGCTTTATACTGTTCAAATAAACTTCAACCAAAAATAATAGGAGGACAAAACTGACTTTGAAGTAGTCCTATTTGTAGAACATTGCATAGGAATGAAAGTCCTCTTTTGTAACCTCAAACTCTTTTACTCGACCAATGGTTCCCATTTCCATAGTTATTTGTTCAATTCCAGCATTCACTTACAGCTTTTTCATAAATTCATTTCCTGCAGTAATTTATCATTTACACACTGTCACTTTTTGTTTTTGTAATAGTATGCCAGAGCTCTTGCAGCATGAACTGACATGTTGTCCACCCAATCAAAGGATCAGAGAATGAACGCATTTGTAGCGGTTATGACATGGCTTGGAAAGTTTTTTTTGCCTGGTCACATACAGCTCATGTGTTGTTCATTGAAGTCCACAAACGAAGGGAAAAGGTGAAAGGAGGAGAGTGCATAGAGGCGAGAAGGAATATAACGTGGCTGCTATGAAAGTGAACTCTGTTTATACGTGATTAGGGGTGTATTCATTCCGCCGATTCTGTTGAAAAAAAAAATTCTTAAACGGAAGCAAACGAAACGGGGATGAAAATACCAGAATTTGTCCAATAGAAACTCTCATTTGCAACTGTTGGACTAATGATTACACCCTAGATCAGCTAGATGCAGGCAAGAGTGTGCAAGGCGGTATTGAATGTGTCACTGTCCATGTGTCACTGTCTGTCATCTCAAATTTTTTGCACCTACATTGTAAACTTTAATTCATAGGCTAGGTTGTAGCAAACTCATGATGGGTATTGGGAAAATTAGAGTATCATGTAGTAGCCTTAACCTATCGACGTTTCATTGAACTGTGTGAATGGAATCTGAATGACAGTCATCCAACATGCTGTAATAGAAATAAGGCCATGCTCATGAAGAAAAAAATTGTCCTCCCTCATCATAAACGGCTCTAACCGCCACTGATACCAATATCGTTTTTTATGGTTTACCGCCCAGCCCTACCTCCATGGGCCTCTGTAATGAGAGAGAGAGAAGGTTCTCAGTGCTCCACTGATTGGCTTGGTAGTGAATGAGGAGATTGAAATGAGGGCTGGGCAACCAGACCATGACTCTTGTCTGTGTTTTTTAATGGCTTATTGATCTATCTAAGATGCAGCAGGCCACACCATGAGACCACTGCAGGATTCCTATTGAGCACACACACACACACACGGCACACACCCCTCCTTATATATGCAGATAGCCTTATTCATCAGCACTCGCTGTTGTTCCCTGCAGTCATGCGTGTTCTCCATGTGCTCCACATTAACCATACATCATAGTGCCTGGGAATGAACCTTTCACTGTTCTGTTGGCTGTGGACTGAATTTATAATTGTTCCGCTTGAGAAAAGGACATTACTGCCCACCCACACAATGTGATGGGAAATGTGAGCTTTATTTTAGTGGTATTCCTGTCCTTTCATCACAGTTTTCAGAAAACTGAAGTCCCCAAAGGACCATTTTTATTATTGTGTGCAATCTGAGCCATGTAGCCTACATGGTGTATGATTACTGTAATCATTAACGTACACATTTGGAAATGACATGCTACATACATGCTGCTCCTCAAGGATTTAGACGGGTGTTGTAATGCTTTCAAAGCCCATGTGCTTGAATCTTGTGGCGTGCTAACGCTGAACTAACACACACTAATAGCCAAGCTACTGAAGCGAACGACAGTGCTAATAATCAGTACAACAGCGCTAAGCTAACAAGAACCCCTATTGTCTTGTACTATATACTATGAAGCATTGAGTTGGCATCATAGTGGGACTCCTCCTGGGAGGGCGGTAAGGTGGATGGATGCCAGGAGGCTAGAGCGCTGCCGTGAGCACTAGACTGGAGAGACGACCTTAGGCTGGGCTGTCAGCTCGTGGTTCTAGCTGCAGTCCTGGTCCAACACAGCACCACTAGAGAAGAGACACAGGCAGTCATACAGAAACTTGGAGCATCCATTTCCAGGAAACTCAGAGCGAGAGAAAGTGAGGGAAAGAGGAGGGAGAGAGATGGACAGATTGAGAGAGACTGAGATGATAGAAGTGGTAGTCTGTCAGGGCACCACTGGGATGCTTCACCACTATTCTTTAACAGTTGTTGATTTTGTCAAGGTCCACAAGTTCTAAGGCCATTTCAGTTTCTCTGATACAGCTATACATGATGCTATACAGTCATGAAATGGACCTATAGTCATTTTGTCTTCACTCCTCTACTACTTCGCTGACCTGACTATAAATAGGAGAATTCAGCATATCTTCTAGTATAAGAGAACTGTTGTATCCTCTTGTTTCTACCCATTTATTGTACAGTATGTTCAAGCTTCATACAGACTTTAGACTGTATTGGTAAATCATCATGGCAACCCGATCATGCACATTTTCAGCCTCTTGTGTCGTCCAATGTTCTCCTTTGAGCCTTCCCACATAAATCCATGTTATGTGTTGATCAATATTATGGCAGCTTGCAACTGTTTGTTTGCTGGCCATCCTAGTTACTTCGCTTATATGTCAAAGTCCACTGTAATGTCGCCTACCGTTGTTGGGCTTCTTTGAATCAATCTAGTATATTGGACTGTTTATAAGATCACCATACAATCATCTTATCTTATCAGTACTGTTTGCAATATTTCTTAAATAATGTATTACTTACTGTAACCACACAATGCCAAACCCCCTAATAAGCATCTTTAAAAGATCCCTGCCAGCATGACATAATGACACATTATCCACCATGGATGTTCCATCTCTAATAGGCTTGGGCGATACCCTGGTATATGGTAAAAACTGTATATTTCGAAATACTGGTATGATTTTCAATACTGTAATAAAAATAAAAGGGGGGGGGGGGTACGTGCTACGCCACTGCTTATAACTAGAAGTTAATTATAACTTGATGTGTCAATTAAATTATATCCAGCACAGGGCTCCATCTATGCATTTGGTTTGCTAACTTGCTAGCTAAGTGGCTAGATGTCAAGATCAAGCTTCTTGGTTACAGCAGAAACATTCGATCATAGAGATCCTATTAAATTACTAATAGTATTCTAATTCCTAATTCTATGCATTCATCCCCTCCTGGATCAAGTATTGAAACAATGGCTACCTCTCTTTTCCCCAGGTCAGTGGAAAGGAAGGAGAGCATCAATAAAGTGCTTATGGGCTTACAGCCTATAGGTAGTCCAGCAGCCACTTCCTATAGCAGCCACTGCAGTGGGAATTGAGAGTAGCGCTAATGAGCTTTCGACAGGGGTTGTTGGGTGCTCATATCGACTCTGTGAGCGGCCTAAACAACAATGTGCCGTTTGTATAGGCTACTTGGTGAACAGTATAGTATTAAGCAATAAAGCCCGAGGAGGTGTGGTATATTTACAGCTAAGGGCTGTTCTTAGGCACGACGCAACATAACGATGACACATTAGCCGTAGTGTATTGGCCATATACAGTGCATTCGGAAAGTATTCAGACCCTTGACGTTTTCCATATTTTGTTGCGTTACAGTCTTACTCTAAAATTTAAATACTTTTTTTTCCTCATCAATCTACACACATTACTCTATAATGACAAAGCGAAAATAGGTTTTTAGAAATTTTAGCACACATTTATAAAAAATAACAAATACCTTATTTACATAAGTATTCAGACACTTTACTATGAGACTCGAAATTGAGCTCAGGTGCATCCTGTTTATGTTGATCATCCTTGTTGTTTCTACAACTTGATTGGAGTCCGCCTGTGGTAAATTCAATTGATTGGACATTGTTATGAGTTTCTATGGTATCAACTAATTCATGATGCAAGAAGATATTTAACACTTAGCTGGGGAGTTCATATAAATATTTAATAGGTACCATTGTTCGTTATAACAAAAGGACAGTGCTTTGCCTCTTGCCATTCCGAACTAACTAGACAAAGAAACCCTCTCATTTATATACCCTCTGTTACACGTTTCTTCAACCACATCTGGTAAGCATCCGTGTGCACTCCCTTCTCTGATGTTATTCCGTTGTACCCCAAGTCAATATATCATATCCATCAATCATTCTAAGATAAACATCAGTAATCTCCCTTGACATAACGGAATCCTTGGTGTTCAGACTGTGTGGCAGCAAGTCACTTTCTACTAAATTCAACCTGGTTCCCACCACACTATGAAAACATAACAGACATGATTTGGAAAGGCATACACCTGTCTATATAAGGTCCCACAGTTGACAGTGCATGTCAGAGCAAAAACCAAGCCATGAGGTCGAAGGAATTGTCCGTAGAGCTCCGAGACAGGATTGTTTCGAGGCACAGATCTGGGGAAGTGTACCAAAACATTTCTGCAGCATTGAAGGTCCCCAAGAACACAGTAGCCTCCATCAATCTTAAATGAAATAAGTTTGGAACCACCAAGACTCTTCCTAGAGCTGGCCGCCTGGCCAAACTGAGCAATCGGGGGAGAAGGGCCTCGGTCAGGGAGGTGACCAAGAACCCGATGGTCACTCTGACAGCGCTCCAGAGTTTCTCTGTGTAGATGGGAGAACCTCCAGAAGGACAACCATCTCTGCAGCACTCCACCAATCAGGCCTTTATGGCAGAGTGGCCAGACGGAAGCCACTCCTCAGTAAAAGGCACATGACAGCCCGCTTGAAGTTTGCCAAGAGGCACCTTAAGACTCTCAGACCATGGGAAACAAGATTATCTGGTCTGATTGAACTCTGGCCTGAATGCCAAGCCTCACATCTTGAGGAAACCTGGCACCATCCCTACGGTGAAGCGTGGTGTCAGCATCATGCTGTGGGGATGTTTTTCAGCGGCCGGGACTGCGAGACTAGTCAGGATCGAGGGAAAGATGAACGGAGCAAAGTACAGAGAGATCCTTGATGAAAACCTGCTACAGAGCGCTCAGGACCTCAGACTGGGGCGACGGTTCGCCTTCCAACAGGACAACGACCCTAAGCACACAGCCAAGACAACGCAGGAGTGGCTTCGGGACAAGTCTCTGAATGTCCTTGAGTGGCACAGCCAGAACCCAGACTTGAACCCAATGAACATCTCTGGAGAGACCTGAAAATAGCTGTGCAGCGACACTCCCCATCCAACCTGTCAGAGCTTGAGAGGATCTGCAGAGAAGAATGTTAGAAACTTGAGGTTATAATCGCTGCCAAAGGTGCTTCAACAAAGTACTGAATAAAGGGTCTGAATACTTACGTAAATGTGATGTTTTAGTTTTGTCATTATGGTGTATTGTGTGTAGATTGAGGAAAAATAACAATTTAATCAATTTTAGAATAAGGCTATAACGTAAAAAATGAGGAAAAGGTCAAGGGGTCTGAATACTTACCGAATGTACCACAAACCCTTGAGGTGCCTTATTGCTATTATAAACTGGTTACCAACGTAATTAGAACAGTACAAAAATTTTTTGGGGTCATACCCCTGGTATATGGCTTTCAGCCAATCAGCATTCAGGGCTCAAACCACCTAGTTTATAATTGTGTGTGTGTGTGTGTTTATGTGTGTATGTGTGTGTATATATATATACAGTGAAGGAAAAAGGTATTTGATCCCCTGCTGATTTTGTACGTTTGCCCACTGACAAAGAAATGATCCGTCTATAATTTTAATGGTAGGTTTATTTGAACAGTGAGAGACAGAATAACAACAACAAAAATCCAGAAAAACGCATGTCAAAAATGTTATAAATTGATTTGCATTTTAATGAGGGAAATAAGTATTTGACCCCCTCTCAATCAGAAAGATTTCTGGCTCCCAGGTGTCTTTTATACAGATATCAAACTGAGATTAGGAGCACACTCTTAAAGGGAGTGCTCCTAATCTCAGTTTGTTACCTGTATAAAAGACACCTGTCCACAGAAGCAATCAATCAGATTCCAAACTCTCCACCATGACCAAGACCAAAGAGCTCTCCAAGGATGTCAGGGACAAGATTGTAGACCTACACAAGGCTGGAATGGGCTACAAGACCATCGCCAAGCAGCTTGGTGAGAAGGTGACAACAGTTGGTGCGATTATTCGCAAATGGAAGGAACACAAAATAACTGTCAATCTCCCTCGGCCTGGGGCTCCATGCAAGATCTCACATCGTGGAGTTGCAATGATCATGAGAATGGTGAGGAATCAGCCCAGAACTACACGGGAGGATCTTGTCAATGATCTCAAGGCAGCTGGGACCATAGTCACCAAGAAAACAATTGGTAACACACTACGCCGTGAAGGACTGAAATCCTGCAGCGCCCGCAAGGTCCCCCTGCTCAAGAAAGCACGTATACAGGCCCGTCTGAAGTTTGCCAATGAACATCTGAATGATTCAGAGGAGAACTGGGTGAAAGTGTTGTGGTCAGATGAGACCAAAATCGAGCTCTTTGGCATCAACTCAACTCGCCGTGTTTGGAGGAGGAGGAATGCTGCCTATGACCCCAAGAACACCATCCCCACCGTCAAACATGGAGGTGTAAACATTATGCTTTGGGGGTGTTTTTCTGCTAAGGGGACAGGACAACTTCACCGCATCAAAGGGACGATGGACGGGGCCATGTACCATCAAATCTTGGGTGAGAACTTCCTTCCCTCAGCCAGGGCATTGAAAATGGGTCGTGGATGGGTATTCCAGCATGACAATGACCCAAAACACACGGCCAAGGCAACAAAGGAGTGGCTTAAGAAGAAGCACATTAAGGTCCTGGAGTGTCCTAGCCAGTCTCCAGACCTTAATCCCATAGAAAATCTGTGGAGGGAGCTGAAGGTTCGAGTTGCCAAACGTCAGCCTCGAAATCTTAATGACTTGGAGAAGATCTGCAAAGAGGAGTGGAACAAAATCCCTCCTGAAATGTGTGCAAACCTGATGGCCAACTACAAGAAAAGTCTGACCTCTGTGATTGCCAACAAGGGTTTTGCCACCAAGTACTAAGTCATGTTTTGCAGAGGGGTCAAATACTTATTTCCCTCATTTAAAATACAAATAAATTCAAAACATTTTTGACATGCGTTTTTCTGATTTTTTTTTGTTATTCTGTCTCACTGTTCAAATAAACCTACCCTTTAAAATTATAGACTGATAATTTCTTTGTCAGTGGGCAAACGTACAAAATCAGCAGGGGATCAAATACTTTTTTCCCTCACTGTATTAAAGTACCAGTCAAAGATTTGGAAACACCTACTCATTCCAGGGTTTTACTTAATTTTTACTATTTTCTACATTGTAGAATAATAGTAAAGACATCAAAACTATGAAATAACACATATGGAATAATGTAGTAACCAAACAAGTGTTAAACAAATCAAAATATATTTGAGATTCTTCAAAGTAGCAACCCTTTGCCTTGTTCACAGCTTTGCACACTCTTGGCATTCTCAACCAGCTTCATGAGGAATGCTTTTCCAACAGTCTTGGAGTTCCCACATATGCTGAGCACTTGTTGGCTGCTTTTCCTTAATTCTGAAATGTTCCGGATTGACTGACCTTCATGTCTTAAAGTAATGATGGACTGTCGTAATATGGAGTTGGTATTTTACCAAATAGGGCTATCTTCTGTATGTATACCACCCCTACCTTGTCACAACACAACTGATTTGGCTCAAACGCATAAAGAATGAAAGAAATTCCACAAATTAACTTTTAACAAGGCACACCTGTTAATTGAAATGATTTCCAGCTGACTACCCCATGAAGCTGGTTGAGAGAATGCCAAGAGTGTACAAAGCTATTTGGCAAAGGGTGGCTATTTTGAAGAATCTCAAATATAAAATATATTTTGATTTGTTTAACACTTTTGGTTACTACATGATTCCATATGTGTTATTTCATAGTTTTGATGTCTTTACTATTATGCTACAATGTAGAAAATAGTAAAAAATAAAGAAAAACCCTGGAATGAGTATGTGTCCAAACTTTGGACTGGGACTGTATATAGTATGGTTTGGGAAAGCCAATCCTGTAAAACTGATGGGATTTTGATAGCATCTTTGGATATTTTGTGATGTTTTACCATTTCAGCTCAAACTTCATAATTTAAAAGGGTCTAGAAAACCTGAGTGGTGTCTTTCTTGTAACTGTAAACCATTGTTATACAAGCGTAAATGGAAATGCAGCACACATTCCCCTGTTGCCCACCAGGTGGCAGTAGACCCATCTGCAGCATTAGACCTGACTGGGTGTTTGTGGCTGCTTAAGTAGTCAGGAGATGAGGGCTCTGTCTGTTAACAACAATACCACACACACACACATGGCTCCAGCCATCTTAAAGGGATACTTTGGGATTTTGAGTGGTATCTACTTTCCCAAGAGTCAGATGTACTAGTGGATATCATTTTTAGGCATCTGTGTCCAGTATGAAGGAAGTTAGAGGTAGTTTTGCGAGCCAATGCTAGCTAGTGTTAGCGCAATGACCAGCAGGACCACTGAGGTTGTTACTGAGATGTGGACCATTCCATTACTATCTCTTCACGCCCATTTCCATTGTGCTTCTCCCACACTGCTACTTCGCTCTAATTACACTCTTCGCTCTAATGACTCGCTCTCTCTTTTGCTCTCCCCCCAGCAGTGGTGGTAGGGAGGGAGGGAGGGAGGGGGAGCTGCATTGCCCTGCCCATTAGCCTACATGGTGATGTTGACAGCAGGAGAAACCCTCCTCAGTGTTTTCCATTCAGGCCAGGCTGGCTCTTTTAAACCACCTCCACAGCATGGCTGTCCTCCTATTATACATTAACTAGTCCTTTTACCATACTGTGACTGTCTGCTTGGACTGTAGCGGCATAGACTAACCTTGTTTCAAATGGTCACAATGATTTGGTAATACATATTTCAGATGGTCATAGCAGTGATGTCATCTTGAGTTGTTTGTGTGTCTGACTAATTTATATGCACAGTATTATATGAATTAAACCCATTATCTCTCTTTCTGTCCAACAGGACATACAAGAGTGGCTCAGGAGTGAACAACAGAAGAACAGAACTGTTTCTGAAGGAGCATGAACACCTGAGAAAGTAAGATCCTGAACGAACACACACACACACACACACACTGCTCCTTTTTGTGCCCCTAAATGACCAGATTACCTCGCAAAATCATCTTGCAGTATTCTCAGAGTACCCATACTATCATCTCACAATTATTCTCTCCAGCTTTATCTGAAGTTCTTATAAACAAGTTGGCATTTTGCTTTTGGCAATTCCAAGTACGGTGTCTCTGCTGTACCCAGAGCAGTTCTCAGAGCTGTAGCCAGGCCAATAGCGGTCTTCAGAGCAGCACAGTGCTGGGATAACGCATGTTGACGGGCCAAGTCAGCCATTTTGAATAACTCTAAAATGATCTCCCTGCTCTTGCTGTTTGCTTGCTAAGCACTGCTTAAGTAGTTCTGCCCCCAAAAAGACAGATGGAAGCTGTTTGGGTTTTTCATTTTAAAGGTTGAGTTCGGGGTTAGGATGTTTTGGTGTTTAAATCAGCGAGTGTCATCTTGATTCACTGACATTTCTGGCTAGTTTATTTTCGTAGACAGCAAGTTGGCTGCTTAAGTTAATGATCTGTTTAAAGGAAATGTAAGAGGGAAAAATTGATTTAAGGTAAAGGGTCATTTAGGCCTAATTGGCTTTGCATGCAAATGAATTAATTCAGACTAATTCATAAATAACAAATTCACTTCACGCCATGTATTATTCTCCCATAAAAATAGCAAGGCAATAACTCCTAAAAGTCAAGCCCCACCACACACACACACACACACTCGGTCATGTCTTTATAGCACAACTATACATTTGAGTTCAGGAAGGTTACTCACATTCAGTGTGGACATACTGTAGAAGGTCAGACCGTAAACACCACACAGTGCAACACAGCAATAGAACTGTCATTTTATAATTTATCTCAACTTTAATGGACTGGCATGGGGCATTTGGATTCAAGGGTTAATTCTTTGTTTACCTCTGTGTAGGCATTTGGTGCGCAGAGGTGTTGGAGACACCCTGTGTGTGAGGGTAAATGGCTATCAGTGTGGTGCACAGACACACACACACACACACACACACACACACACACACACACACACAAACTACAGAGTTGCATGTGTCAGGACGGAGGCCTTGCAAACCTTCATCTGACTGAGGGGACAAATTAGGCATAACTGAGAACTATAAAGAACTCTGATTGGTCATGGCAAGTGTCAGGACGGAGGCCTTGCAAACCTTCATCTGACTGAGGGGACAAATTAGGCGTAACGGAGAACTATAAAGAACTCTGATTGGTCATGGCGAGTGTCAGGACGGAGACCTTGCAAACCTTCATCTGACTGAGGGGACAAATTAGGCGTAACGGAGAACTATAAAGAACTCTGATTGGTCTTCTCTCCTACTAACCCCAGTGTTTTTATCGCACAGCTTTGCTTTATCTTGGCCAGGTCACAGTTGTAAATGAGAACTTGTTCTCAACTGGCTTACCTGGTTAAATAAAGGTGAAATAAAATAAAACACTGCAGGATAAGCCCCAAATAGCAGTTGCTCCAGTTACACCCAAACCTCCATTCATTAGAAGAAAATGTGACTGTTCTGTCACAAAATGGCTGAATGGTATTTTTGCAGTCACTGCACTGAATGTGCTCATTCAAGTACTGTATCTTTCTGTGTGTAATTTGATAGTAAAGGTGGTGTAAGGAGACCCATGGTTTTTGTGAGTGTGACTGTGTCTCAGCAGTTGCCTCGGACGGTAGGGCCCACTTCTCAGCATTGATATCACCAGCATTACACTCATCGTCAACATTGAAGAGGCAACTCCAGGATTCTGACCTTCTAGGCAGAGTTGCAAAGAAAAAGCCATATCTCAGACTGCCCATCTTAATCTTTTATTTTTATTGGCCAGTCTGAGATATGGCTTTTTCTTGGCAACTTTTTCTTTGCAACTCCAGCATCCCAGAGTCGCCTCTTCACTGTTGACATTGAGACGGGTGTTTTGTGGGTACTATTTAATGAAGCTGCCAGTTGAGGACCTGTGAGGCATCTGTTTCTCAAACTAGACACTCTAATGTATTTGTCCTCTTGCTCAGTTGTGCACTGGGGCCTCCCACTCCTCTTTTTATTCTGGTTAGAGACAGTTTGCGCTGTTCTAGTAGTACACAGCGTTGTACGAGATCTTCAATTTCTTGGCAATTTCTCGCATGGAATATCCTTCATTTCTCAGAACAAGAATAGACTCAGTTTCAGAAGAAAGTTAATTGATTCTGGCCATTTTGAGGCTGTAATCGAACCCACAATTGCTGATGCTCCAGACACTCAACTAGTCTCAAGAAGGCCAGTTTTATTGCTTCTTTAATCAGCAGAACAGTTTTCAGCTGTGCTAACATAATTGCAAAAGGGTTTTCTAATGCTCAAATAGCCTTTTAAAATGATAAACTTGGATTAGCAAACACAACGTGCCATTGGAACACAGGACTGATGGTTGCTGATAATGGGCTATTATGCTTATAATGTAGATAATCCATTAAAAGTCAGCCATTTCCAGCTACAATAGCCATTTACAACATTAACAATGTCTACACTGTATTTCTGATCAATTTTATGTTATTTTAATGGACAAAAAATTGCTTTTCTTTCGAAAACAAGGACATTTCTAAGTGACCCCAAACTTTTGAACGGTAGTGTGTGTGTATATATATATATATATATATATATCTCACATTTACATAAGTATTCAGACCCTTTATTCAGTACTTTGTTGAAGCACCTTTGGCAGCGATTACAGCCTCAAGTCTTCTTGGCCATGACGCTACAAGCTTGGCACACCTGTATTTGGGGAGTTTCTCCTATTCTTCTCTGCAGATCCTCTCAAGCTCTGTCAGGTTGTATGGGGAGCGTCGCTGCACAGCTATTTTCAGGTCTCTCCAGAGATGTTCGATCGGGTTCAAGTCCGGGCTCTGGCTGGGCCACTCAAGGACATTAAGACTTGTCCCGAAGCCACTCCTGCGTTGTCTTGGCTGTGTGCTTAGGGTCGTTGTCCTGTTGGAAGTTGAACCTTCGCCACAGTCTAGGTCCTTAGTACCCTGGAGCAGGTTTTCATCAAGGATCCCTCTGTACTTTGCTCCGTTCATCTTTCCCTCGATCCTGAATAGTCTCCCATTCCCTGCCGCTGAAAAACATCCCCACAGCATGATGATGCTGCCACCACCATGCTTCACCATAGGGATGGTGCATGGATTCCTCCAGACGTGACTCTTGGCATTCAGGCCAAAGAGTTCAATCTTGGTTTCATCAGACCAGAGAATCCTATTTCTCAACGTCTGAGAGTCCTTTAGGTGCCTTTTGGCAAACTCCAAGCAGGCTGTCATGTGCCTTTTACTGAGGACTGGCATCCGTCTGGCCCCCTCTACCATAAAGGCCTGATTTGGTGGAGTGCTGCAGAGATGGTTCTCCCATCTCCACAGAGGAACTCTGGAACTCTTTCAGAGTGACCGTCGGGTTCTTGGTCACCTCCCTGACCAAGGCCGTTCTCCCCCGATTGCTCAGTTTGTCCGGGCGGCCAGCTCTAGGAAGAGTTTTGGTGGTTCCAAACTTTTTCCATTTAAGAATGATGGAGGCCACTGTGTTCTTAGGGACCTTCAATGCTGCAGAAATTTTTTGGTACCCTTCCCTAGATCTGTGCCTTGACACAATCCTGTCTCGGAGCTCGACGGACAATTCCTTCGACCTCATGGCTTGGTTTTTGCTCTGACATGCACTGTCAACTTTGGGACCTTATATAGACAGGTGGGTGTGTGCCTTTCCAAATCATGTCCAATCAATTAAAATTACAATAGGTGGACTCCAATCAAGTTGTAGAAACATCTCAAGGATGATCAATGGAAACAGGATGCACCAGAGCTCAATTTCAAGGCCCATAGCAAAGGGTCTGAATACTTATCTAAATAAGGTATTTCAGCTTTTAATTTTTAATACATTAGCAAACATTTCTAAGCCGTTTTCACTTTGTCATTATGGGTGTAGGTTGATGAGGAAAAAATGGTATGTAATCCATTTTAGAGTAAGGCTGTAACGTAACAAAGTGGAAAAAGTCAAGGGGTCTGAATACTTTCTGAATGCACTGTACAATACAATCTTGGAAAATGTTGTCATATTTGCTGTCGCAGTACCGGTACCCAGCCTCACCACACAACCACACGACAAGCTGGGAGCAGCATATGATATTATGATGTAGTGATTTAGGGATAATACAATGTTAACCACAGGAGATACCAGAGAGTACTTTCCTCTACTGCACCAATGACTGATAAGGAGGAGAAGAGAGAGAGCTGTAGCTTAGTGGGCATGATTCTGTTACCTTAGAGCTATTGTATTAAAGAGAGGGAAGGAAAGGGGGATGGTGAAAAGAAGGGATGAAATGTGTTACTAGCTGCTGTGGTAATGGCCTAAAGAGGTTTATAGACAAACAAATGGATAGCATTTCTTCCTTCGGCCTCTATCAAGGTTTTCAGCTCTGCTGCGTAGAGCACTGGACATTTTTTGAAGGGAGGTAGGGTGTGCGTGCGTGCCCAATTTTCCATGGTCAGGAAAAACACCTTGCCCTAAGTACACTACTCTACAGGAGGTAAACCTTACCTTGGCAGATGAGTATGATAGGCTGTCAGGATACACACAGAATCCCCATGCCCAGGCCAGAAATGCAGAGGCAGCATTTTGAGAAGCATTTTGAAGAGCACTGTCCCTACAGGAGTTATTTCTTTATTTATTCATTACTAACTCCAATTTCTATATTTTCTTGTTGACCTGTAGGCAGATACTGTTCAAAAGGACAAACAATGTTTCATTGAGGAACAGACTAAATGAATGGGCACCATATAAAACCACACAGAACATTAAATACTTCCTGGGACCCCTGCTTGGTGCAGTCTGGTGTCACTGTGCGATATTATAAACATCATTATCCACTGTCCCATCTGAAGCCATAGTATTTGTGAATGGTGAAGAAGCCTAGTTTTAGATGTGGATACTCATTGATTGAAAGGGGATCTGAAAACACTGTAGGCCTATATCTAAGTTGTGTATGTTACAACCTATGTTAAAATCAGTGTACATTACATGTAATATCTATTAAAACAGATCCACGTTGTAATCAGATCTGGATGGAAGGTGACTGGCTGTGTGAAGTTGGAGAGTAGACTTTTCACTAGGAACCAAAATGGCTAGGGGAACTCCTGTGACGTGTTTTGGCCTCCGCTACTCCCTGGTTCCCCCTCTCTCAGAGAGTAGGAGTAGGATGGGAGGGAGAGAGGGATAGTCTGTTTGTTGTCCCCAAAGAGAACACTTGTCTTATCAGGTATGGCTGGGGCCTTGAAGTGTGTTGTGCAGTAGTGTTTAGGCTCATGTCTTTCTGTCTCTTGCATGCACGCAGACGCTGACACGCAGACACACACACACACACACACACGCTCATACTGTCTCCCACTCGTGCGCTCTTTCCATTACATAGCCTCTTCCTTGCCCTTCGCTCGCTCTCTCGCGCTCTGTCTCTCCTCTCTGTCTGTCTGGTCCTGATTAAATGTGAGGAAGAAGGGAGGAGCAGGCAGCAGCACCAATCAGTCCAGAGTGACTGGAACTGATGTTGGTTGGGGCTGTTCTGATTGCAGCTCCCTTACAGATTTTTCGCTTTCTCACTCTGTTCTCCCTCCCTCTACTCCTTTCCTGCTTTCTTTCACTGCTGTTCGCTCATTCTCTGTTTCCAGCCAGGTAATCATCCATCCCTGGCCATTTCAGTCTAGCCTCCAGCAGAATCCTGTACTGCTTAAAGGCAAAACATGTTCCTATTATTTATGTGCTGTTCGAGACAGGAAAGAGGCAAGGGATCCAGTCCTTTCTTTTCTATTGGGAAATACCTTTTCAGGGCTGTAAATCTGTAGTCTCTCGTGGACAGAAGAAACAAAGATGGCTGGGGGCCTGCAGGCCAATGACTCAGCACTCCGTTTTTCAATGAAAGTGGAGACTAGCAATGAGAGATTAACTTCTCTCTCCCTCTCTCTCGTTATTTTGTTATCTTTCTGTAATTGATTCTCTCTCTCTCACTGGTGATTGAATGTCTGCCGTATCGACTCCGGCCTAAACAGACATATGGCTTAGATGTTTCTCTGGACTACTAGTCCTCTCTAGGGCTGTGGCGGTCATGTCTAAAGAAACATGATATGAAGAAAATGTAGTTTATTCAGAATAACAGAATAGCATACTCTGAGTTGTCCTTATGTTAGGCCCTGATATGGCCATGCCATATGGCTGTGGGTTACACTAGTTCATTTAGCAGACAAGATTTGCTTAGAATTCTTTATTATTTTATAGTATGAAGAATACAATTGAACATAGCTTAATAAAACAGAAATATTATTTTCTCCAAACGATTTCAAAGGAAGTGCGCACATGCAGCGATTCTGTGTTGAGTGGTTAACAAAGAAACTGGTCCTCCTATATGCTTAATTTAGAGTTATTTATTCAACTTTAGTTGTGATACAAACGTTGGGCTATATATTTGATTTTTAATACATTCTAAGGCTACATGATGGGATGATTTGAAACAAGTCGCAAGCTGCACACACTTCATCAGTCTCTCATTCACAATTTGACAAGGCCTTGATAATATTCTCACCAGGTCTCGAATTTTGATAATTCCCTTCTCCCGGCTGCCTTGCTCCGAAGCACCTCTCACTCACATTACATTTTAGTCATTTAGCCGACGCGCTTATCCAGAGCGACTTAGTTAGTGAGTGCATACATTGTCATACATTACTCGCTCAGATGTAGCCAATGCCCGTCACGTGATCGGGTCCATCTCTGGCCGAAGTGGAGTCTTTTGTTTAGACATGTAGCTAGCTAGGTAGCTAAATAATGAACCGGCATAATCCCAACTCCTACTACTACCAATACAAACATTGTTAAAGCTACAGTATGAATCTGCAGGTAGCTAAAGCTAACAAAATAGATTCAATGTTAGCTAGCTAACATTAGGCTATAGCTAGCAGTGCAAATGGATTTCTGATTTCGAATATTACTACACAGATCATACACGTAACGTTAGCTAGCGAGCCAGCAAGCTAACGTTTGCTAGCTAACAGTATGCTTTAACTAGCAATAAAAACGACTTTCTGACTAAATTAGAAACTTTTATCTGAGAATGTTGCTAGACTCTTACCCGTATACATGGATGAACGCTTCACGGCAGACTGGAACCATTTAACTCCGTTTTGTTTGTAGCTACGTCTTGTTTGGCCAGTGTTGTCAAGTCAATCCGATTCATACTGACCGTGGCGTGTGCAGAAAGTAGCCCATCACTTTTTCCAACTGATCTGTCGATAGCGCATGCTAAATTCAGGGCATCAATGTTGTTGAGAAAAGTAGCTAAACTTTTGTAGTTCTGGATGGCAAACGTTATATCTTTCAAAAACGGCACGGTAGAAAGGACTGTCAACACATACTGAACAGCTCACGTTATAGACAAACGCATGCTACATGGCAGACCAATCCAAACTCATCTCTCGGCATGTCCAGCCCATCCATTATCACAGCCAATCATGGCAAGCGGGAAGGTTCCTGTCTTTTTCCGTGGCTAAACCAACTAGGCTCGTAATTTATCAATTGTATTTGTATTTATGGATGGAATACAAGTTTGTTATGAAGGCACATGAAAGTTCACATGTTCCAGAAGGAATTTCTGTCCAAAAACACATTTTCATAAAAATAAAAAAAGGTTTACATTCAAATGCCGCTCCTGTGAAGTAGTGACGGGCGACATATGCCTAGTTTCCTGAAACAAGTCACATTTTCATGCAAGATAGGTAGGCTATACTCCTGTTGTAAAGCGAAGCAATGTGCTTAATATTAGGAAAGTTGATAAATAGTAGGCCTAGCCTATAGAAAGCTGATGGGATCCTCTTTTGAAGAGTCCATCAAAACTCAATTTTCTCACGCAATTGCATAGCCTATAGAAATGTTGCGCAACATGAGCTCATGGGCTGTCATGAAGTGTTTGATTAGATTTCAGATTCACATTTGCTACTAATGACCATCAACAGCATCAGAGCTTGGAGAAGCCTAATTACCGTGACTAACCGGTCAAGTGGAATTTTACTGCCATCATGACTCGTGACCGGTGGTAATACGGTCACTGTAACAGCCCTAGTTCTCTCTCAATCTCTCTTCCTCTCTCTCTGTTAACCTATCCCATCTCTCATTATGTTTATCTATTCTCTTTCTGTGAATTTACCTCCATGCTCTTTCTCCCTCTCTCGCTCCATTTTCCCCTCCCGCTTCTAACTCTTTCTGTATCTCCCTCCACACTCTCTCTTCTGTCTGCTCCCCCTCTCCCTCACCCACTATATCTCTGTGTGTTTTCACACACACACACGCAAGCAAGCTCATACACTCTGTCTCCCACTGGCGCTCTCGTTCCATTTATATTGCCTCATCCCTCTCTCTCTCTCACTCTCTCCGACCACTGCACTTCCTGTGGCTGGCCTTGTGCATTTTATGTTAGCTCTAGATATGTTAATGTAATCAGCATGAGTGGGGAGAGCCCTGGGGAACCAGAGAGGGAGTCGCAGCTGCGCCTCCTCTCTGCCCAGGAACAGCTCGGGAGCGGGTAGAGACAGAGCCAGTCCCACCCTGTACTGGAGGTACTGGAGTTAGCAATAGCGTCATCGTCCCCCCCCATACCCAGTCTGTGCTGAGTAACTACCTGCCACTATGTCATGATGTTCAGAATTAAACATGTTTTAAGTGTGGATACTCTCTTCATAATGCATTTTATAATTCCTTAAATCCAATTCAAAATGCATTTTATTGCACAGCATAGGTGCTTTCCTTGTGCTTATGGGTGAGATTGTACATGGGTGTGACTGTTTTAAATGTGTTAGGTGTTTGTGGGGGAGAGGGGCAAGGTGTCCTTGTATGTTTTTGCTGATGTTTGTGCATGCATACACACCTGTGTATGTGTTTGCATGATGGCCTTTGCAAGATCTGCACGTACACCTCCACAATGTCACTCCAGGTATAATGTTGATATTGATGTTAACCAGGCTTGCCTTTCATAGCAGAGCACTTGTTTTTGCTGAAGCTTTTGGCTTATAATATAACTGGTAACATTATATTTGTTAGTACTCTTACTACATGTGATGATGCAGCATGAATGTGTTAATTTCTTTGCCAGATGGAAAAGGATGTGTGCATTGTCTGTCGTCGTGTCAGTCCGTCTTTGTCCTTGTGTAGCAGAAAACATATGGACAGAGCCATATGGACAGAGCCATATGTTTCTCTACATAAGGCTCACATTTTTTCAGGGATAGTTCTGTAGAACAGGAGTCTAGAGGCATTATCTGTGGCTGTAGAGATAAAATTACTAAACAACAGCAGATCCACAGGCCCTTTTAGTAATCCACTCAGTTGTATAGAGGAGAATCAACACGACCTTGGATTCCTCTACTGTCACGACACACCAGACAGACAGCAAAACTTTGGAGAATCATGTTGGTGTCGTGATTGGATTAATCTTTTGGCATGCATGAGTTTCTTTGTGACTGTATGTGACGCACAGACAAACGCGTACAGTATTTAGACCCCTTCAATTTTTTAAATGTTCTTACGTTATAGCCTTATTCTAAAATTGATTAAATACAAAAATGGCCTCACCAATCTACCCCACAATACCCCATAATGACAAAGTGAAAACAGGTTTTTAGAAATGTTAGCAAATGTTATTTAAAATAAACAGTTACCTTATTTACATAAGTATTCAGACCCTTTGCTATGAGATTCGAAATTGCGCTCCGGTCCATCCTGTTTCCATTGATCATCCTTGATGTTTCTACACACCTGTCTATATAAGGTCCCACAGTTGACAGTGCATGTCAGAGCAAAAAACATGCCATGAGGTTGAAGGAATTGTCCGTAGAGCTCTGAGACAGGATTGGGTCAAGGCACAGATCTGGGGTAGTGTACCACAGTAGCACTTATGGGTCTCGCTGCTTCTGGGTGTCATGTCTGCAGCAATGAAGGTTCCCAAGAACACAGTGACCTCCATCATTCTTAAATGGAAGAAGTTTGGAACCACCAAGACTCTTCCTAGAGCTGGCTGCCTGGCCAAACTGAGCAATCGGGGGAGAAGGGCCTTGGTCAGGGAGGTGACCAAGAACCCGATGGTCACTCTGACAGAGCTCCAGAGTTCCTCTGTGGAGATGGTTGTCCTTCTGGAAGGTTCTCCCATCTCTGCAGCACTCCACCAATCAGGCCTTTATGATAGAGTGGACAGACAGAATCCACTCCTCAGTAAAAGGTACATGACAGCCCGCTTCGTGTTTGCCAAAAGGCACCTGAAGGACTGATGAAACCAAGATTGAACTCTTTGGCCTGAATGCCAAGCGTCACGTCTAGAGGAAACCAGGTGGCACCGCTCCTCACCTGGCCAATACCATCCATGTTGGTGGCAGCATCATGCTGTGGGGATGTTTTTCAGTGGCAGGGACTGGGAGACTAGTCAGGATTGAGGGAAAGATGAACGGAGCAAAGTACAGAGAGATCCCTGATGGGAACCTTCTCTACAGCGCTCAGGACCTCAGACTAGGGTGAAGGTTCAACTTCCAACAGGACAACGACCCTAAGCACACAGCCAAGACAATGCAGGAGTGGCTTCGGGACAAGTCTCTGAATGTCCTTGAGTGGCCCAGCCAGAGCTCGGACTTGAACCCGATCGAACATCTCTGGAGAGAACTGAAAATAGCTTTGCAGCGACGCTCCCCATCCAACCTGACAGAGCTTGAGAGTAACTGCAGAGAAGAATGGAGAAACTCCCCAAATACAGGTGTGCCAAGCTTGTAGCGTCATACCCAAGAAGACTTGAGGCTGTAATCACTGCCAAAGGTGCTTCAACAAAGTACTGAGTTTATTGTTTGTATTTTTTGCAAGAAAATCTAAAAACCTGTTTTTGCTTTGTCATTATGGGGTATTGTGTGTAGAAAAAAAACAATTTAATCAATTTTAGAATAAGGCTGTAACTTAACAAAATGTGGAAAAAGTCAAGGAAGGGGTCTGAATACTTTCCGAATGCACTGTATATACACATGCTTGTGTGATTTATTTTAACCTCAAACCTCATAACTAAGTGGAGAGGCTACGGATATGACCTAGGCAAGGCAAAAATATTGCATCCTTGATGTTGCCTCAATTTATAGAACACCACTTTTCATCCCTGCTCAGTGGGTACTGGCTCAGTGGGTACTGGCTCAGTGGGTACTGGCTCAGTGGGTACTGGCTCAGTGGGTACTGGCTCAGTGGGTACTGGCTCAGTGGTGTGATGGCTTGTCTTTGTGCCTTGTACCTTTATGACACCCAGAAGCAGAGAGACCAATAAGTGCTACTGTGGTTTCACATAGTTCTGTTCTTCCTCATTAGTGGGAGGTGGGCCGCAGTGGTGGAATGAGTGAGAAAGTGCTCTCTCATGCACTCTTTCAATTCAAGAAGCTTTATTGGCATGAAAAGTGAACAACCTAGAGTCCTGTACATGTACACTGAATGTACAAAACATTAAGGACACCTGCTCTTTCCATGACAGACTGACCAGGTGAATCCAGGTGAAAGCTATGATCTCTTATTGATGTCACTTGTTAAGTCCACTTCAATCAGTGTAGATGAAGGGGAGGAGACAGGTTAAAGAAGGATTTTTAAGCCTTGAGACGAGACATGGAATGTGTATGTGTGCCATTCAGTGGGTGAATGGGCAAGACAAATTATTTAAGTGCCTTTGAATGGGGTATGGTAGTAGGTGCCAGGCGCTCCGGTTTGTGACAAGAAATGCAACGCTGCTTGGTTTTTCACACAACAGTTTCCCTTGTGTATCAGGAATGGTCCACCACCCAAATGACATCAAGCCAACTTGACAAAACTGTGGGAAGCATTGGAGTCAACATGGGCCAGCATCCCTGTGGAACGCTTTCGACACCTTGTAGAGTCCATGACCCGACAAATTGAGGCTGTTCCAAGGGCAAAAGGGGGTGCAACTCAATATTAGGAAGTTTTCCTTTTTTTTTGTACACTCAGTCTTTTTCACACTCACGCTATTTCCTCTACCTCTTTTTCGCTCTCATGCAGTCTCCCCATCACCCCTCTCGTACCAGTACTCTCTCACACACCATTTCTCCCTTCTCCCCCTCCCCTTCTCCCTCCCTCCATCTGTTTGTGTCAGTTCTCAATAGCATGGACATAAATCTCTCACACACACAGTCCCAGTCCCAATGAGAAGCTGTAGCAAGACAAAGTGTGTGTGTGTGTGTTAGGTTTTTATTTTTGTTTAAAAAGTATCTTTCTCCAATATGTCTTATTTGGTCCATCAATGAAACGGACATACTCATAGCAGAGCTGAGGCTGATTGATCATGGTTGATGAATCACATGAGGTCCAATTTGATTGATCACATAACAGGGTCAATTTTCCTCACTGGATGATTGACAGCTCCACTGAGCCTTGGAGCCATGCCTGTTTTAATTAGCTATTTGATTTTCTAATCTGGCATCGATCCGCTCACTCACCCCCATTGTCTCAGAAAAGTTATGAAGACAGTACAGAAGTTTCTATCTGAAAAGTTACGCAGGTTAAACCCACTAGTTTCTTTCTGATTTAGGAGGCATTGTGGACAGTGTGTGACAGTATGCAGTAGTGTGGATGCCTTCCACAATGCAGTTGTTACTGTATGTTAGTTCTTCACTGAGTCATTGATCTCTGCACTGGCTGTGAGGTTTTGCTCCTAGAAAAATTGAGGTTTCTAGAGTATAAATCACAATACCACAGGGAATTAGCTTTGTTCTGTCGTAGCCGGCCGCGACCGGGAGACCCATGGGGCGGGGCACAATTAGCCAGCGTCGTCCAGGGTAGGGGCGGGCATGGCCGGCAGGGATGTAGCTCAGTTGGTAGAGCATGGCGTTTGCAACGCCAGGGTTGTGGGTTCGATTCCCACATGGGGCCAGTATGAAAATGTATGCACTCACTTAACTGTAAGTCGCTCTGGATAAGAGCGTCTGCTAAATGACTAAAATGTAAATGTAAATGTTCTGATGGCAGATTTTTTTGAGCACAGCACTGAGCTAAGAGTCAGAATGGAGAACACCCTAGTCGTAGCTGTGCTCGGCGCGAGGATACACCAATCCCTATCTTGTCCTAGCTCCCCTCAACCCCCTCTCTACAACTGAACCATATAGCCTGAGAGCGAGTGCGCAACACATAAATCCGTCCCCCGTCTCATTGGCGCTTATAAAAATGCCATGAATCAGCTCCAGCCGCAGCTCTCAACAGTTGTCGTCCTCCGCCCCCCCCCCCCGCACCTAATGATTTACTAGCTGAGCACCATAGCAGACTGACTGTGAAGCCCAGACTTTTACCAGTCCTCCTTTCTTTCCTCCTCCTTCATCCCTTCATCTGCCACCTTGCCTTTTATTCATTCACCCAACCTCCCATAACAGCTGTGTCAGGTGGTTTTTCCCGATTTCGTATTTAATTTTTTTGACTCATTTTGTGATTAAAAAAAAAAAAAAAAAAGTACTTTTTTTGCATCCTTTCAATAGAGTTCCAGACACTTGTAGAATCTATGCAATCTATCCATTGAAGTGGCTCGTGGTGGCCCAACGCCCTATTAAGACACTATATTGATTTTGTCACCTGTATATGGCTTACATCCTATATGTCTTTGTCTCTAGCCAAATAGTTAGTCCTAAATAGTTTCCAAGCTCATTTGATTCTGATCTTCACTCAAGCTTTAACGCTCCACAGTGTAGCTAATTGTGGTCTTGCATTGCGTACTTTCAAAGGGTATAAATGAGGCTTTAGGTCACCAACAGCTGTAAGACTAGCTGTAGCTCAATTGGTAGAGCAATGCGCTTGTAACACCAGGGTAGTGGGTTCGATCCCCGGGACCACCCATACGTAAAAATGTATGCACACATGACTGTAAGTCGCTTTGGAGAAAAGCGTCTGCTAAATGGCATATTATATTATATTATATTATAAGACACTGTCACACTACTCCTCTAGAGTGGACAGAGAGACAGCAGGTCTGATTTTCATACTAATAGATTTAAGAGAGTAGTCATCTTTCCAGCAACGCCAGTTAACACCAACTGGAAGGAAGTAATCATCAACTCCCCATTAGGGCTTGTCAGAGCACAAATATTATACCAGAATGCCCCCATTAACTCTAGCACAGTTTAAAATCACTAGTCTTATCTTGATCTCTGTCAACTTTTGACCCCTGCGATAGGACATCGAGTCACCTGCTTCCCCGTTGGTGAATCCAATGCAGTGTGTAGCCGTCGGATCCTGGACCCACAGAGGAGAAGTACTTGGCGAACGCTCTGTTTCCCTCAAAGTCCTCCATGTCCAACCTCGGCTCATAATTCCTCCTCAGGGTGAGATGGAAGATGTTCTCCAGCCCCAGCCAATACTCTCCATCTGCGTTGTCAAACCCTCTCTTGTAGTGATCCCATCGCCTGTGCCGTCCATCCTGCCGTCAGTGGCCATGTCACAGTACACCTGCACGCCGGACGTTGGGCCAATGGGGTAGATGCTGCTGGGTTGGGTGTTGTCATGGTTGTAGATGTCAGCACAGTCTAAAGGCAGGGTTTACTGAGAGTGGACGGCCACAGGAGCCAGTAGAGCCAGGAGCAACACTACCTTCATTCTACCGGGTGGAGAGAGTTGTTTCACATTGATTTGTGTTGTCTCGTTTTCTGTCTGATGGCTTTTCTGCTCGATTCTGACTCTCTTATGCCTGTGATGAGCCCAAAATAACATGATCAACATTACGGCTTTTATGGAGTTAACAAGTGCAATAGACCTTATCTGCTGACTGGGTGGAAATGTTGTAGCTGTGTGTGTTCAGTGATGTCAAGGTACCAGTACTGCTATTTGGTTCTTGACTAACAAGCAATGGCGAGAATCAGACGCCTGTGTATTTTCCTGAACCAAGATGTACGTGCGTGCATGCTAAGTTTTACAAAAACAGTTTTACAATTTGATAATCTATGAATGTAGGTGGATTTGCAGTTTTCACAATTTTGTTGCCTTAGACCCTGGAAGCATTTGGTCGTAGCAACTTTTAAAGCTACAGTCTGCGATTTAATACATCATTTTTGGGACTTTTCTGAAATATAGCCATTGATTCTTGAAGAATATAACTTATGCCACATGAGATTAGTTCAACTTTCTTAACCAATCAGAACCATTCAAACATGGTGAAACTATCATTTTCATTTCATGGATGGGCAGTCTTTACATCCATAGGTCTGTCTATGAATATGAGAGTAGATCTCCAGCCCCATCCCTCAGCCTTTTACCAAACCAAGAGGCGGGCGGACGTTTTGTTATATTTTATCTCCTCTTGGGGCAACATTTATCTAGTCTTGACAAAATGGGAAAACTGTGCGAACAAAGGGGTAAATACCATATATATAATATGGTTAATTCATAATGCAGTGTCCAGACTTTTTTTTTTTACCATGGGCTATGTTTTGGTGGTACATGTGTGCTGCTTTGGCTGATGTAATTGTACGAGGTTAAGACAGTTTGTATTGGGATGGAACACCTGTGTGTGACCCATCTGGGCTTCAGAGGTCTGACTGCGGTCAGGTGCCATATGAGGACAAGGCCTTTTGGCTAAGGTGTCCCTTCACCAATGACTTTGCAGAGTAATTCTTTTAAACCATTATCCTCTGCCTCCTCATAGTCATTTGATGCATTCCTATTGGTCCTCCTGTCCTGACACCTAACTTCCAGATGGTCCCTTCACATGGACACCCTGGCTTTGTTCAGACTCTCTACCCTTCTCAAGGTGTGCGCTCTTTCACTCCCAATCATACATTGGATTGGTGCAAGCATAGCTGGAAGGAGCTTCCACCATATTCCGCACACCAGTCCATTCCTTTTAAATCCATGAGGGGGAGTGTATAAGTACACACTTCAGGAGAAGGGTAGAGAATCGGAACGCAGCCAATGTCCCATAACAACCCCTTTTTTTTTATGTTATAGTAAGTTTTTAAACAGGAACACAAATCATACAAACAGGAATCAAGGCATCATAACGGACATGTTATTTTCTGAATCGATGAAAAGACGAAACCGTGGTTAGTTAAACCATCTCACTAAATACAGTTGTACCCATAATGGTTTGATAAGAAGATACAACAGAGTTTTGTTTGGGAACATAACTTGTGTAGCTATTTGTTGGAAGTGATAAAAAAGAGCATGCTAGTCTAAAACGCCTCACTAAATAACCCTACAATTATTTCCCCTCCTACTGTATTGTCAACACTCACTCTCTCCACCCTGATTATCAAGCTCTCCACCCTGATTTGACAACCTCCATGTCTCTTCACCTTGGACACGAGCCAGACACACTTAGCTCTATACTCTCCTCCCCGGCTCTCTCTCCCTCTCTCTCTCGCACCCTCTCTCTCGCTCTCTCCCTCTCTCTTCTCGCTCTCGCTCCCTCTCTCTTCTCCCTCTCTCTCCCTTCTCTCTTTGAGTCTTGCTGCCCCTCCCCCCCCCCCCCCCCCCCCCCCCCCCCCCCCACTCTCCCTCTACTTGAGTTGTGCTGTTCCTTCCTGTCCTAACCATAAAATATGTCATTGCCAGGCAGGGGTCAACCCATTAGTGAGAAGGGAACCTTGCCAGTCATAGATTTGACAATCTCAGTAAAGCCAGGTGACACAGAATGGAAGAATGCCCGTGCCCGCATCCCCTACTGCCCCCGGAGGACATTCATCACTGGGGGGGATAGGGGGTGAAGTGTGTGTGTGTGTGTGTGTGTGTGCTTGCGTAAAGCTGAGACATCATTGTATAGTACTTTTGTGTACAACATGATTCCAATTGGCTGGACTATCACAATCACATCCTGTCTGGCAGAATATAAAATCATTATTGTTCCGACAATTATATTCCTGTTATTTTCAGATTTGTCCACCAATGACCTAGCTATACTCTCTGGTGTCCTGTTCCCTGAAGGGAGGACTGAACTCACTACTGACTGCTACTTTGTTTTTGTTTATCCTCTTTTCTCTGAAACATTATCTGTGTTGATTTAATTAGGAAATAAAGTGCTGAGACCATTTGTTTTTGATGAGCAACTTGAGCCGCAAGGGGGGATCTTGACACTAGGAGAGTATGCGTGCGTGCTCTGAGGTTATTAGGCTCTGTGGGACTAGATGGAGGAGAGTTCTCCTCGCCATGCCCTCTTCCTCCAGGGTAAGGCAGTATACTCTAGGGACTCTCCCACTCAGGGGAGCAGGTTCCTGGTTCTCCTGAGCCCAGCCTCCCCCTTAGTCATCCAGGGCCTGGAAGACAAAACAAATGATTTACTCCGACTGACTGCAGCTAAACCTTATTATCTCTAGCTTAGATGTTACTGCCTGGTTCCATCAACATCACAACAACATACCTCTGGTTTAATTAACCTGTCAACACTCTCTCTCTCTAGGTCCAGGAAAAGGGTGGGGTGGGGGTGCTCCTTTAAAAGCCACACAGAGCAACAGCAGCAGCAAATTGCCTTGTCTTCATTATGCGTACAGTATTTCCATCACATCACTATTTAATGTAAGATGCTGCCCAGTGCCCATATACTGTAACAGTCATCTCATCCCACCACTAGCTCCATTCTAATTGGTTAGCATCCATAATGCTGTAATATATACAGGAAGTGCAATGCTTCCTGGCTCTTCTCCTCTCTTCCACTGTGATGAAATGGCACCGTATTCCCTATATAGTGCACTACTTTTGACCAAGGCCCGTCAAAAGTAGTTCACTGTCTATATAGGGATTAGGGTGCCATTTGAGACATGCAGTGATGCAGTGCCTGGTCTTTGTGTGCAGCTGGCTAAGTGTTGTATTCACTGTAGATCAGATTCACAACAATTATTATTTCTCAGTCTGTTCAGTCACTTCACCATGTTAGCCATTTATAATAGCCATCTCATCACACCTGCACTGGAAGGACAGCCATCCGGAAAATGTGTTCAAGTTGCGGTGACCGTATTACCGCCACACCGGCGGTCACGAGTCATGAACTTGCTAACTGCCTGGTACTCAGCACTCTATTGTCCCTCTAATCATTCTGACATCAATGCAAATGTAATCGAAAATCTAATCAAACACTTCATGAGAGCCCATGAGCTCATGTTGCGCAACATTTCTATAGGCTATGCAATTGCGAGAGAAAACAGAGTGATGGCCTCTACTAAAACGAGGAGGATCCCATCAGACTAGGCCTATTATATTTATTTCTCAACTTTCCTAATATTAAGCACATTGTTTATCTTTACAACAGGAGTATAGCCTACCTGGCTAGCATGAAAATGAACCACAAGAAAAGCGTCCTCCATCCGCTATTTAAGTGCATAGATGTATTTTTCCCGCTGCCCCGTTTCGAGACAGGTGCATGATAATGGTCCATTCTAAATCAAAACAAATTTCACACACATATTATTTAGTATATGTAAAGACAAGATTTAGTCAAGAATAGTCTGATGGGTGACAATATTAGCCTATCACTTGTGAATGATGCCCAGCATAAGGCAAGAAACAATGCCTTTTTTTGCGACCTTTTCTAATCATAGTCGCACACCTCATGTATCCTATATGTTTTGATAAGGTTTGTATCACAACTGAAGTGGCCACATAACTTCTTAAAATGAAGCACATTAATCCGCTTTACAAGGGGTTTAGAGCCTAACTGGCATACATATGTTTCAATTTGGAGAAGATCATTTTCACCATAAAAATGCACCTTTTTATAATAAAAGCATTACATGCATAATCACATTTGCGCTCACTTTTGATAATGGTGTTTTCCCGCTAATGGAACATTCGTGCTTGTAGTCTACTTCCATGTGGGCATTGCTGAGCTTTATAATGTGAAGAAATAGCCTAATAGTGTATCAAAATTTTTAAGCTAAACGTTCTGATCTGTTGCATCAGCCACATTGCATAAAAAATGTTTTGACGCTAGTGGTTGTATTAATTTGGGATCTATTGCACCCCAGAACTGTCCCAGACTATGTTTTGGAATATTTATTTCTCGCACAGAATAGAATAGGTTGACTTTTGTACTATGGGGGACAGTAGATTGACATAGGCTAGTGCTTTTGCTGTTCATTAGGCCTACTCATCTTGTTGGCTGACGAAAATTAAATGTGGACAGTTCTTCCAATATCTTCAATATGCACCTCGGAATTGCATAAGGACGCGCCCATTTGCGTCCCCTAAGTGTCTGTCTTCACTTGTAGCCTGTGAGAAAGACCCTTTGGATTGCGCAGCACTCAGGGAGATGGGAAAAATGGCCACTGGCCGCAAAAGGCATGGATTTTTTTAGGGTGCATTACGGCCACACAAAGGGGATGCCGCCGGGAAATTCAAGGCATTATCAAGTGCTTGTCAAATTGTGAATGAGAGACTGATGAAGTGTGTACAGCCTGCGCAAAAAAAAATGCTGAGTTCATGCCTTTCAAGCGACTTTTTTCAAATCATCATTATTTGCATAATGCAGCCTTACAATGTATTAAAAATAAAAAACATATAGCCCAACTTTTATAGAACAACTAAAGTTACATTAATAACTCTAAATTAAGCATATAGGAGTACCTATTTCTTTGTTAACCGATAAACTCAGAATAGCCACATGTGCGCACTCCCTCAAATTGTTTGGAGAAAATATCCTTTCTATTTTATTCAGCTTTGTTCAATTGTATTCTTCATACTATAAAATAAAATAAGGCCACGGAATTCTAACCAAATCTTGTCTGCTAAATGAACTAGTGTAGACCACAGCCGTATGGCATAGCCAGATCAGGACCTAACATATGGACAACTCAAAGTATGCTATTCTGTTCTTCTGAAATAGACTACGTTTTCTTCATATGTTTCTTTAGACCTGTCTAAAATAAATAATGTAGGCTATATTACATGGATTTATTAGACTTTTTTTTTAATGTAGATGTTCCAATGGTCTGCATCAGTGACTTGTAGGCTATGTGTGGAGGCCAGGAGATGCTAAATGTGTTTGTTAATTAACGGTCACTTACCTTGAGACCGACAGTTATTTGCTTGACAATCATCTGCTGACAAAATTTTGTGACCGCCACAGCCCTAGTTCAAGTTAAACTGAGGAGCGAGAGAAAGCAATAAGCAGCAATCAAAGAAAATTCCATAATGGAGTTGATCTTAGGGGAAATGAGGGAGTTGGCCAATTACATGCTGCTGCCTAAAGAGAGCTCTGTAACAACAATTTGGGATAATAATAGCAGTAAAGACTTGTTTTTGTTGCGTTTGGTTTCATCAATAGATACTTAGTTACAGAACTCCCACCCTAGGTGAGAGGCTAGCCTACCCTTTTATCCCTTAGACCAGGGGTGTCAAACTCATTTTAGCTCAGGGGCCACATGGAGGAAAATCTATTCCCAAGTGGGCCGGACCGGAAAAATCATGATATATATAACTTAAAAACAACAACTTCAGATTGTTTTCTTTGTTTTAATACGATCAACATACAACATAAAGCTGGAGCCTGAGGACAGTGTGTCCAAAATAGTACAAGCACAACATCACTATTAATCATAAAACACCTCAAGTTATTTGAAAGTTCTGAGGACAAAGAACACACAAACGCACAATGCCTCAGTGATTAACAGAACTGTTTCACAGATCACAGAACTATATCAGGGTGTCATTTCTCAGGCAGAAATGTAGATAAAAATAATGAAATCCTGTTCGCCAAACAAGTGCAAGAACCACAGAGTCAAGAATAGGTTAAATATACAAATAAAATCAATTAAAAACAATAGCACATCAACATAAAAACATATAAACATAAATCTGAAAGCGTTGCTCAAACTCCCGTAACAGTCCCGTTATTTTATCTTTGAACCGCTTCATGTCTGCCACATGTTGGGTCGCGCACACATTTTTCAGACAGGGGAAGTGAGCTGCATCACCACCGGCAAGTTGCGTCTCCCACAATGACAGCTTCAACTTGAAAGAACGTATGCTGTCATAATATTGCGTGACAACTTTGTTGCGCCCTTGCAGCTGTTTGTTCAAGTTATTCAGGTGCTCTGTAACATCCACCATAAATGCAAGGTCCTGCATCCATTCTGCGGAATGAAATTCTAACACTGGTTTGCCCTTTTCTTCCATGAACTGTTCAATTTCTTCTCGTAAATCAAAGAAACGCCTCAGCACAGCACCTCGGCTTAACCATCTTACCTCAGTGTGGTATGGCAGGCCATAGATGTGGTCTTTCTCTCTGAGAAGGCTGTCAAACTGACGGTGATTCAGGCTTCTGGATCTAATGAAATTAACAGTTTGGATGACCACCTTCATGACGTTATCCATCTTTAATGACTTGCAACACAAAGCCTCCTGGTGCAAAATACAGTGAAAAGTCAAAAAATCACATCCTCCATTTGCAGATTGCAGTTTCTCTCTGAACTTTGTCACAACGCCTGCTTTTTTCCCGATCATTGAGGGCGCACCATCTGTAGCCAGGCTGACAGCGCGGGACCAGTCCACTCCAACCCTGTCCAGCGCGCCGACGAGTGCGGTAAAAATATCAGCTGCTGTCGTATCTGTCATCGGCACCAACTCCACGAACTCCTCGGTGACGGTCAATGTGTCATCAACTCCGCGGATGAAAATGGCCAGTTGTGCAACATCTGTAATGTCCGTGCTTTCATCAATTGCAACCGAAAACGCAATAAATGACTTTACTTTTTGCTTCAACTGGCTGTCCAAATCCACTGAAAGATCGGAAATCCTGTCTGCAACTGTGTTTCTTGTCAGGCTGATATTTGCAAAAGCCTGCCGCTTTTCAGGGCACACAATCTCCGCTGCCTTCATCATGCATGTTTTTACAAATTCACCCTCACTAAATGGTTTTGAAGCCACTGCGATTTCATTAGCAATGAGGTAGCTAGCTTTCACTGCAGCGTCACTGATGTCTCGACTGTGAGTAAACACAGACTGCTGTTTCTTCAGACCCGCCAACAGTTCATTCACCTTCTCTCATCTCCGCTGTCCTTGAAAGTTGTCATATTTGTCAGCATGAAGACTCACATAGTGGCGACGAAGGTTATATTCTTTCAGCACTGTAACATGCTCTGAACACACCAAACATACAGCTTTCCCATTCAATTCCGTGAATAAATAGGATGACCATCTTTCTTGGAACACTCTGCACTCTGCGTCCACTTTTCTCTTTTTTGACAGAGACATATTGGGGCAATGAGGGTGCCAAAGCACATAATGTTAAAAGTAGAAGCCGTAATAAATATCGCGGGCAAAACAAAGTAGCTCATTGGCTGCACGTGCTTGACCTACTTGCTCTGCCCCGGTATAGGGGCATTAAACAATCGTATTAATACGATCAACATACAACATAAAGCTGGAGCCTGAGGACAGTGTGTCCAAAATAGTACAAGCACAACATCACTATTAATCATAAAACACGTCAAGTTTATTTGAAAATTCTAAAGAAAAAGAACACACAAACACACAATGCCTCAGTGATTAACAGAACTGTTTCACAGATCACAGAACTATTTGTTTGTGGGATAGGATGAGGCACCGTGGGTAGTAGGAAGTTAGGAGTGGTAGGAATATATACACTACCTGTTCAAAAGTTTGGGGTCACTTAGAAATGTCCTTGTTTTCCATGAAAACATACATGAAATGCATAGGAAATGTAGTCATTGACAAGGTTAGAAATAATGATTTTTAATAGAAATAATAATTGTCGTTCACACTTTGCTTTCGTCAAAGAATCCTCCATTTGCAGCAATTACAGCCTTGCAGACCTTTGGCATTCTAGTTGTCAATTTGTTGAGGTAATCTGAAGAGATTTCACCCCATGCCTCCTGAAGCACCTCCCACAAGTTGGATTGGCTTGATGGGCACATCTTACGTACCATACGGTCAAGCTGCTCCCACAACAGCTCAATAGGGTTAAGATCCGGTGACTGTGCTGGCCACTCCATTATAGACAGAATACCAGCTGACTGCTTCTTCCCTAAATAGTCCTTGCATAGTTTGGAGCTGTGCTTTGGGTCGTCCACAGGGTATGGCATGGCGTTGCAAAATGGAGTGATAGCCTTCCTTCTTCAAGATCCCTTTTACCCAGTACAAATCTCCCACTTTACCACCACCAAAGCACCCCCAGACCATCACATTGCCTCCACCATGCTTGACAGATGGCATCAAGCACTCCTCCAGCATCTTTTCATTTGGTCTGCATCTCACAAATGTTCTTCTTTGTGATCCGAACACCTCAAACTTCAATTCATCTGTCCATAACACTTTTTTCCAATCTTCCTCTGTCCAGTGTCTGTGTTCTTTTGCCCATCTTAATATTTTCTTTTAATTGTATAGTCTGAGATATGGCTTTTTCTTTGCAACTCTGCCTAGATGGTCAGCATCCCGGAGTCGCCTCTTCACTGTTGACGTTGAGACTGGTGTTTTGTGGGTACTATTTAATGAAGCTGCCAGTTGTTTCTCAAACTACACACTCTAATGTATTTGTCCTCTTGCTCAGTTGTGCACCGGGGCCTCCCACTCCTCTTTTTATTCTGGTTAGAGCCAGTTTGCGCTGTTCTGTGAAGGGAGTAGTACACAGCGTTGTACGAGATCTTCAATTTCTTGGCAATTTCTCGCATGGAATATCCTTCATTTCTCAGAACAAGAATAGACTGACGATTTTCAGAAGAAAGTTATTTGTTTGGTCAGCGCATGCTCGGAGTACACGTCCTGGTAATCCGTCTGGCCCTGCGGCCTTGTGAATGTTAACCTGCTTAAGTCTTACTCACATCGGCTACGGAGAGTGTGATCACATAGTCATCCGGAGCAGCTGATGCGCTCATGCATGCTTCAGTGTTGCTTGCCTCGAAGCGAGCATAGAAGTGATTTAGCTCGTCTGGTTGGCTTGTGTCACTGGGCAGCTCGCAGCTGTGCTTCCCTTTGTAGTCTGTAATAGTTTGCAAGCCCTGCCACATCCGACAAGCGTCGGAGCCGGTGTAGTACGATTCAATCTTAGTTCTGTATTGACTCTTTGACTGTTTGATGGTTCATTGGAGGGCATAGCGGGATTTATTTGTACGCGTGTCTGTGTGTGGAGTAAAGATGGTCTAGAGTGTTTTTTCCCTCTGGTTTCACATTTAACATGCTGGTAGAAATTAGGTTGAACGGATGTAAGTTTCCCTGTGGTGGTAAATAGACAGCTACGACAAATATAGAAAACTCTCTTGGTAAATAGTGTGGTCTACAGCTTATCATGAGATACTCTACCTCAGGCGAGCAAAACCTTGAGACTTCCTTAGTATTAGATTTTATGCACCAGCTGTTGTTTACAAATATACAGAGACCGCCACCCCTTGTCTTACCGGAGTCAAACGTTCTATCCTGCCGATGTAGCCTATATCCCGCCAGCTGTATGTTATCCATGTCGTCATTCAGCCACGACTCGTGAAACATAAGATATTACAGTTTTTAATGTCCCGTGGTAGGATATTCTTGATCTTTGGTCGTCCATTTTGTTTTCAAATGATTGTATGTTGGCTATTAGGATTGATGGAAGATGCAGCTTACTCGCTCGCCGTCGCATCCTTACAAAGCACCCATACCTACGTCCACGATGTCTCTTTCTCATGCAATGACGGGGAATTGGGACTTGTCGGGTGTCTGTAGAATATCCTTCGCCTCCGACTCGTTGAAGAAAAAATCTTCGTCCAACACGAGGTGAGTAATCGCTGTCCTGATATCCAGAAGCTCTTTTTGGTCATAAGAGACGGTGGCAGAAACTTGTACAGAATAAATTACAAATAACGCGAAAAAACACACACAATAGCACAATCGGTTAGAGGGCCGTAAAGCGGCAGCCATCTCCTCCGGCGCCATCTTCACAATCAGTTTTGTTGTGACAAGGTAGGGCTGGTATACAGAAGATAGCCCTATTTGGTAAGACACCAAGTCAATATTATGGCAAGAACAGCTCAAATAAGCAAAGAGAAACGACAGTCCATCATTACTTTAAGACATGAAGGTTAGTCAATCTGGAAAATATCAACAACTTTGAAAGTTTCTTCAAGTGCAGTTGCAAAAACCATCAAGCGCTATGATGAAACTTGCTCTTGTGAGGACTGCCACAGGAAAGGAAGACCCAGAGTTACCTCTGCTGCAGAGGATAAATTCATTAGAGTTAACTGCACCTCAGATTGCTTGGGCCAAGTAATACAAGCAATGGACATTAGACCGGTGGAAATCTGTCATGTCTTTGTGAGACGTAGAGTAGGTGAACGGATGATCTCCTCATGTGTTGTTCCCACCATGAAGCACGGAGGACGTGTGAAGGTGTGGGGGTGCTTTGCTGGTGATACTGTCTGTGATTTATTTAGAAGACACACTTAACCAGAATGGCTACCACAGCATTCAGCAGCGATACGCCATCCTTTCTGGTTTGCGCTTAGTGGGACTATCATTTGTTTTTTCATCAGGACAATGACCCAAAACACACCTCCAGGCTGTGTAAGGGCTATTTGACCAAGAAGGAGAGTGATGGAGTGCTGCATCAGATGACCTGGCCTCCACAATCACCCGACCTCAACCAAATTGAGATGTTTTGGGATGAGTTGGACCGCAGCGTGAAGGAAAAGTAGCCAACCGGTGCTAAGCATATGTGGGAACTTCTTCAAGACTGTTGGAAAAGCATTCCTCATGAAGCTGGTGGAGAGAATGCCAAGAGTGTGCTAAGCTGTCATCAAGGCAAAGTGTTACTCAACAAAAATATAAACTCAACATGCAACAATTTCAATAATTTGATTTGAGTTAATGTTCATATAAGGAAATCAGTCAATTGAAATAAATTCCTTAGGCCCTAATCTATGGATTTCACATGAATGGGCAGGGGCGCAGCCATGGGTGGGCCTGGGAAGGCAGAGGCCCACCCACTGGGGAGCCAGGCCCAGCTAATTAGAATAAGTTTTTCCCTACAAAAGGGCTTTATTACAGACCGAAATACTCCTCAGTTTCATCAGCTGTCCAGGTGGCTGGTTTCAGACGATCCCGCTGGTGAAGAAGCTGGATGTGGAGTCCTGGGCTGACGGGGTTACACGTGGTCTGCAGTTGTGAGGCCGGTTGGACGTACTGCCAAATTCTCTAAAACGAAGGAGGCGGCTTATGGTAGAGAAATTAACATTCAATTCTCTGGCAACAGCTCTGGTGCACATTCCTGCAGTCAGCATGCCAATTGCACGCTCCCTCAAAACTTGAGACATATGTGGCATTGTGTTGTGACAAAACTGCAAATTTTTGTGGATTTTTATTGTCCCCAGCACAAGGTGCACCTGTGTAATGATCATGCTGTTTAATCAGTTTCTTGATATGCCACACCTGTCAGGTGGATGGATTATCTTGGCAAAGGAGAAATGCTCACTAACAGGGATGTAAGCTAATTTGTGCACAACATTTGAGAGGGATAAGCTATTTGTGCATATTGACAATTTCTTCGCTCTTTTTATTTCAGCTCATGGGACAAACACTTTACATGTTACGTTTGATATTTTTGTTCACTATATTTATTTCCTGTGTGTGTGTGTGTTATTTTTTATTTTTATTTTTTATAAACCTTTCTTATTTTTTCCCCCCCCCCCATCTTTTATTATTATGATATTATATATTTAAGTCCAGTATATATTGGCCACGTAAGCCTGACAGTGAAAAGGAAATTCTGTAGCACACATCTCTCATATCATTTCAGATATACGTTCAGGAGAGGGTCCCTCACCCCCTCCTTCCTTCCCTCCTGTCTGGTCATGCAGCATTAGCATGCAAAGTGTTAGCTGTTGTGTTAGCACTAAGCTAGCTGAGAGCAAGGGATGGAGGGAGAGAGCAAAGGAAAAGCACTTCAAGAGCTAATTGCAGCCTTCCTCTCGCTCCTACATATTATACATGTAATGGAGCTGAAACCTGCTAGACAGTCATCCCTCCTTTTTATGAGATCGACAGATCACAGTATAGCTATACGTCTGCCACAGCTCCCCTGAAACCACCTGACAATGACATGACATTCTATAGAATTAGACTGAAGATTTATTTAACACTGTTTTATGCGGCTCTGAGAGGTTGTTTTATTTTTAAAAAAAAAGAGGATGACATTTACAGTGGGGGAAAAAAGTATTTAGTCAGCCACCAATTGTGCAAGTTCTCCCACTTAAAAAGATGAGAGAGGCCTGTAATTTTCATCATAGATACACGTCAACTATGACAGACAAAATGAGAAAAAAAAATCCAGAAAATCACATTGTAGGATTTTTAATGAATTTATTTGCAAATTATGGTGGAAAATAAGTATTTGGTCAATAACAAAAGTTTCTCAATACTTTGTTATATACCCTTTGTTGGCAATGACACAGGTCAAACGTTTTCTGTAAGTCTTCACAAGGTTTTCACACACTGTTGCTGGTATTTTGGCCCATTCCTCCATGCAGATCTCCTCTAGAGCAGTGATGTTTTGGGGCTGTCGCTGGGCAACACGGACTTTCAACTCCCTCCAAAGATTTTCTATGGGGTTGAGATCTGGAGACTGGCTAGGCCACTCCAGGACCTTGAAATGCTTCTTACGAAGCCACTCCTTCGTTGCCCGGGCGGTGTGTTTGGGATCATTGTCATGCTGAAAGACCCAGCCACGTTTCAGCTTCAATGCCCTTGCTGATGGAAGGAGGTTTTCACTCAAAATCTCACGATACATGGCCCCATTCATTCTTTCCTTTACACGGATCAGTCGTCCTGGTCCCTTTGCAGAAAAACAGCCCCAAAGCATGATGTTTCCACCCCCATGCTTCACAGTAGGTATGGTGTTCTTTGGATGCAACTCAGCATTCTTTGTCCTCCAAACACGACGAGTTGAGTTTTTACCAAAAAGTTCTATTTTGGTTTCATCTGACCATATGACATTCTCCCAATCCTCTTCTGGATCATCCAAATGCACTCTAGCAAACTTCAGACGGGCCTGGACACGTACTGGCTTAAGCAGGGGGACACGTCTTGCACTGCAGGATTTGAGTCCCTGGCGGCGTAGTGTGTTACTGATGGTAGGCTTTGTTACTTTGGTCCCAGCTCTCTGCAGGTCATTCACTAGGTCCCCCCGTGTGGTTCTGGGATTTTTGCTCACCGTTCTTGTGATCATTTTGACCCCACGGGGTGAGATCTTGCGTGGAGCACCAGATCGAGGGAGATTATCAGTGGTCTTGTATGTCTTCCATTTCCTAATAATTGCTCCCACAGTTGATTTCTTCAAACCAAGCTGCTTACCTATTGCAGATTCAGTCTTCCCAGCCTGGTGCAGGTCTACAATTTTGTTTCTGGTGTCCTTTGACAGCTCTTTGGTCTTGGCCATAGTGGAGTTTGGAGTGTGACTGTTTGAGGTTGTGGACAGGTGTCTTTTATACTGATAACAAGTTCAAACAGGTGCCATTAATACAGATAACGAGTGGAGGACAGAGGTGCCTCTTAAAGAAGAAGTTACAGGTCTGTGAGAGCCAGAAATCTTGCTTGTTGGTAGGTGACCAAATACTTATTTTCCACCATAATTTGCAAAAAAATTCATAAAAAAATCCTACAATGTGATTTTCAGGATTTTTTTTCTCAATTTGTCTGTCATAGTTGACGTGTACCTATGATGAAAATTACAGGCCTCTCATCTTTTTAAGTGGGAGAACTTGCACAATTGGTGGCTGACTAAATACTTTTTTTCTCCACTGTATGTATGTTGGAAATCATATGTTTCTTCATTGAAGAAAGATTTCATTTGTGAAGATAACTGGAATGCTGCTGTAGCCAATAAAGTCTACTGTATGTCGTCGGCTATAGAGAAAGCCATAGTAGTACTATACTGTGTTGACAATGCTATCCCCGACTGCAGACTGATGTGTGTGTGGACAGGACATGACTCCTGTAATTAATGTTTGATGTGACCTTTTGCTTCAGTGAATGCAATGTCATAGAGTTGTCATAAAGATGACACAGGTGACACAACAGCTGTCATAAGCCATCCCATCAAATCATATGGCTTTATGACCCCAACCGTGCCCTGTGACACATTGTGGTTCCTCATCCTAACTCAAGATGCACAAAAGCAACTCTATTTTCTTGTAAATCATGCATTGAAGTCAATGGGAAATTGGAATGAAGGCCCACAACATAAATCGAAGTTGAGTATTTCAGCCCAACGGCTCTGTTAGGCTGGGTGCTGCTGGGGAGGGAGGGGGGTTCCCGGCCCAGCGCAGCGAGGCCAGGGACCTGATCAGGATTCTGGGAAGCTTGGCATCGATTGCTGCCTCCCTGACCATGACTCACAGAGAGATGTGGAGATGCTGCCTCACCTCAGAAACTAACCGTCACTTTCTTCTCTCTTCATCTCTTCTCTCGCTCTCTGTCTCTGTCTCTCTCACTCTCAGCTCTGACCGCCTGATGGATGACACAATAAGGTAAGCCTAATGCAGACAGACTATCTCTCTCAAACAGCATATGTTTTACTATCCTTGTGGGGACATACAATTTATTTACATTCAAAATCCTATTTTCCCTGACCCCTAAACCTTACCCTCACCCTAATTGTAACTCTAAACCTAACCCCTAAGTCTAAAATAGCTGGGAAATGTCCCCACGAGGGAGAAACTTCCTTGTTTTACTATACTTGTTGGGACTTTGGAGGATTTCCGATACCCACGAGGAGTCTCTCTCTCTCTCTCTCTCTCTCTCACTCATTCACTCACTCACTCACTGACTCACACACACACTCACTCACTCTGTCTCTCTCGCGCTCTTTTATTATATAAACTCAGCAAAAAAAGAAACGTCCTCTCACTGTCAACTGCGTTTATTTTCAGCAAACTTAACATGTGTAAATATTTGTATGAACATAACAAGATTCAACAACTGAGACATGAACTGAACAAGTTCCACAGACATGTGACTAACAGAAATGGAATAATGTGTCCCTGAACAAAGGGTGGGGTCAAAATTAGTAACAGTCAGTATCTTGTGTGGCCACCAGCTGCATTAAGTACTGCAGTGCATCTCCTCCTCATGGACTGCACCGGATTTGCCAGTTCTTGCTATGAGATGTTACCCCACTCTACCACCAAGGCACCTGCAAGTTCACGGACATTTCTGGGGGAGAATGGCCCTAGCCCTCACCCTCCGATCCAACAGGTCCCAGATGTGCTCAATAGGATTGAGATCCGGGCTCTTTGCTGGCCATGGCAGAACACTGACATTCCTGTCTTGCAGGAAATCACGCACAGAGCGAACAGTATGGCTGGTGGCATTGTCATGCTGGAGGGTCATGTCAGGATGGGCCTGCAGGAAGCGTACCACATGAGGGAGGAGGATGTCTTTCCTGTAACGCACAGCGTTGAGATTGCCTGCAATGACAACAAGCTCAGTCCGATGATGCTGTGACACACCGCCCCAGACCATGACGGACCCTCCACCTCCAAATAAATCCCGCTCCAGAGTACAGGCCTCGATGTAACGCTCATTCCTTCGACGATAAACGTGAATCCGACCATCACTCCTGGTGAGACAAAACCGCGATTCGTCAGTGAAGAGCACTTTTTGCCAGTCCTGTCTGGTCCAGCGACGGTGGGTTTGTGCCCATAGTCGACGTTGTTGCCGGTGATGTCTGGTGAGGACCTGCCTTACAACAGGCCGACAAGCCCTCAGCCTATTGCGGACAGTCTGAGCACTGATGGAGGGATTGTGCATTCCTGGTGTAACTCTGGCAGTTGTTGTTGCCATACTGTACCTGTCCCGCAGGTGTGCTGTTCGGATGTACCGATCCTGTGCAGGTGTTGTTACATGTGGTCTGCCACTGCAAGGACGATCAACTGTCCGTCCTGTCTCCCTGTAGTGCTGTCTTAGGCGTCTCACAGTACGGACATTGCAATTTATTGCCCTGGCCACATCTGCAGTCCTCATGCCTCCTTGCAGCATGCCTAAGGCACATTCACACAGATGAACAGGGACTCTGGGCATCTTTCTTTTGGTGTTTTTCAGAGTCAGTATAAAGGCCTCTTTAGTGTCCTAAGTTTTCATAACTGTGACCTTAATTGCCTACCGTCTGTAAGCTGTTAGTGTCTTAAAGACAGTTCCACAGGTGCATGTTCATTAATTGTTTATGGTTAATTGAACAAGCATGGGAAACAGTGTTTAAACCCTTTACAATGAAGATCTGTGAAGTTATTTTGATTTTTATGAATTATCTTTGAAAGACAGCGTCCTGAAAAAGGGATGTTTCTTTTTTTGCTGAGTTATACACTACCGCATTGTAGAATAATAGTGAAGACATCAAAAATATGGAATAATGTAGTAACCCCAAAAAGTGTTAAACAAATCAAAATATTTTATATTTGAGATTCTTCAAAGTAGCCACCCTTTGCCTTGACAGCTTTGCACACTCTTGGCATTCTCTCATCCAGCTTCATGAGGTAGTCACCTGGAATGCATTTCAGTTAACAGGTGTGCCTTCTTAATGCGTTTGAGCCAATCAGTTGTGTTGTGAAAAGGTAGGGGGGGTATACAGAAGACAGCCCTATTTGGTAAAAGACCAAGTCCATATTATGGCAAGAACAGCTCAAATAAGCAAAGAAAAATGACAGTCCATCATTACTTTAAGACATGAAGGTCAGTCAATCCGGAAAATTTCAAAAACTTTGAACGTTTCTTCAAGTGCAGTCGCAAAAACCATCAAGCGCTATGATGAAACTGGCTCTCATGAGGACCGCCACAGGAATGGAAGACCCAGAGTTACCTCTGCTGCAGAGGATACGTTTATTAGTTACCAGCCTCAGAAATTGCAGCCCAAATAAATGCTTCACAGAGTTCAAGTAACAGACACATCTCAACATCAACTGTTCAGAGGAGACTGTGTGAATCAGGCCTTCATGGTCGAATTTGCTGCAAAGAAACCACTACTAAAGGACACCAATAAGAAGAAGAGAGTTGTTTGGGCCAAGAAACACGAGCAATGGACATTAGACAGGTGGAAATCTGTCCTTTCGTCTGATGAGTCTAAATTTGAGATTTTGGTTATCAACCGCAGTGTCTTTGTGAGACGCTGTGTGGGTGAACGGATGATCTCTGCATGTGTATTTCCCACCGTAAAGCATGGAGGAGGTGGCGTTATGGTGTGGGGGTGCTTTGCTGGTGATACGCCATCCCATCTGGTTTGGGCTTAGTGGGACTATTATTTGTTTTTCAACAGGACAATGACCCAACACACCTCCAGGCTGTGTAAGGGCTATTTGACCAAGAAGGAGAGTGATGGAGTGCTGCATCAGATGACCTGGCCTCCACAATCCACCGACCTCAACCAAATTGAGATGGTTTGGAATGAGTCGGACGTCAGAGTGAAGGAAAAGCAGCCAACAAATGCTCAGTATATGTGGGAACTCCTTCAAGACTTTTGGAAAAGCATTCCAGGTGAAGCTGGTTGAGAGAATGCCAAGAGTGTGCAAAGCTGTCATCAAGGAAAAGGGTGGCTATTTATGATGTGTATATTTAATGGACTATGAGATAAAACTGGGGTAATCACAAACATAGAGTTAGAAGTATTTGTTACTGGGCCAGGAATTTAATTGGGTCATTTCACTGTGTGTGTGGGGGTAAAGAGGGAATCTGACCTAGGGTTAAATTGCTTGCTCTTACTTAAATCCATGGCTGTCTTATCTCATCAGAGACTGAACCTAGCTTGTGGCCTTTTGTTTCTCTCTTCAAACACAGTGAAGGGAGAGGCACCAGGGTTGAATGGAGTTTGGGCTAGACCTTTGTCTCTCCTTGGCTGATGGGGTGGGGTTGGTGTATGTTTCAAGGATTTAGGGACCTGTCATGTCCAACAATCGGTCTTCAGGTTAAGCCCGGGAGAGCCGGGGTTGAACAGAGTTTAAACTAAACATGAGTGTTTTTGCAAGACAGGGGAGTGATTGATTGTAGTACTATGTGATTCTGAACATACATTGAGGGGGGGGGAAGTATTTGATCCCCTGCTGATTTTGTACGTTTGCCCACTGACAGACATGATCAGTCTATAATTTTAATGGTAGGTTTATTTGAACAGTGAGAGACAGAATAACAACAACAAAATCCAGAAAAACGCATGTCAAAAATGTTATAAATTGATTTGCATTTTAATTAGGGAAACATGTATTTGACCCCCTCTCAATCAGAAAGATTTCTGGCTCCCAGGTGTCTTTTATACAGGTAATGAGCTGAGATTAGGAGCACACTCTTAAAGTGAGTGCTCCTAATCTCAGTTTGTTAGCTGTATAAAAGACACCTTTCCACAGAAGCAATCAATAAATCAGATTCCAAACTTTCCACCATGGCCAAGACCAAAGAGCTCTCCAAGGATGTCAGGGACAAGATTGTAGACCTACACAAGGCTGGAATGGGCTACAAGACCATTGCCAAGCAGCTTGGTGAGAAGGTGACAACAGTTGGTGCGATTATTCGCAAATGGAAGAAACACAAAATAACTGTTAATCTCCCTCGGCCTGGGGCTCAATGCAAGATCTCACCTCGTGGAGTTGCAATGATCATGAGAACGGTGAGGAATCAGCCCAGAACTACACGGGAGGATCTTGTCAATGATCTCAAGGCAGCTGGGACCATAGTCACCAAGAAAACAATTGGTAACACACTACGCCATGAAGGACTGAAATCCTGCAGCGCCCGCAAGGTCCCCCTGCTCAAGAAAGCACATATACAGTTGAAGTCGGAAGTTTACATACACCTTAGCCAAATACATTTAAACTCAGTTTTTCACAATTCCTGACATTTAATCCTAGTAAAAATTCCCTGTCTTAGGTCAGTTAGGATCACCACTTTATTTTAAGAATGTGAAATGTCAGAATAATAGTAGAGAGATTTATTTCAGCTTTTATTTCTTTCATCACATTCCCAGTGGGTCAGAAGTTTACATGCACTCAATTAGTATTTAGTAGCATTGCCTTTTAAATTGTTTAACTTGGGTCAAACGTTTCGGGTAGCCTTCCACAAGCTTCCCACAATAAGTTGGGTGAATTTTGGCCCATTCCTCCTGACAGAGCTGGTGTAACTGAGTCAGGTTTGTAGGCCTCCTTGCTCGCACACGCTTTTTCAGTTCTGCCCACACATTTTCTATAGTATTGAGGTCAGGGCTTTGTGATGGCCACTCCAACACCTTGACTTTGTTGTCCTTAAGGCATTTTGCCACAACTTTGGAAGTATGCTTGGGGTCATTGTCCATTTGGAAGACCCATTTGCGACCAAGCTTTAACTTCCTGACTAATGTCTTGAGATGTTGCTTCAATATATCCACATAATTTTCCTTCCTCATGATGCCATCTATTTTGTCAAGTACACCAGTCCCTCCTGCAGCAAAGCACCCCCATGGCATGTTTCTGCCACCCCCGTTGTTCACGGTTGGGATGATGTTCTTCGGCTTGCAAGCATCCGCATTTTTCCTCCAAACATAACGATGGTCATTATGGCCAAACAGTTCTGTTTTTGTTTCATCAGACCAGAGAACAGTTCTCCAAAAAGTACGATATTTGTCCCCGTGTGCAGTTGCAAACCGTAGTCTGGCTTTTTTATGGCGGTTTTGGAGCAGTGGCTTCTTCCTTTTGAGTGGCCTTTCAGGTTATGACGATATAAGACTCGTTTTACTGTGGATATAGATACTTTTGTACCGGTTTCCTCCAGCATCTTCACAAGGTCCTTTGCTGTAGTTCTGGGATTGATTTGCACTTTTCACACCAAAGTACGTTCATCTCTAGGAGACAGAACGCGTCTCCTTCCTGAGCGGTATGACGGCTGCGTGGTCCCATGGTGTTTATACTTGCGTACTATTGTTTGTACAAATGAATGTGGTACCTTCAGGCTTTGGAAATTGCTCCCAAGGATGAACCAGACTTGTGGAGGTCAACAATTATTTTTCTGAGGTCTTGGCTGACTTCTTTTTGATTTTCCCATGATGTCAAGCAAAGAGGCACTGAGTTTGAAGGTAGGCCTTGAAATACATCCACAGGTACACCTCCAATTAGCTCAAATGATGTCAATTAGCCTATCAGAAGCTTCTAAAGCCATGACATCATTTTCTGGAATTTTCCAAGCTGTTTAAAGGCACAGTCAACTTAGTGTATGTAAACTTCTGACCCACTGGAATTGTGATACAGTGAAATAATCTGTCTGTAAACAATTGTTGGGAAGATTACTTGTGTCATGCACAAAGTAGATGTCCTAACCGACTTGCCAAAACTATAGTTTGTTAACAAGAAATGTGTGGAGTGGTTGAAAAACGAGTTTTAATGACTCCAACCTAAGTCTATGTAAACTTCCGACTTCAACTGTACAGGCCCGTCTGAAGTTTGCCAATGAACATCTGAATGATTCAGAGGAGAACTGGGTGAAAGTGTTGTGGTAAGATGAGACCAAAATCGAGCTCTTTGGCATCAACTCAACTCGCCGTGTTTGGAGGAGGAGGAATGCTGCCTATGACCCCAAGAACACCATCCCCACCGTCAAACATGGAGGTGGAAACATTATGCTTTGGGGGTGTTTTTCTGCTAAGGGGACAGGACCACTTCACCGCATCAAAGGGACGATGGATGAGGCCATGTACCGTCAAATCTTGGGTGAGAACCTCCTTCCCTCAGCCAGGGCATTGAAAATGGGTCGTGGATGGGTATTCCAGCATGACAATGACCCAAAACACACGGCCAAGGCAACAAAGGAGTGGCTCAATAAGAAGCACATTAAGGTCCAGGAGTGGCCTAGCCAGTCTCCAGACCTTAATCCCATAGAAAATCTGTGGAGGGAGCTGAAGGTTCGAGTTGCCAAACGTCAGCCTCGAAACCTTAATGACTTGGAAAAGATCTGCAAAGAGGAGTGGGACAAAATCGCTCCTGAGATGTGCGCAAACCTGGTGGCCAACTACAAGAAACGTCTGACCTCTGTGATTGCCAATGTTACGAACCCCGTGGCTCTAAACATCTAGGGTGGATGGACATGAGACCCGTAACATAAATTATGCAAATTAGGAGTGTGACATGGAACAGTGAGAACAAAAATGACACAACAACCATGAACTACCGTCAAACACAAATGGTTTATTTCTGAACACACGGTAAAGGTTTGGGAAAAAGGGCTGAGCAGGACCCAAGAAATGAAACAATAGTGTAAAACACCCCTAAACTGATCTTGCCTGCCTCAAGAACCGCTAGGCTACTGCTACCATACAAAAATACAGTGGGTGGTCCGCTCAGGTCTAACTAGTGTTTATAGACAGTTCTTTCTACGGGAAATGTATGCCCAAGGGCAGCTAGCTCAAACTCCCCTTTTCCCAGAAACACACAATAGTTACCACACAGAGTAACCAGCAAATTAATGAGTACTCTAAACACAGGACATCACAGTATCCATTACTCACATACAAAACAGTGGTCTAACAAAATTACCAACCAGAGTAACCGGCAACTTAGTGAGTAAACAAAAACAGGACACCACAGTGTCCATACTCACATACAGAAATAGTCTCTCTCTCACAACAAACACAAGTAACTGGTTTTTATATAATGGGATGTGTGATTGAAAAAACGAGTAACAGGTGGTGCAATGCACAGGAATGTTCACTGATTGGTCCAATCAGCAGACACCTCAACGACCACCAATCAGGAACATACAGGACACCTGTGATTAGGGCAGAAGGAGTAGAAACACACAAAAACACAGGATACCTGTATCCGTAACAGCCAACAAGGGTTTTGCCACCAAGTACTAAGTCATGTTTTGCAGAGGGGTCAAATACTTATTGCCCTCATTAACATGCCAATCAATTTCTAAAAAAATTTACATGCGTTTTTCTGGATTTTGTTGTTGTTATTCTGTCTTTCACTGTTCAAATAAACCTACCATTAAAATTATAGACTGATCATGTCTTTGTCAGTGGGCAAACGTACAAAATCAGCAGGGGATCAAATACTTTTTTCCCTCACTGTATATATCTATAAATCTATGTTATGGACTTATTTGTTGTCTGTAAACTGGCTCCAGAATTGGGGGGGTTGGTGGTAGCTACAGTGGATGTTATACATCTCCATGGGCATGAGGTGAAGTCTAAAGAGTCCAGTACAGAGACAATAGTGATCCTGACAAATCAGATGGTGACCTGTGTGGAGCGCCTTGTCTCTGACCCCACCTCTTAACATCCGCTGTGACACCATTAGATGAGGAGATTACACCATTAGCCAAGATATGGATACAAGATCAGCTTTCAGGCCTAAGTGGGCTGATATGGTCAAGCACAGTTTGAGGAGAGAGGAAGTGGACTATGCCTCTATCCCTCCCACCATCTCAGCCTCCCTGTTGCCTCTATCCCTCCCACCATCTCAGCCTCCCTGTTGCCTCTATCCCTCCCACCATCTCAGCCTCCCTGTTGCCTCTATCCCTCCCACCATCTCAGCCTCCCTGTTGCCTCTATCCCTCCCACCATCTCAGCCTCCCTGTTGCCTCTATCCCTCCCACCATCTCAGCCTCCCTGTTGCCTCTATCCCTCCCACCATCTCAGCCTCCCTGTTGCCTCTATCCCTCCCACCATCTCAGCCTCCCTGTTGCCTCTATCCCTCCCACCATTTCAGCCTCCCTGTTGCCTCTATCCCTCCCACCATCTCAGCCTCCCTGCTGCCTCTATCCCTTCCACCATCTCAGCCTCCCTGCTGCCTCTTCCCTCTGTCCCTCTCATCCATCCTTCCTTCCCTCCCATCCATCTTATCTACCTGCCACAACCCACCCACAGATCGTTGCCCATAGGGGAGGCTACTGGCACAGGTGCTTCATTAAGTGGGCTTGTGAGCCATGCAGCGCTTCTTCCCGTCCAGCCTCCTCGTGCCCCCCCCCCCCCACCTCCCTCTCCCACTCTCCTCCCTTTTGTTTAAGTGAAGCAGAAAATTACACTGGATGAGAAAGTCACCATCATTACCGGTTCTCTCCCACTCTTGAACATGCCTAACAAGACACTCACACAGCCAGAAGATAATGAAGCTTATTTTCTTCTCCTGATTGTTTGTGTTATTATGCCCTGTGGGGACAAGCAGGGTTGAGATATGATGTATTTGTGTCTGAATGTGCATCGGGTTTTAAGACCCTGTCACAGGTCGGATATAAAACATGAAAATGTTTTGAGAGTAACAGTTGGTCAGGTACTCCAGTGAGTGGTCTGATGCAGAAAGGAAAGAGTGAGATTCTCACAGCACAAAAATGCTGTGGTTTTTGGTAATTACATATCCATCTCCATATTTAGATCTGTCAAATTGCGGTTAGACTGGAGAGAATTGGTCTCAATAAACGTATCTAGAAGCCCCACAGTGAATTTACTTTAGGTCAGTTACTTGAGATGCTAACGGTGATGAGCTAAGCTATTTTAGCATTGAGCTGGTGTTCAGCCAGGTTGAGTCACTGTGTGTATGAGTTAGCATTAGTTTAGCCCCTATCAGATAGCAGCTCTGATTGCCAGTAGCACGTTACCGTAGCGCTAACGCTGGCCCAGTGTTACAGTCCGTCAGCAGAGTTGGGCTTTGGGAAGAGAGGCGATCGGTCTTCCCCTCTGACTCTGGTGAACATGATATATGAGCTAGACCCTTGGCATACAGACAGATTGTCCCCTCAGCAATACCCTGCAAGAGGTGTTAGACTGGCAGGAGCTGGCAGAGATTAAGTTACGACACGACACACACATACGCACATGCTTACTGTATTTACTCAGACACACATTGTACTTACAAAGAAAACATGTACTACAAATTTTAAACCACATTTTCTCAGTCAAACATTCTCGCACCCATGCATACACACTCAAACACACTGTGTACCCACTTCCTTGCTCGGTCAAACTCACTCAAAAACACCAAACACTCTCATACACTCACCTGACCAAGTCACTCATCTGACAAACAGGCTCAGTATACTTGGCTTTCACAGTCATGTAAACAAATCTGGTTGATTGGTTGGTTCTGCTCACCTTGTTAGTCTCTGAGGCCTGTTGCATTATCCTACCTGTCTCTGCAGCTAGGCAATTAGTGTCACCAGATCTGTTCCCATATTTGCAACCAGAGATAAATTATGTTTACATCTGTTTGATCCCAACCTTTTTTCTCCTTGCTGCCCCAAAGAAAGAGGCCGCCTGTATCCAGAGCACAACGCCAGTGAATACATTTGAATACACCTGTATTTTAAGCCAGGAACTCCACTAATCTCTCAGTATGGTGCCAAATACTGTTTTATTTGAGGTCTTAGCATTTTATAAGGGAGGGGCGGCAGGTAGCTTAGTGGTTAAGAGTTTTGTGCCAGTAACCGAAAGGTCGCTGGTTCTAATCCCCGAGCAGACTAGGTGAAAAGCTGTCGATGTGCCCTTGAGCAAGGCACTTAACCCTAATTGCTCCTGTAAGTCGTTCTGGATAAGAGCGTCTGCTAAATGACTAAAATGTAAAGTAATTGGGAGAGGGGTTTTGGCCTGTGGATTAAGGTGCAGGGTTAACTATATCAGATGCCATTGTGGGGCTAAAAGGAGTTGGGTGCTAACTGCCAAGATATAGTTCACTTCCACAAAGCTGCTGAGGCCTAGGTTTGAATGAGGAAGTTTCGATATCACAGAAATGTAATCTTCCAATAATGACAAGGCAGCACTCAGCTGAAGGAGAAGGGAAAACATTAAGTGCTAGATGTCCATGTACCCTGAAGAAAACCACATGCCTTACAAGAAATTAACCGCGCTAACGGAAATGTACTGTATCTGAACTGAGATGCAAGCTCTGAAATTAGCTAGAGCCCTCAGGCTTTCTTCCAGGCTTTACGCCTTTGAAGGAAATGAACTCTAACTGAATGGTGCCATCTCTGATGATACTGAGGTGCATTAAGTCTCTGAAAGGTCTAGTCATACTAAATTACGGTTACCATGTGAAAGCTACTCTCTTTGTTTTATTAAATATCTGCTGTCTTGAGGTGTCTGGGGAAATCAATATCTAACAGTCATTCTCTGAAGCTTTTTTACTAGGAAGTGTGTGTCTGTGTGTATATGTACAACCTGGATGGATGGATAGATAAATACAGCCTTATTCTAAAATGGATTTGGTTTTTTTCCCCCTCATCAATCTACACACACTACCTCATAATGACAAAGCAAATGTATTACAAATAAAAAATTGAAATATTACATTTACATAGGTATTCAGACCATTTACTCAGTACTTTGTTGAAGCACCTTTGGCAGTGATTACAGCCTCAAGTCTTCTTGGGTATGACTCTACAAGCTTGGCACACCTGTATTTGGGGAGTTTCTCCCATTCTTCTCTGCAGATCCTCTCAAGCTCTGTCAGGTTGGATGGGGAGCGTCGCTGCACAGCTATTTTCAGGTCTCTCTCGAGATGTTCGATCGTGTTCAAGTCCGGACTCTGGCTGGGCCACTTAAGGACGTTCAGAGACTTGTCCCGAAGCCACTCCTGCGTTGTCTTGGCTGTGTGCTTAGGGTCGTTGTCCTGTTGGAAGGTAAACCTTCGCCCCAGTCTAAGGTCCTTAGCGCTCTGGAGCAGGTTTTCATCAAGAATCTCGCTGTACTTTTCTCCGTTCATCTTTCCCTCGATCCTGACTAGTCTCCCAGTCCCTGCCTCCGAAAAACATCCTGTCTGGCCACTCTACCATAAAGGCCTGATTGGTGGAGTGCTGCAGATATGGTTGTCCTTCTGGAAGATTCTCCCATCTCCACAGAGGAACTCTGGAACTCTGGCAGAGTGACCATCGGGTTCTTGGTCACCTCCCTAACCAAGGCCCTTCTCCCCCGATTGCTCAGTTTGGCCGGGCAGCCAGCTCTAGGAAGAGTCTTGGTGGTTCCAAACTTCTTCCATTTCAGAATGATGGAGGCCACTGTGTTCTTGGGGACCTTCAATGCTGCAGAAGGTTTGTGGTACCCTTCCCCAGATATGTTCCTCGACACAATCCTGTCTCGGAGCTCTACGGACAATTCCTTCGACCTAATTGCTTGTTTTTTTTTCTGACATGCACTGTCAACTGTGGGACATTTTATATAGACAGGTGTGTGCCTTTCCAAATAATGTCCAATCAATTGAATTTACCACAGGTGGACTACAATCAAGTTGTAGAAACATCTCAAGGGTGATCAATGGAAACAGGATGCACCTGAGCTCAATTTCTAGTCTCATAGCAAAGCGTTTGAATACTTATATAAACCTGTTTTCACTTTGTCATTATGGGGTATTGTGTGTAATCCATTTTAGAATAAGGCTGTAACGTAACAAAATGTGGGAAAAGTCAAGGAGTCTGAATTCTTTCCGAATGCACTGTGTGTGTGTGTGTGTGTGTGTCTATCTAGTACCAGTCAAAAGTTTGGACACACCTACTCATTCCAGGGTTTTTCTTTATTTTTACAATTTTCTACATTGTAGAGTAATAGTGAAGACATCAAAACTATGAAATAACACATGGAATTATGTAGTAACCAAGAAAGTGTTAAACAAAACAAATATATTTTATATTTGAGATTCTTGAAATAGCCACCCTTTGCCTTGATGACCGCTTTGCACAATCTTGGCATTCTCTCATCCAGCTTCATTAGGTATTCACCAGGAATGCTTTTCCGACAGTCTTGAAGGAGTTCCCACATATGCTGAGCACATGTTGGCTGCTTTTCCTTCACTCTGCAGTCCAACTCATCCCAAACCATCTAAATTGGGTTGAGGTCGGATGATTGTAGAGGCCAGGTCATCTAATGCAGCACTCATCACTTTCCTTGGTCAAATAGTCCTTACACAGCCTGGAGGTGTGTTGGGTCATTGTCCTGTTGAAAAACAAATAATAGTCCCACTAAGCGCAAACCAGATGGGATGGCGTATCGCTGCAGAATACTGTGGTAGCCATGCTGGTTAAGTATGCCTTGAATTCTAAATAAATCACTGACAGTGTCACCAGCAAAGCACCCCCACACAATAACACCTCCTCCTCCATGCTTCATGGTGGGAACATTTACATTTACATTTTAGTCATTTAGCAGACGCTCTTATCCAGAGCGACTTAGTTAGTGATTGCATACATTTTCATACTGGCCCCCCGTGGGAAACGAACCCACAACCCTAGCGTTACAATCGCCATGCTCTACCAACTGAGCTACAGGGGACTACATGTGGAGATCATCCGTTCACTTACTCTGCGTCTCACAAAGACAGTGGTTGGAACCAAAAATCTCAAATTTGGACTCATCAGACCAAAGGACAGATTTCCACCGGTCTAATGTCCATTGCTTGTGTTTCTTGGCCCAAGCAAGTCTTTTCTTCATATTGGTGTCCTTTAGTAGTGGTTTCTTTGCAGCAATTTGACCATGAAGGCCTGATTCACACAGTCTCCTCTGAATAGTTGATGTTGAGATGTCTGTTACTTGAACTCTGTGAAGCATTTATTTGGGCTGCAATTTCTGAGGCTGGTAATTCTAATGAACTTATCCTTTGCAGCAGAGGTAACTCTGGGTCTTCCTTTCCTGTGGCGGTCCTCATGAGAGCCAGTTTCATCATAGCGCTTGATGGTTTTTGCGACTGCACTTGAAGAAAAGTTCAAAGTTCTTGAAGTGTTCTGTATTGACTGACCTTCATGTCTTAAAGTAATGATGGACTGTCGTTTCTCTTTGCTTATTTGAGCTGTTCTTGCCTTAATATGGAGTTGGTCTTTTACCAAATAGGGCTATCTTCTGTATACCACCCCTACCTTGTCACAACATAACTGATTGGCTCAAACGCATTAAGAAGGAAAGAAATTCCACAAATTAACTTTTATCAAGGCACACCTGTTAACTGAAATGCATTCTACCTCATGAAGCTGGTTGAGAGAATGCCAAGAGTGTGCAAAGCTGTCATCAAGGCAAAGGGTGGCTACTTTGAAGAATCTCAAATATAAAATGCACTGCTCAAAAAAATAAAGGGAACACTAAAATAACACATCCTAGATCTGAATGAATGAAATAATCTTATTAAATACTTTTTTCTTTACATAGTTGAATGTGCTGACAACAAAATCACACAAATTATCAATGGAAATCAAATGTATCAACCCATGGAGGTCTGGATTTGCAGTCACCCTCAAAATTTAAGTGGAAAACCACACTACAGGCTGATCCAACTTTGATGTAATGTCCTTAAAACAAGTGAAAATGAGGCTCAGTAGTGTGTGTGGCCTCCACGTGCCTGTATGACCTCCCTACAACGCCTGGGCATGCTCCTGATGAGGTGGCGGATGGTCTCCTGAGGGATCTCCTCCCAGACCTGGACTAAAGCATCCGCCAACTCCTGGACAGTCTGTGGTGCAACGTGGCGTTGGTGGATGGAGCGAGACATGATGTCCCAGATGTGCTCAATTGGATTCAGGTCTGGGGAACGGGCGGTCCATAGCATCAATGCCTTCCTCTTGCAGGAACTGCTGACACACTCCAGCCACATGAGGTCTAGCATTGTCTTGCATTAGGAGGAACCCAGGGCCAACCACACCAGCATATGGTCTCACAAGGGGTCTGAGGATCTCATCTCGGTACCTAATGGCAGTCAGGCTACCTCTGGCGAGCACATGGAGGGCTGTGCGGCCCCCCAAAGAAATGCCACCCCACACCATGACTGACCCACCGCCAAACCGGTCATGCTGGAGGATGTTGCAGGCAGCAGAACGTTCTCCACGGCGTCTCCAGACTCTGTCACGTCTGTCACATGTGCTCAGTGTGAACCTGCTTTCATCTGTGAAGAGCACAGGGCGCCAGTGGCGAATTTGCCAATCTTGGTGTTCTCTGGCAAATGCCAAACGTCCTGCACGGTGTTGGGCTGTAAGCACAACCCCCACCTGTGGACGTCGGGCCCTCATACCACCCTCATGGAGTCTGTTTCTGACCGTTTGAGCAGACACATGCACATTTGTGGCCTGCTGGAGGTCATTTTGCAGGGCTCTGGCAGTGCTCCTCCTGCTCCTCCTTGCACAAAGGCGGCGGTAGCAGTCCTGCTGCTGGGTTGTTGCCCTCCTACGGCCTCCTCCGTCTCCTGATGTACTGGCCTGTCTCCTGGTAGCGCCTCCATGCTCTGGACACTACGCTGACAGACACAGCAAACCTTCTTGCCACAGCTCCCATTGATGTGCCATCCTGGATGAGCTGCACTACCTGAGCCACTTGTGTGGGTTGTAGACTCCGTCTCATGCTACCACTAGAGTGAAAGCACTGCCAGCATTCAAAAGTGATCAAACATCAGCCAGGAAGCATAGGAACTGAGAAGTGGTCTGTGGTCACCACCTGCAAAACCAGTCCTTTATTGGGGGTGTCTTGCTAATTGCCTATAATTTCCACCTGTTATCTATTCCATTTGCACAACAGCATGTGAAATGTATTGTCAATCAGTGTTGCTTCCTAAGTGGACAGTTTGATTTCACAGAAGTGTGATTGACTTGGAGTTACATTGTGTTGTTTAAGTGTTCCCTTTATTTTTTTGAGCAGTGTATATTTTGATTTGTTTAACACTTGTTTGGTTACTACATTATTCCATATGTGTTATTTCATAGTTTTGATGTCATCAGTATTATTCCACAATGCCTCAGTGTGTCTGTGCACTAATATCCACCAGGCCTCCCCCTGTATTTCTCTCTCGCTCTCTCTGCATTCTAAATTGATGTGAAAGTCCCCCCCCTCTAATGGGTTTCTCCTCCTCCACCTGCCTTCTGTCTGTCATGGTAGTTGCACCTGGGGGACCTACACACACAATTGTGCCTCAAACTCTCTGCTAGAGAAAATCTGTTTATAACAAGACTTACAGGGTTGATATTGTAGGGTGGGTCACCTCTCCCCTGATTTTAACCTGGCACTCTTCTTCCTTCTCTTCTTCTCTCCCTTCAGTATTGCCATGGCGACCAAGGAGAACATGACATCCCAGAGAGGGCTGTTGAAGTCCATACAGAGCAGGGTCAACACTCTGGCCAGTATCCTTTAAAACACCAAGCAAACCTTATGAACATTGGAGATTCTGCATTAAACATAATGTTTTTTTGTCCTGGACTAGGCTTAATCAGTGTCTGGGAAGCCAACCCTATGTTCATGTCTGTGTGAGAAAGAACAAATTCACATGAGAACAAATTCACATAAGAATGAACAAATTCACAAATATACCTTATTTTGCCTTTTAATCAGACAAGAAATTCTGGAGATTAACTTTTATTAGATTATAATTGTCTTTTAATGCCACCTAGTAGACACTTTTATCCAAAGCAATTTACAGAATTTGTAAGTCGCTCTGGATAAGAGCGTCTGCTAAATGATGTAAATGTAAGTGAATACATATTAAGTGATCCCTGCAGGAACTGAACCCACGACCTTGGCATTGTTAGTGCTAAACTCTTACTCATTAGGCTTCCTATTTACCATACTATTATCTCTTGTGAGCTGCAACCAGACAATGAAGTGCCTGTCAGTTCACATTACGCATCCTAACTGTTTAAAAGGCACACTGAGCATGTTTCAATTAAAAAGCTTTATCTCAGTCTGAGGCTACAAAGACATCCTCCAGTGATCTTCAAACGTTTCCTGTTGAAAGTGATATCCCAAGTATAAATACAGTAAAGTAAACGCACTAAAGGGGTAAAAAAAAATTTTTTTAGACACAACTGCAAACTTCAAGGAGTAGGGCGTTCAATTAGTTGGTCTGATGGGAATTTGTGATGTCATCTGCCTCCCCCTTGCTTGAGGAACAATAAAGAAAAAGAGGAACAAAAGAGAAGGCCCCCTCCCTTGTGCTATGTCATGACACACCTGGACCACCTATTGAGATGTGCCTTTTGTTAAGTAAATCAGGTGTTAAATGAGGTGAAAAGGAGACTGGAGTGCTACTTTAATGGGGGCCTGATTCTGTCTGGTCTCTTCTCTTTGCTCTGAGAGCATTGTTATCAGGCCTTCCGGCCGGATGATTCAACATCTTCCTCACATGGGGCACCAGCCTCTGGAGGGAAAAACTATTGATTCTAAGGAAATATCTGAGCATGCTGAGCAATCTGGTCCATTTAATTGTGGGGGGATTGAGGGGTTTAAATTGCTCCATTCCTCACTGCTGCTAGGGTTTGCTGTGAACAACATATAGGATCATATTTCACTTTGTTGTCAAAAGAGAAGATTTAGTTTCAGAGATACAGATGTATTTTTAGCAAAGACACCAGAAAAGCAGGCAGTTTGGCTTTTTAAAAATTATAATTCAGCAATAAGGCCTGGGTGGGGTGGGGTGTGGTATATGGCCAATCTACCATGGCTAAGGGCTGTTCTTAGGCACTACGTAACGCGCAGTGCCTTGATACAGCCCTTAGGCGCGGTAAGTCGCTCTGGATAAGAGCGTCTGCTAAATGACATAAATATAAAATATATATACCAAAAACCCCTGAGGTGCCGTATTTACATTTTAGTAGACGCTCTTATCCAAAGCGACTTACAGTTAGTGAGTGCATACATAATTTTTTCATACTGGCCCCCCGTGGGAATCGAACCCACAACCCTGGCGTTGCAAGCACCATGCTCTACCAACTGAGCTACATCCCTGCCGGCCATTCCCTCCCCTACCCTGGACGAATTGTGCGCCGCCCCATGGGTCTCCCGGTCGTGGCCGGCTACGACAGAGCCTGGATTCGAACCAGGATCTCTAGTGGCACTGCGATGCAGTGCCTTAGACCACTGCACCACTCGGGATACTTATTTCTGCTATAAACTGGTTACCAACGTAATTAGAGCAGTAAAAATAAATGTTTTGTCATACCCGTGGTGTATGGTCTGATATAACACGGCTGTCAGCTAATTAGCATTCAGGGCTCGAACCACCCAGTTTATATTTCCAATTTAATGATTATCTGAACATTACTTGTAATAAGAGGTGGTTGGCACTTGGTTCTCTGTTTCCCTTAACTTCCTACTCCAGATCGTTTCCCAGCCATCAACAACCTCATCCAGCGAATCAACCTGCGAAAGAGGCGAGACTCCCTAATCCTGGGCGGAGTCATCGGCATCTGCACCATCCTCCTGCTGCTCTATGCCTTCCACTGATGACGGACAGACCTGTCGAACAATTGTTACTCTGCGTTTGTGACATCGGAATCAGAACTCTGGAGAATGTGCTTTAGTGATTGGAGGCTACTGAACAGACGGACAGACAGACGCCCCCTTGGCCCAATCGGTTAACAGGATTGATCGAAGCCAGCATTGACTACCTGATTTGTATTTAGCAGTGGGAGGGAAGGAGATGGGAGATGGAGCAGCAGCTTTTATTTTATTTTATTTTTTATCACAAGTTAATGTGCTGTTCAACTCTGGTTAAGGGAACAGAGACCAAATTTACTAACATGACTAGATTTTAAAGATATATATATATATATATATATATATATATATATATATATATATATATAGATATATATAGATATATATATATATATATGAACACTTGCTTCAAGAAGGAGTTGAATGCTCTGAAGACAGATGGTGAAAACGAAAGCGAGACTGTTTGCTGTCTGTTGATTTCTCTGGTGGAAGGATTTTTAGTTGAATGGTCCTTTTTTTTAGTGACTGCAGATTCAGGAGGTTCATCCTCATGGGCTGTACAATGTGCATTATTAATAAATTATTCATTTACAGTATGTGATACTAGGCACTTATCATTTTATTTTTCAATGTATATTTTTTTAACTTGATGATTGAGAAATTGTGTTTTGCATTGAAGACCATTGATGGAACTCTAGTGCTGCAAGTACCGTTATTCTGTTGTGCTGCATGGATGACTTCATAATCACTGTAGTACTTTAAACAATGGCCACATACAGGTGTATGGTTAAACTAAAACTCTGAAAGACTTCTTTCATTACGTGTTTCCCTCTCGATTCTAAGATTCATCTACTTAGCTTAATATGCCACTTAGCAGACACTTATCCAAAGTAACTTACAGTACAGTGAGTGCATGCATACATTTTTCGTGTATGTGCTCCCCTGTGGTAATCGAACCCACGACCTTGGTGTTGCTAGCACCATGCTCTCACCAACTGAGCCACACAAGATCACCTAAAATCCAGAGATCTGTAAGAGTGATCAGCATTCAGGCTTCTTTGTGCTTCGTCATGATCTAGGACCGTATCCTGCTAAGGCCTACCTTGAGATAGTCAACAAACGTTAAGTCATACATTGATGTCAACTGAAAATCTGTGCTCCAATTTTAGTTCTGAACACAGATTTTATAAGTTATGATTCTGTTCTACCGTATGTGCCCATCGCAATACAGAACCTCAAACCTGTCTCCCCTTCTGCCTCACCTTATACTGCCTCCTGGAGAAGATAAAGTGGAGTATTAGTTCACAGGGAACTCCCAGTCAATGTTTGATGATACGAACTGAAAGGAGCTCACTGGAGATGTTTGTGTGAGCAGGGAGGTAGACACTCAGAGCAGAACTAAGCTAAGCGCTAACTAAGCTAACCACCAAGGGCTTGGCTGTAGTTTTGGATGGAAGCCTATCCTACTGTAGCTCAGAGAGCTGTGAGAAACACCAGTCTGTTTGTGTCTCACACTTTAAGCAGCTGTAGTAGAAACCATATTGAGATCAGAGTCTTAACAAAGGAAAGCTTCTGTTCAATAGTCTTGGCCAAACCCTCTGATCATTCTGGTTCATTCCCAGTAATCCCCACCCCAGTTCTAGGCTGAATAATCGGTTATTCGACTAACATTTAACATCCCTAACATAAATGTTGATTTGAAAGATGCTACAGTTGAAAGGAGTTTAGTTTTTCTAGCTTGAAATTGTCAGTGGCATTTTAAGTGGTTTTACAGTGGAAGAGGCTGCAGATGTTACAGTAAACAAGGCTGCAGCAGCTAGATTACTGTTGGAGAAATCAGGTGCTCTGACATGAATTCACTCTGACAGAATCTGAGTCACCCACACTCAATCCCTCAGACCTCTGTTTTGTAAAACTGTGTGTGCACCTGCCTGCTTGTGACAAGTGTGTGTGTCATGACAGCCACACTGCAGGGGAGATATAACTGCAGTCTGTGGGGGTTGAAGGATTCCCCCCAGGACTCTACAGGAACCTGTCATGACTCCCCTGTCATCTCCATAGCCAACTACCAAGTTTTTAATTAATGACCTCGTCTTTCTGTCTGTCACACCTTACATATCACCATTTATCATCTGGTAACTAGACAAGGACGTTTTAGTCACAAAGTTGATTTACATTTTCTCAGTTGACTGTGAAATATTGAAGTTTGTTATTGGTATAGCTACATGAAGTGGGATTACCTAAAAATATTCCAAGTACACCAATTTCCCCCTTTTTCATGTGATGTCACTATCCACTTTATTCCTTTCATTCTTCATTCATTCTCCCTCACGACGCCAGGACAGCGGAGTCACTGACCACCTTCCGGAGACACTTGAAACCATACCTCATTAAGGAATAACTGGGATAGTATAAAAGTAATCCTTCTACCCACCCCACCCCCTCAAAATTTAAACAAAAAAAATGTGTAAAGTGGTTGTCCCACTGGCTATCTTAAGGTGAATGCACCAATTTGTAAGTCGCTCTGGATAAGAGCGTCTGCTAAATGACGTAAATGTAATTCTTTATCACTATTTTCAGGTTTCTCGCTCTTCTCTGAGGGCAAATGGGGGACTGTATTTTGGCATCTGAATGCAGTACTGCTGTTGGTCTATAACTGGTTCAGCAAACATCCTTACAGTAAACACAACTAGCCTACTCTGGTGCTACAGTGTAGCACTCCTGAATATTTCAGATCCTTTGGTCTGGTTTGAAGATCACTGGAGCAGAACTAAGTATTGTGTACTTTCACTGTGACTCAAGTTCTTCCACAAAGAAGTAGAAAGTAAGTGAGTGTAAAAGGCTGATTCTAGCATAGCACACAGATGCAATACACAGGAGGGAATCTAATGAGGTATAGGAGAACCACAAACAAGAAAGAAGTAAAGGTGGCATCAACAAAAAACACTTTGAGAAATAAGCAAACATTTTGTTTTTGTGGTTCCATAGACCTTTCAAGCACACTTGACTTGCGAGGCTCGTTCTATTTATGATTTCATCCCCATGGTAAGTTTTTCAGCGCAGCAGTACAGTTGAAGTCGGAAGTTTACATACACTTAGGTTGGAGTCATTAAAACTCGTTTTTCAATCACTCCACAAATTTCTTGTTAACAAACTATAGTTATGGCAAGTCGGTTAGGACATCTACTTTGTGCATGACAAAAGTAATTTTTCCAAGAATTGTTTACAGACAGATTATTTAACTTATTATTCACTGTATCACAATTCCAGTGGGTCAGAAGTTTACATACACTAAGTTGACTGTGCATTTAAACAGCTTGGAAAGTTCCAGAAAATGTCATGGCTTTAGAAGCTTCTGATAGGCTAATTGACATCATTTGAGTCAATTGGAGGTGTACCTGTGGATGTATTTCAAGGCCTACCTTCAAACTCAGTGCCTCTTTGCTTGACATCATGGGAAAATCAAAAGAAATCAGCCAAGACCTCCACAAGTCTGGTTCATCCTTGGGAACAATTTCCAAACGCCTGAAGGTCCACGTTAATCTGTACAAACAATAGTACGCGAGTATAAACACCATGGGACCACACAGCCATCATACCGCTCAGGAAGGAGACGCGTTCTGCCTCCTAGAGATGAACGTACTTTGGTGCGGAAAGTGCAAATCAATCCCAGAACAACAGCAAAGGACCTTGTGAAGATGCTGGAGGAAACAGGTACAAATGGATCTATATCCACAGTAAAACGAGTCCTATATCGACATAACCTGAAAGGCCGCTCAGCAAGGAAGAAGCCACTGCTCCAAAACCGCCATAAAAAAGCCAGACTACGGTTTGCAACTGCACATGGGGACAAAGATCTTACTTTTTGGAGAAATGTCCTCTGGTCTGATGAAACAAAAATATAACTGTTTGGCCATAATGACCATCGTTATGTTTTGAGGAAAAAGGGGGATGCTTGCAAGCTGAAGAACACCATCCCAACCGTGAAGCATGATGCTGTGGGGTGCTTTGCTGCAGGAGGGACTGGTGCACTTCACAAAATAGATGGCATCATGAGGAAGGAAAATTATGTGGATATATTGAAGCAACATCTCAAGACATCAGTCAGGAAGTTAAAGCTTGGTCGCAAATGTGTCTTCCAAATGGACAATGACCCCAAGCATACTTCCAAAGTTGTGGCAAAATGGCTTAAGGACAACAGTCAAGGTATTGGAGTGGCCATCACAAAGCCCTGACCTCAATCCTATAGAAAATGTGTGGGCAAAACTGAAAAAGCGTGTGCGAGCAAGGAGGCCTACAAACCTGACTCAGTTACACCAGCTCTGTCAGGAGGAATGGGCCAAAATTCACCCAACTTATTGTGGGAAGCTTGTGGAAGGCTACCCGAAACGTTTTACCCAAGTTAAACAATTTAAAGGCAATGATACCAAATACTAATTGAGTGTATGTAAACTTCTGACCCATTGGGAATGTGATGAAAGAAATAAAAGCTGAAATAAATCATTCTCTCTACTATTATTCTGACATTTCACATTCTTAAAATAAAGTGGTGATCCTAACTGACCTAAGACAGGGAATTCTTACTAGGATTAAATGTCAGGAATTGTGAAAAACGGAGTTTAAATGTATTGGGCTAAGGTGTATGTAAACTTCCTACTTCAACTGTGTATACCAAGGGGCTACTGCTGTAGCTAAAGAGACCCAATCTTATTCTGTAATAATCAATAAAAAATACTTATAAAAATGTTAATTCCAGGTATTATTTGTTTGTGCTGACTGTGCTTTTGGGTTTTCTGAGAGAACTGGAGGTGTGTGTCGGTGCGTGAGTATTCTGTTATCCGTTGTGTGTGTGTGAGAGAGGAAAAGGAGTGAAGTAGTCCAAGGGTGTGTGTGTGCTAACATGAGGGTTTAGCTCCACACCTTTCCCTGTTCCAGACAGGAACATTAACTTTGATCATTATGTCAGTGGAGCTGCTGCTGCTTTACTCCAGACGCCACTTTAAAAGGCAGGTTGTCTGACCCTTTACACCTCTAGCATCTCAGTGCTAGAGGGGTCACTGCAGACCCTGGTTCGATTCCAGGCTGTATCACAATCCGGCCGTGATTGGGAGTCCCATAGGGCGGCGCACAATTGGCCCAGCGTCCTCTGGGGTAGGCCGTCATTGTAAATAAGAATTTGTTCGTAACTGACTTGCCTAGTTAAAAAAAGGTAAAATAAAATACTCAGTAGTTTTCCCCCTAGACCATTCCTCTATGTCATACTCTGTACATACACAAGCACAAACACTCATCGATCAACGCTATCCCAACCAACATAAATCAGTCCAACTCACCATAGACCATGCATTGTAATGTTTATTCCAGACATGTAGAATGTTCACAACATAGAGGGGGGAAAATCAGGACATAAAAAAATAGACATTAATTGAAAGTCACTGTTTTACTGACACAGAACAGCACGTATATATCTCACAGCAGAAAGACTGTCAGGGAAGTATGTGTTGGAAAAGTGTGGAAGGTGAGTGTGGTATTTCATGTGATAACAGAGAAATTACCATACAAATTTGTCTTATGGGAATTAAGTTGAATTTTGGGTTTTCAATGGCAGACTGAGTCACTGAAATTCTCCTGCTTGATTGGGGTCTCTCTCTCTCTCTCTGCCATTTGCTCTTACTGTATGACATAAAAGCAGCCATCTACTTTCTCCCCCCAAGATAGTTTTCTAAAAGCCCTTTAGGTGTGTGTGGGAAGTTAGTTTGTGCATGCCTGTTGCCCAGAGATAAACATTAGAGCTCTTTAGACAGGGATGTCTCTTCAGCCCATCTGTCCAGTGAAGCACACTGTGGCTGCAGGAGCTTCCTACTGTACAATATAACTTATATAGCAACATAAACTTGCTGCCCTTTTGGTTATCATACCCAAAGATGTACTGTCATGAGTTCAGTGCCTTTAAACATCATGACCATGTTGAGTCATTCACCAGCTGTGGTCCTATTTCTATTTGTTGTTTCTAGAAATACAGTACAGATGCCAAAAATTTTAACATTATATTGTCAAGAGAGTTTCCAGGTTTTAATTGCTGTGACTTTCTGATTGGAAATGTTTTGTCAATGCTCGCTTTGGGTTAGATCTGGATTGACCAAGTGCTTTGCATGCTTATACAGGGGCAGTATTGGAATTAACCAATAGGTGTTCATAGTTTGAATCCTCTAAATGAGACCTCGAAAATGTTAATATGGTGACCTATTTCACCAATTACAGGTGCTTTATCAATCACTTTATATCTCTTTTAAGATTTTAAATTCAGGCCAGATAAATGCAATCAAATCATTATCATATCATTCTCTCTCTGGCCTCGTGTAGGAGGCCAGAGAGAGAATGATATGATAATGATTTGATTGCATTTATCTGCCAGGATAAGACAAGCAGTGGAACCATTGATAATCGCTAATGTCAACTTACAGTATTGAAATCAAATTGGAGTTGAAGAGAATGAGTTATGAGTAGTAATACAAACGTGAATGTAAGTCCAAACAAGGGTTTTATGAAGCATTATGTAGTGGTTATGAAGGTTTTATAAGAGGTGTTATGACCTTGCAGTAAACATCTGAAGCATGTCAATATAACAGTCCTTTGTTGTGTTACCATAGTTGGATCTGAACAAACTGTGTGACTTATTCCAGATGGCATGGTGACACATTGGTGTGCTACAGTACATGTACAGAGATAACTGCTGCCAATCAATCAAACCTCAAAACAATGTTCCTTTAACGTTACAGCAGGTCCTTACAGTGACATACAAAAACCTGGGTACTGTTTAGCCCAAAGCATGCCTATATAATATTGCATATATATTCTTCATATAAATACATGTCATACCGATACAGCACGGTGGCAATAGGTTAAGGATTGGCGTTGGTCTCTGAAGTACTACAAAATATATTCAGTGAAACAAGTTACATTAACAGTCCAGGTAATGAGGCAAGATACTGGGGTAGGGTGTGTTGGAGTTGGAGGGGGAGCTAGGAGGGTGGTGGGCAAGGGGAGAGTGATGGTTCTGACAAATTGAATATCCTCAGACCTTATAACCATGCTCTGCAATGGATGTTTGGAGAGGGGATGGGGAGGGTAGGGTAGGCATGCGCATCAATATAGTCAGACCCCTCCCACAGCAAGGCAGGGGAAAGGAGGGTTGGAGAGGGGGGTAGAAGAAAGGGGGAGGGGGTATTCTGTTTCTGTGGAGTCCTTACCCACCGTCAACCCACATGGGGCCGAAACGCTCACATTATGTACAACTCACTCTCCAAAGTCTCTAAGCAAGTAAAAACACAGACAAACAAATATGAATTCACAAACAAAATGAAAAAGGTTGGCTATCTACAGTCAAGACATGCATGCAAGTGGTCTCTTATTTTTGTCAGAAACCTACAAAATAAACTACATAAATTCAAAAACATCTTCTCTGAATCGTGTTCCCTGGTCAAATATTACATCCTTCGACAAACCATATTAGGCGACAGCCACTGCCGGTCAGGCAGCCATCTTAACTTAACAGTCTCAATCATCGCAGCTTAGCCCAACATACACAACTTTTATAAAATGTAAATGGATATACATCTATATATATTTATATTGCAAATATATCTGTATAGTTGTATATGATTTCAATGCAGGAGGCCAGGCCAACCAGGTATATATGTAGGTTATTATTCTTGATGTTTGTAGTCCAAAGCTTGTAGTCCATTTTCAAGGTCTCCTTCCATTCTTGATACAGAAAAGTTTGTATCACTTTTTTCCTCTGTTCATCCCTGTCTTCTTCATCTTAAGTGTATTTTTTACTCCACATAGAATCCAATGAGAGTAGCAAGTGCCTCAAACCTAAAGTCAATCGTCCAACGTTCTTTTAAAGTACACTTTTTATATCAAGGATTTTCTTTTTCTTCATCAAGCAAATGTTACTGGAATCTAATGCATGCATATCTGGATCTTTTTGGTTTGGTTGATTAATTTGCTACTGTATTTCCTACTGTATTTCCTACTCTTCTTTAAACTTTTTAATTGTTTGCCTTGATCTTAATTACAGTGTGGAGTAGGTGGTGATGATTTTTTATTTTTCATCTCGGAATCAACAGATTATATATATATTTTTTCATGCTGCATCCTCTGCTTGGCTTGCAGCAGGGCTCTTGTTTCATGGTCTATACACTGGTTACTGTTGGAGAAGAGAGAGGGGGGAGGTGAGAGAGAGAGAAAGGTTAAGGTCCAGTCATTCCTACAGTATGACAGGCTGGTCTGTAGCTGAAACAGCAGGAGGGATACTCTCCTTGCCACAAACCCAGCCTGCTATAGCTGCAGTCTTTAATCAATCCACACAGAGCTAACAAATCTGCTGAGCTGACACACAGACACATACAGACACACACACACACACACACACACACACACACAGACACACACACTTTCCAGGCATCAACATGATTGATGACAGACTGGTGTATGTTTATGTATGTTCATATATTACCTTGGAATTGTTATGCAGTATGTGTGTGTGTGTGTGTGTGTGTGTGTGTGTGTGTAAGTGCATGTGTTTATGCATTGCAGCGGTGTGTGTGTACATATGTGTGTGCATGTTACTTACCATAGACCGTTACATAGACGACTATGATGAGCACACCTATGATTATGGAAACAACACTGAGGAGTCGAGCCAGTTTACCCAGTCTCTTAGCGCCGTCCATGTCTCCCGACTGCAGGCTGTTTCTGGACTGAAGAGGAGAGGAGAGGACACACAACACAAGGCAAGGTGCATTTACACCCTCACAGAGACACACAACAGTCATGACACTATTTGAGTTGTTACATTTTACATTTTGGTCATTTAACATACAATCTCATCCAGAGCAACTTATGAACTTGAACTCAAATCTTGAACTATGCCTTTCTCATGTCATCTTTTAGTTATCGTATAGTCAAACTGTCTGATGTCTGTATGACTTGTGCTCTTGTTGGAAAACGGAATCTTACAACTGAAACCCTTAAATCCATCCAGAGATTCACATGATCACGGTTTAACCGCAATTTACAGCTTTAAACTTGTTCTCAAACATACCTGGACATGATTGAATTTGGCAGTTTCACTCAGTCTCGCTAAGTGTTCCACTGTGACATATTTATCAGCTGCTAGTCCATTAATCCACAGAGAAATGGCTTTAAAGGGGAATGAACACAAACACAACCTGAGAGATTTCCTACAGCTCTACAAAATTTGGGACCGTTTCATTGCAAGAGGTTATTCTTGTTGTATAAAGTATATCCAATATTTGGAAATGACACTGAGGCCTATTCATTGGTTGAAGTTAGTGAATGTTAATGGTTGAAGTTGGTGAATGTTAATGGTTGAAGTTGATGAATGTTAATGGTTGAAGTTGATGAATGTTAATGGTTGAAGTTGATGAATGTTAATGGTTGAAATTGATGAATGTTAATGGTTGAAGTTGATGAATGTTAATGGTTGAAGTTGATTAATGTTAATGGTTGAAGTTGATTAATGTTAATGGTTGAAGTTGATGAATAGTGTAGTTTGGGCCTTACTGTAAATCACACAAGGCAGCTTTATACGGTACTATGGTACTATACGTATATCTGCTGCAGACCATAGAGACAGGTTGACAGACTGGAGTGGAGTGGATAAGGGCCTGGGTAATTGCAACCCGGTGACATAATCAGAGGTATTTGTCTTTTGTGTCTCTCAGTCACCTCCTGTGGTCACACACACACACACACACACACACACACACACACACACACACACACACACACACACACACACACACACACACACACACACACACACACACACACACACACACACACAACCCCCACTCCATTCCACTACACTACATTATGGAGATCAATAGCTACAAACAGATCTCTACTCAACAGGCATCTCTCCAAATGACTCATTGTAGTTCTCAGGTAGGACATCATTGTTGTTTTGAAGGTACTGTAGAGTAATGTGTGAGTGAACCATTGTTCCTGTGAAATAAAGCATTGAACCATTGTGTTTCCCTGGTTATCCTCTGTTATGTGTGTGTGCGGGGAGAGCACCCTAGATGACAGGTGTGTATGCTCAGGGCTGGGAGGAGAAAGGGAGGAGGGAGAGGGAGGAGGAGGGGGAGGGATGGAGAGGTAGGCAGGAGGGGGAGGGATGGAGACGGAGGCAGGAGGGGGAGGGATGGAGAGGTAGGCAGGAGGGTAAGGGAGGGAGAGCGAGGCAGGAGGGGTAGGCATGGAGAGGTAGGCAGGAGGGGGAGGGAGGGTGAGAAAGGCAGGAGGGTGCGGGAGGGAGAGGGAGGCAGGAGGGGGAGGGAGGGAGAGGTAGGCAGGAGGGGGAGGGGAGGGAGAGGTAGGCAGGAGGGGAGGGAGGGAGAGGGAGGCGGGAGAGGAATGTTTGGAGAGGGAGGCAGGAGGGCTGGAGAGCTGGGAGACACTCCCTCCATTGGGGATGAATGAGATTACACTTTTATCACTGCAGGGAGCAACACTCCCTCCCTTCCCCCTCCCTCTCTCTCTCACTCGCTCTCCCTCTCCATCCCTCTTTCCCTCTGTGTATCCCTCCCTTCATCCCTCTCCCTCCCTCTCTCCCCCCTACCCTTCTCCTGTCCTTCCTCCCTCTCCCTCTACCCATGAGCCTCGCTGTCTCTAGTGCGGCAGGAACTCACACAGTGCACTGGTAGTCAGATAAGCCTGGGTCAGAAACCGCCAGCCAATCAGATGTATTCTCAGAAAGAGTAAAGAGTAATTATATATATGTTATATTTTTCTTATGAATGTGAAATTCAGCAAAAACTTGGCCTCTCATCTCACCTATGTGATTGTCATTCTGCAGTACATCCCGGCAAGCCCACACAACAAACACACACACCACATCCTCTCCCCCAGCCCTGTGGTTGTTCCCACTGCAGTTGAGGCTGGCGAGAGGTGGCGAGAGAGAGAGAGAGAGAGAGAGAGAGAGAGAGAGAGAAAGAGAGAGAGAGAGAGAGAGAGAGAGAGAGAGAGAGAGAATCGGTGATGATAGATGGAGAGAGAAGGAGAGAATCAGAGATGAGAGATGATAGAAAGAGACTGAGAGGAAGATGGAGGTAGAGAGACAGAGAGAGACACAGAGATAGATGGAGAGAGAGAGATGAGGAAGAGAGCGAGAAAGAGGGAGGATAGGGCGAGAGAGAGAGGGAGAAAGTCTCTAAGAAGGTGCTCTCCCTCCCTCTAGCCTGCTGCTGTCATTAATAATGAAGAGTGTGGTCCCATGGATGGGAGTAGGAAAGCTACTGTACTGTAGGGAGGGCCTGACAGGAGTGTGTGTGTGTGTGTGTGTGTGTCTGTGTCTGTGTGTATGTGTCTGTGTGTGTGTGTCAGGGTTGGGCTCAATTCGAATTGAAGGCAGTCAAAATTGCATTTATTTTCAATGACTTCTCAATAAACTGAAACGTAGAATCTATTTATTTCAAACTTTTTTTTACATTTCTGAATTTTTAATTCACATCACTTCCTGAATAGACTGCCTTCAATTCCAATTGAGCCCAACCCTGGCATGTGTGTGTGTGTGTGTGTGTGTGTATGACCGTGTGTATTCAGATAACTCTAAAATGTCTCCTTTCCTTCCCTCCCTCCTTGAAGTCATCGCTGATCTAACATGATTTGATAGGCGAGATCAAGAGTTCCACTACGACCTAGCTTCTACCAATCCAGTCACGTCAGATCAGTGACCACTTTAAGGGAGGAAGGACAGGACACATTTCTACAGTATTGGAACGGAGCCCAAGGGCAGGGCAGGGGTAGGAAACCCTGGTGTGTAAGAGTTCACTGAAACACCTGATTCAACAACTCCACACCTTTATCAGTTGGATGTTACGTCCCTAAAAAGACCACTGATCTTAACCACATTCGATTGGTCAGTCTATGTCTAAAAACAATTGGTTTGATTTTGAGAGTTAATTTACCAATCACATAATGTTTTGTTTTGTATTCCCATTGTGATTGGTACTTGAACTTATAGGACGCCATGTTAAGAGATCACTGATCTGACCGAGTTGGATCGGTGAAAACAATGTTTCTACCCTTCTGCTTACAACAATCTCATTATGTCAAATCAGATTTCTCCTCAAGGATAGACAGATACACCTTTGAAGTATTCACATAAGGCATCATGAATCATCATCAATGGTTGTTTTCCCCCAGGGCAAAATGTCAAAGAGCTGGGAGGTGGTTCATGTGGACAGTATGTTGGATGGTGCGTAAAAGGCTTGTATGAGGCTAGACTGTATCTCTAAGGAAGAGAAGGCCTGGAGAAAGCATTATATTATTCTATTCCAGAGGTAGACTGATGATTCACATAGTTTAACACTCTGCTAGTGAAAGGTAATTAAATGGGAATCCAATAAATCCACTGTCATGTTTTTGAGGAAAAATAAATGACAATGGTGCATTGTTTTATCCATACAACATGAAGGGTCTGTTTCCAGGGGACAGATTAAGCCTAGTTCAGGAGTAAAAAGCAAGCTCAATGGAAAATCGCCATTGAAAATGCTTTTTAGTCCAGGTTAAATGTCCAGGTTAAATTTAGTACTCTATCAGCAGGCCTACTTCAGTAATGGCTAAATTGCTGCTACAACGCTGCAGTATGTTATGAGTCTTCTATACAAAATGATCTAATGCCTTAGTCCTGTAACTGCTATCAAGCTTTGGCTAAGCACTGAATACCCATTTTCCTGTATCTGCACTGTCATTGTTTTGATTTCTCTGTACATTTACCATATGTCCATTGTTCTACATTCAGTATCACACCCCCATCTGTTAACATCAGGTGTCCTTTCCCAGTGGTGTAAAGTACTTAAGTAAAAATATTTTTAAGTACTACTTAAGTAGTTTTTTGGGGTATCTGTACTTTACTATTTATATGTTTGACAACTTTTACTTTAACTTCACTACATTCCTGAAGAAAATAATGTACTTTTTACTCCATACATTTTCCCTGACACCCAAAAGTACTCATTACATGTTGAATGCTTAGCAGGACAGGAAAATGGTCAAATTCATGCACTTATCAAGAGAACACGTGGTCATCCCTACTACCTCTGCTCTGGCAGACTCACTAAACACAAATGCATCGCTTGTAAATTATGTCTGAGTGTTGGATTGTACCCCTGGCTATCTTTTAAAAACAAGAAAATGGTGCCGTCTGCTTTGCTTAATATAAGGAATATTAAATTATTAATACTTTTACTTTTGATACTTAAGTATATTTTAGCAATTACATTTAATTTTGATACTTAAGTATATTTAGAACCAAATACATTTAGACTTTTATTCAAGTAGTATTTTACTGGGTGACTTTCACTTCTACTTGAGTAACTTTCTATTGAGGTATCTATACTTTTACTTAAGTATGACAATTGGGTACTTTTTCCACCACTGTCATTTCCAAGCTTTCAGAGGGAATGCTGACTTCAAAACTACCCAACGTAACAAGATTACTAATAAGCCATTTGACACGCATACACACACACACACACACACACACACACACACACACACACACACACACACACACACACACACACACACACACACACACAAACACACACGGCTCCCACTTCCCACACCTAAACAGAAAGAGAAAAATATCCATCGGGCTGAAGCCTGAAGCCCATATTTAACCAGCCAATGTGCCGAGCGTGCAGTAGCAGTTTGGGCCTAGCAGTCAGTCCTATTACCTGGAGAGGCCTGCACGGCCAATAAAAGCCTATAACCCTGCCTCTCTCTGCCTCTCCACTCCACATAATTGTTTTACATCTGTTAAGCCTAACTTGCTTTTCTACTTACAGATCAGCATGAGTTGGCCATTGGTGATTGTACAAGATATACTTAAACAATAAGGCCAGAGGGGGAGTGGTATATGGCCACTATACCACGGCTAAGGGCTGTTCTTAGGCACAATGCAACACGAACTGCTTGGACACAGCCCTTAGCCGTGATATATAAACTCAGCAAAAAAAAGAAACGTCCCTTTTTCAGGACCCTGTCTTTCAAAGATAATTAGTAAAAGTAAAGGGTTTAAACACTGTTTCCCATGCTTGTTAAATTAACAATGAACAATTAATGAACATGCACCTGTGGAACGGTCGTTAAGACACTAACAGCTTACAGACGGTAGGCAATTAAAGGTCACAGTTATGAAAACTTAGGACACTAAAGAGGCCTTTCTACTGACTCTGAAAAACACCAAAAGAAAGATGCCCAGGGTCCCTGCTCATCTGCATGAACGTGCCTTAGGCATGCTGCAAGGAGGCATGAGGACTGCAGATGTGGCCAGGGCAATAAATTGCAATGTCCGTACTGTGAGATGCCTAAGACAGCGCTACAGGGAGACAGGACGGACAGCTGATCGTCCTCACAGTGGTAGACCACGTGTAACAACACCTGCACAGGATCGGTACATCTGAACATCACACCTGTGGGACAGGTACAGGATGGCAACAACAACTGCCCGAGTTACACCAGGAACGCACAATCCCTCCATCAGTGCTCAGACTGTCCGCAATAGGCTGAGAGAGGCTGGACTGAGGGCTTGTAGGCCTGTTGTAAGGCAGGTCCTCACCAGACATCACCGGCAACAACGTCGCCTATGGGCACAAACCCACCGTCGCTGGACCAGACAGGACTGGCAAAAAGTGCTCTTCACTGACGAGTCGCGGTTTTGTCTCACCAGGGGTGATGGTCGGATTCGCGTTTATTGTCGGCGGAATGAGCGTTACACTGAGGCCTGTACTCTGGAGCGGGATCGATGGAGGTCCGTCATGGTCTGGGGTAGTGTGTCACAGCATCATAGGACTGAGCTTGTTGTCATTGCAGCCAATATCAACGCTGTGCGTTACAGGGAAGACATCCTCCTCCCTCATGTGGTACCCTTCCTGCAGGCTCATCCTGACATGACCCTCCAGCCTGACAATGCCACCAGCCATACTGCTCGGTCTGTGCGTGATTTCCTGCAAACAGGAATATCAATGTTCTGCCATGGCCAGCGAAGAGCACGGATCTCAATCCCATTGAGCATGTCTGGTACCTGTTGGATCGGAAGGTGAGGGCTAGGGCCATTCGCCCCAGAAATGTCTGGGAACTTGCAGGTGCCTTGGTGGAAGAGTGGGGTAACATCTCACAGCAAGAACTGCCAAATCTGGTGCAGTCCATGAGGAGGAGATGCACTGCAGTACTTAATGCAGCTGGCGGTCACACCAGATACTGACTGTTACTTTTGATTTTGAACCCCCTTTGTTCAGGGACACATTATTCAATTTCTGTTCTCTCAGTTGTTGAATGTTGTTATGTTCTTACAAATATTTACACATGTTAAGTTTAATGAAAATAAACGCAGCTGACAGTGAGAGGACGTTTCTTTTTTTGCTGAGTTTATATATATATATATATACTACCAGTCAAAAGTTTGGACACACCTACTCATTCAAGGGTTTTCTTTATTTTTTAATGTTTTACATTGTAGAATAATAGTGAAGACATCAAAACTATGAAATAATGTCACGCTCTGGCTCCGGGACTGTGTATTTTGAGCCAGGGTGTGTTCATTTGGTTGTGTTGTATTTGGTTGTGTTTCATTGTTTGGTCGTGTGACTCCCAATCAGTGGTAACGAGTGTCAGCTGTCGGCTCGTTATCTCTGATTGGGAGCCATATTTAAACTGTCAGTGTTCACCTTAGTGTTGTGGGTTTTTGTTCCTTGTCAGTCATTGTAACGGAGGACTTCACGTTTCGTCATTGTTTGTTGTTTTCGTGTTTAGGCTTTAATTTAATAAAGTCATGTTCACCTTCAACGCTGCGCATTGGTCCTCCTCATTAGACGATCGTGACAGAAAAACCCACCAAGATGGGACCAAGCAGCGTGTCCAGGAGCCGTCGCCAGGGAGATCCCTCACAGATCTCCTTCGCCTCCTGGACTGGGTCAAGCCGAGTGAGGAGGAGAAGGGCTTGACACTATGGCAGAAGGGCGAGAGGCTGGCGAGGGATATGGAGACCTGGTCCACGGGTAGGAGAGACGCCCCGAAAATTTTTAGGGGGGGGCTCACGACGTCGGACCAGCAGGAGGCCGCGATAGAGCGGCCCAGTGGGTTGCCGGAGAAGGCCGCCGGGTTACGGGGGCCACTGGTCGAAGAGGGGATGGAGGAAGTAGAGGCACGGCGAGAGGTACTGGCGTGTGTTGCCAGTCCGGTCCGGCCCGTTCCAGATCCCGGTGTAGGACCAGTGGTGTGTGTCCCCAGTACAGTCCGGCCCATCCAAGCTTCCCGCACCAAGCCAGTGGTGTGCGTCGTCAGCCCGGCTCTGCCCGTTCCTGCTACTCGCACCAAGCCAAGGGTGCGAGTCGTCAGCCGGATTCAGCCCATTCCTGCTACTCGCACCAAGCCAAGGGTGCGAGTCGTCAGCCGGATTCAGCCCATTCCTGCTACTCGCACCAAGCCAAGGGTGCGAGTCGTCAGCCGGATTCAGCCCATTCCTGCTACTCGCACCAAGCCAAGGGTGCGAGTCGTCAGCCGGATTCAGCCCATTCCTGCTACTCGCACCAAGCCAAGGGTGCGAGTCGTCAGCCGGATTCAGCCCATTCCTGCTACTCGCACCAAGCCAAGGGTGCGAGTCGTCAGCCGGATTCAGCCCATTCCTGCTACTCGCACCAAGCCAGGGATGCGAGTCTTCAGCCTGGTGAGGCCTGTTCCGGCTCCACGCACCATGCAAAGGGTGCGTATCGTCTGCCAGGTCCGGTCCATTCCTGCCTCACGCGCCAAGCCAGGGGTGCGCATCGGCAGTCCTGATCCAGCTAACTGGGTCAGATCGGACTGGGGACACTGCGGGGGGATTGTAGTAGGGTGGTGGTCAAGCCCGGAGCCGGAGCCGCCTCCGAGGAGCAATACCCACCCAGCCCTTCCCTATTTGGGGTGTATGCGCGGTCGGAGTCCGCGCCTTTAGGGGGGGGTACTGTCACGCTCTGGCTCCGGGACTGTGTATTTTGAGCCAGGGTGTGTTCATTTGGTTGTGTTGTATTTGGTTGTGTTTCATTGTTTGGTCGTGTGACTCCCAATCAGTGGTAACGAGTGTCAGCTGTCGGCTCGTTATCTCTGATTGGGAGCCATATTTAAACTGTCAGTGTTCACCTTAGTGTTGTGGGTTTTTGTTCCTTGTCAGTCATTGTAACGGAGGACTTCACGTTTCGTCATTGTTTGTTGTTTTCGTGTTTAGGCTTTAATTTAATAAAGTCATGTTCACCTTCAACGCTGCGCATTGGTCCTCCTCATTAGACGATCGTGACAAATAATACATATGGAATCATGTAGTAACCAAGAAAGTGTTAAACAAATCAAAATATATTATATATATTTGAGATTCTTCAAATAAAAATACAATGTAGAAAATATTAAAAATAAAGAAAAACCTGGAATGAGTAGGTGTGTCCAAACTTTTGACTGGTACTGTGTGTATATTATTTTCTATCCTTTATTACTTTCCAACCCCACCACCCCTCCCCTAATTGGAGTAAACGAGCTTATACATGTACATTTTATGGACACAGTCAATTTTACAATCATTCTATTTTGTTTGTTTTTACTCCTGAACTTCCTCTACCCTCAACCTCTCCGATCATTTTCATGATGTCCATCCGGTTTGCTTCTATATGCCGTATCTTTCAAACTGTGCTCTTTCACAAAAGTTCTCAACCTATAACCTATATACTTATTATGGACACAGTATGTTTTACATTAGTTTTGTTATTTTGTTGTTATTAGTAATTAGCCGTGGTATATTGGCCATATATCACAAACCCCTGAGGTGCCTTATTGCTATTATAAATTGGTTACCAATGTAATTAGAGCAGTAAAAATAAATGTTTTGTCATACCCGTGGTATACGGTCTGATACAGCTGAAGTCGGAAGTTTACATACACTTAGGTTGGAGTCATTAAAACTCGTATTTCAACCACTCCACACATTTCTTGTTAACAGACTATAGTTTTGGCAAGTTGGTTAGGACATCTACTTTGTGCATGACACAAGTAATTTTTCCAACAATTGTTTACAGACAGATTATTTCACTTATAATTCACTGTATCACAATTCCAGTGGGTCAGAAGTTTACATACACTAAGTTGACTGTGCCTTTAAACAGCTTGGGAAATTCCAGAAAATGATGTCATGGCTTTAGAAGCTTCTGATAGGCTAATTTACATAATTTGAGTCAATTGGAGGTGTACCTGTGGATGTATTTCAAGGCCTACCTTCAAACTAAGTGCCTCTTTGCTTGACATCATGGGAAAATCAAAAGAAATCAGCCAAAAAATTGTAGACCTCCACAAGTCTAGTTCATCCTTTGGAGCAATTTCCAAACGCCTGAAGGTACCACGTTCATCTGTACAAACAATAGTATGCAAGTATAAACACCATGGGACCACGCAGCCGTCATACCGCTCAGGAAAGAGACGCGTTCTGTCTCCTAGAGATGAACGTACTTTGGTGCGAAAAGTGCAAATCAATCCCAGAACAACAGCAAAGGACCTTGTGAAGATGCTGGAGGAAACAGGTACAAACATATCTATATCCACAGTAAAACGAGTCCTATATCGACATAACCTGAAAGGCCGCTCAGCAAGGAAGAAGCCACTGCTCCAAAACCGCTATAAAAAAGCCAGACTACGGTTTGCAACTGCACCTGGGGACAAAGATTGTACTTTTTGGAGAAATGTCCTCTGGTCTGATGAAACAAAAATATAATTGTTTGGCCATAATTACCATCGTTATGTTTGGAGGAAAAAGGGGGTGGCTTGCAAGCCGAAGAACACCATCCCAACCGTGAAGCACAGGGGTGGCAGCATCATGCTGTGGGGGTGCTTTGCTTCAGGAGGGACTGGTGCACTTCACAAAATAGATGGCATCATGAGGAAGGACAATTATGTGGATATATTGAAGCAACATATCAAGACATCAGTCAGGAAGATAAAGCTTGGTCGCAAATAGGTCTTCCAAATGGACAATGACCCCAAGCATACTTCCAAAGTTGTGGCAAAATGGCTTAAGGACAACAAAGTCAAGGTATTGGAGTGGCCATCACAAAGCCCTGACCTCAACCCTATAGAATATTTGTGGGCAAAACTGAAAAAGTGTGTGCGAGCAAGGAGGCCTACAAACCTGACTCAGTTACACCAGTTCTGTCAGGAGGAATGGGACAAAATGCACCCAACTTATTGTGAGAAGCTTGTGGAAGGCTACCCGAAACGTTTGACCCAAGTTAAACAATTTAAAGGCAATGCTACCAAATACTAATTGAGTGTATGTAAACTTCTGACCCACTGGGAATGTGATGAAATAAAAGCTGAAATAAATCATTCTCTCTGCTATTATTCTGACATTTCACATTCTTAAAATAAAGTGGTGATCCTAACTGATCTAAAACAGGGAATTTTTACTAGGATTAAATGTCAGGAATTGTGAAAAACTGAGTTTAAATGTATTTGGCTAAGGTGTATGTAAACTTCCGACTTCAACTGTATACCACGGCTGTCAGCCAATCAGCATTCAGGGCTCGAACCACCCAGTTTATAATGTACAATATATAATATATATAAATATATTACCTTTTTTATGCCTTAGGTGGTTGAGCAATATACTGTATTATTTTTCCCTTTTGATTAAATTCCATTCCGTTTCAGTGTTAGAAAATTCATTCTAGCCATTCTGTAGGCTGTCTGAATAATCTTTCCAAGTCCACCCCTGTGACGGACAGGTAATATTGTAATATCCTTCCTGATACTAGCCCCGTAACCCCCTTTCCTGTGTGTGTCTGTGTGTGTGTGTGTGTGTGTGTGTGTGTGTGTGTGTGTGTGTGTGTGTGTGTGTGTGTGTGTGTGTGTGTGTGTGTGTGTGTGTGTGTGTGTGTGTGTGTGTCTGTGTGTGTGTCTGTGTGTGTGTGTCTGTGTGTGTGTGTGTGTGTGTGTGTGTGTGTGTGTGGGTGGGTGTGTGTGTGTGTGGGTGTGTGTGGGTGTGTCTTGCTCCCCTCAGGACTGAGAGGACGTTTATCAGAGCTGCGTAGCTGGCTAACTGCTGCAATTTGCCCTCTGCAGAAAAGCTCAATTGACTTCAAATGCCTTCTATTGAGTTAGTGGCCATCTCTGGTTTCTCTCCCTCCCTCTGTCTCTGTCTCACTGGGAGTGTCTTTGGTGAGACTGAGGAACAGTTGTTAATGTCAAAGACTTTCAGCTAGGATGCTGGGTCCATTTGTTGAAAACTGTTATTGTCAGAACTGCCATGTTCTGTAAACTGAATTGTTAATTATTGTGTGCTGTCCCTGTCATTGAGTCATTCTGCAAGCCCAAAGATAGAAGACACATGAGCCAAATCTGGTTCTTCTCACCTGGCTAGAGACACTTTTATCTGGACCAAACTAGTCTTATTAGAACACTATAATAGAAAATGTAGCCTGCAGCAAGGACAGCCACCAAAATGTTGGTCAGTCACAACTTAAGTCAGACACAAACTCTGTGGAGGTTTCAGCCTCATAACAGCAGTGTAATGAGATCTATAAAAAACACCTTTAACATCTCAGTAGTTTCAACACAACCCTTTCCAAAACTTCTCTAGTTACTGCACTCTAAGAAAACAAAGGTGCTAAGTAGAACCATATATGGTTCTTCCGTTTGTCCCCATAGCAGGGGAACCCTTTTTGGTGCTTCATAGAACCCCCTGTAAAACTAATAACCCTTTTATCTTTGAAGGGTTCTTCCTAGAACCCTCTATGAGTGGTTCCACCTGCCTTATTAGCATTTACAATTATTTATGACAATACATAACCTATATCATAAGGCCTTTTTTTGAGGGCCTAGTTATACTCTAACACAGTGGTGTTAGGAAACTCCGGGTTTACAGGCCACATCGGGTCCTGTAAGTAACATTATGCTGGCTTGCAAAGTGATGTGTAATTCCTATTGCAATCCAGCCGGAGTTAGGATATCCAAGAATTATAACTTTTAATCCCTGCATCCTGCATTCAGAATGAATGCCAGGGTAGGGAAGATAGACTGAGAAGATTGTCTAAGTCATCTAAACTGGAGAAACCATCTCAGTAACAGGTGCAATAAATCTAACTACTAACAGATTGAATTAGTTGTAATGTAATCAACCAATGTACATGCAAAAACACAGATATTGAAACAAACAATTTTCGAAAATCAACCTGCAATAGAGCATGCTGGGAAATGAGTAAAAAGGACACAATCACACTAAACTCTGGTTATTAGAACCAACACTGGGGTTATTTTACACCACTGAGTGATAAGTTAATTGAATGTTATATTGAGAAAAAGTAACACTAGGTAAAACTGGCCAATTTGCTCTTTTTAAAATAAGCAGATTACTCAAACTCCTGATGTTAAAGTTTAAACACTGAGGTAAACACTAATGATCAGGCACTATTTAAAATATTTTGTATTTATTTTTATACAATAAAAAAGCGTATTCAGATTCAGAAGGGTTCTATGTAGAACAAAAAATAATTATTGCCTTCCAAAGAATCATCAAAAGAAACCTTTCTTCCAAAAATGGTTCTTAGGATGATAAAGGTTTTAGGAATACCTTTACCCTTTACCTTGGATGAGTAGCTGCTGCTTCTGCAAAAGCTAATGGGGATCCAAATGAACAAATAATGAACCCTCGTCTTCCAAAAAGGTTCTCCAAATGAAAACGGTTCTTGGTAGAACCCTATCCCTCAGCAAATAACCTTTTTGGAACCTTTTTTCTAAGAGTGTACATGACCATCCAAAAGTCCCTACAACCTCAATGCCTCTAAAAGAAACAGCACCTACAGCTTTGGATTTTGTTCGTCGTTGTGTTTGAGTGGCAACAGCAAAGCTCAAATTCCTTAAAGCCGGAGAGAAGTGGAGGCTGCAGAGCACTGAGCTGTGGCCTTACTGCAGTGAGGAGCGAGATAGAGAGGCCCACGGGACTAGACATGAACCACCAGCCTGGCAGTAAGACTATGGCTGCTCCATAAATTGCAACCTATTCCCTACATAGTGCACTACTTTTGACCAGATTTCTATATAAGGAATAGGGTGCCATTTGGGACTCAGACTACGAGGCCAGACACACTGGGGAGACTGCTACTGACTGACTGGCTCTGGCTGGAAAACCAGTTCGACGCCAGATGCTTCGACTGGATGACAATACATATCTGACCGCAAGCAGCTGTCTCCTCAGGGAGGTAGGACCGGCATTGAGAGGGAGATAGACATGAACATACCATCACACACATGCCCACTATACATTATGTACAGGTTATGTGCTGCAAAACATTTTTTATATAGCCTACATATTCAAATGTAGACAGTCACATAAAGAACCATCAAACATGTACCACTGATAAGAAACAGCTACTGTACGGATTTGAGCACACACACATCGCTGTAACCCTTATTCAGGGAGCTGTAGGAACCACATTGTACATCTTCCCATTATAGGCCAATTGTCTCGGTCCAGCAGGCTTCAGGTGACCATGGCTGGATATAATGATGTCACTGATAGCCGCTGCATTTATACGACCTATCCATCCATCACTTCAAGTGGAACAAGTGGAAATAGGACAGTGTCTCTCTCCTGAGTCCTGAGTTGAGAAAAAACGCATCCTTTGTAGTTTCTACTGTAGCCTATGTTGCCACGCCCAACATCTTGAATGAATCTCTGATGGTGAAGTTATTAAGCGTTGCTGTAAGCCTCATCTTGATTGAACAACCCATTTCCGTTCTCTTTGTTTTTGGTAAGACATATACTGTGCCCTCGGAAAGTATTCAGACCCCTTGACTTTTTCCACATTTTATTATGTTACAGCCTTATTCTAAAATGGATTAAATAAATAAAAAATCCTCAGCAATCTACACACAATACCCTATAATGACAAAGCAAAAACTGTTTTTTAGAAATGTTTGCTAATGTAAATAAATTCAAATAAAAAATAAATGTTCCTGTTTCCATTTATAATTCTTGAGATGTTTCTACAACTTGATTGGAGTCCACCTGTGGTAAATTCAATTGACTGGACATGATTTGGAAGGGCACACTCCTGTCTATATAAGGTCCCACAGTTGACAGTGCATGTCAGAGCAAAAACCAAGCCATGAGGTTGAAGGTATTATCCGTAGCGCTCCGAGACAGGATTGTGTCGATGCACAGATCTGGGGAAGGGTACCAAAAATGTTCACCAGCATTGAAGGTCCCCAAGAACACAGTGGCCTCCATCATTCTTACATGGAATAAGTTTGGAACCACCAAGACTCTTCCTAGAGCTGGCCTCCCAGCCAAACTGAGCAATCGGGGGAGAAGGGCCTTGGTCAGGGAGGTGACCAAGAACCCGATGGTCACTCTGACAGAGCTCCAGAGTTCCTCTGTGGAGATGGTAGAACCGTCCAGAAGGACAACCATCTCTGCAGTACTCCACCAATCAGGCCTTTATGGTAGAGTGGCCAGACAGAAGCCACTCCTCAGTAAAAGGCACATGACAGCCCACTTGGAGTTTGCCAAAAGGCACCTAAAGACTCTCAGACCATGAGAAACAAGATTGTCTGGTCTGATGAAACCAAGATTGAACTCTTTGGCCTGAATGCCAAGCGTCACGTCTGGAGGAAAACCTGGCACCATCCCTACGGTGAAGCATGGTGGTGGCAGCATCATGCTGTGGGGATGTTTTTCAGCGGCAGGGACTGGGAGACTAGTCAGGATCGAGGGAAAGATGAACGGATCAAAGTATAGAGAGATCCTTCATGAAAACCTGCTCCAGAGCGCTCAGGACCTCAGACTGGGGTGAAGGTTCACCTTCCAACAATACAACGACCCTAAGCACACAGCCAAGACAACGCAGGAGTGGCTTTGGGACATTTGTCTCTGAATGTCCTTGAGTGGCCCAGCCAGAGCCCAGACTTGAAACCGATCGAACATCTCTGGAAAGACCTGAAAATAGATGTGCAGCAATGCTCCCCATCCAACCTGACAGAGCTTGAGAGGATCTGCAGAGAAGAATGGGAGAAACTCCCCAAATACAGGTGTGCCAAGTTTGTAGCGTCATACCCAAGAAGACTCGATGCTTTAATCACTGCTAAAGGTGCTTCAACAAAGTACTGAGTAAAGGGTCTGAATACTTATTTAAATGCAATATTTCATTTTATTTTTATTTATTTTTATTCCATAAATTAGCAAACATTTCTAAAATCCTGTTTTTGCTTTGTCATTATGGGGTATTGTGTGTAGATTTATGAGGGAAAAAAACGATGTAATCAATTTTAGAATAAAGCTGTAGCGTAACAAAATGTGAAAAAAGTCAAGGGGTCTGAATACTTTCCGAAGGCACTGTTTACTGTATATATATATAAAAAAATACAACACAAAACACATACAAACGACAGCATACAGACTCACACAAACATCAACAACATCACCCCTGCCCAGACCTACCTGCCCACACCCCCATCTCCAGCGCCCTCATTACTCTCCGCCACATGGCCTCAAACTGCACCATTTTGTTTCTCTCCGTCGCACACGCACTTTCAACATTTAGATAATAAAGCATTTGACCTTTCCATTGTGTTAACGATGGAGGATTGGTTGATTTCCAGTTTTTAAGTACATGTTTTTTCAAGATGATTGATGAGGCAAGTATCATCCAACCCATCGGGTATCTCACTGCACCCTCATATGACATGTCTTGAAATATGCAGACAGACGGATTAAAAGTACATTTACATTTTAATGCTTCTGACAACCAACTTTCTAACTCCGCCCATAACTTTTGGACTTTATAGCATTCCCAGAAGTTATGGATTAATAAGTCATTGTTAGTTTTACACTTAAGACATGACTCTGCTGTTGTGCTGTAGAACTTGTGAATTGTGTCTCTTGTATAATACATTCTATACATTAGTTTATACTGGATTTAGTGTACATTTTAGTTAACTGTAATTTCGTTGGTTATGTTCCCATATTCCCTCCATCTTGTGCCAATATCAGTTATTTTGATTTTTTTCTAAGAGATTGACAGTTGGATAGGCTCTCTGCAATGTTTTGTATATCTTACCTATCATATGAATATTATTTTCTGACTCAAATAGGATTCCCTCAAGATTGCTCTGATGTCCAAAAGATTTCAAATCGAAATTTAATGTACTTGAAAATATCTACATTGGTCAGTCCAAAATGGCTTTTTAATTCTGTCATGGAAATAAGTACATGTCCTATTACCAAGTCATTTACGCTTTCTATGCCTTTAGTTTTCCATGTGGACCAATTTATCCGTGAATTCTGAAAAGCTATCCAAGGAAGGTTCCATAGGGTTGTGTTTTTAGGGTGTGATCTTGGTTCTTGTAGAATACGTTACATTTTCTTCCATATTGTAATAGTGCTCTTAACTATGAAGTTTTTTATGTTCTTAGCTTTATCCTTTGAAAATAGACATGTGAAAAGATTCTGGGGATGAGCATGCGTCTCTTCAATATGTACCCATTGTTCCTCTTTAGTGCATGTAGCCCTTTCCTGCAATCAATGATCAAAAGTGCCCTCTTTGGCCTCATGGGTGGAATGTTATTAATATTTTTCATAATTTCATCATTAACAAAGACTATTTCAAAAAAACAGAAGAAAATCCGGTGTTTCTATTTCAAACAGTTTTGTTATATTTCATTCTTCTGTGATGTATATCAAGTGTAATATTGGGATGCAAACTCAAAATTGAATACATTTTAACTCTATATCTGACATGGTACAGGTATCTTCTTTGTTTTAAGCTCATAACTATGAATGTGACGTTTATACTTTTGTTACAAAGTAGATTTGTTTAAGACTACCAATAATCACTCTGTGTGACCCTGAATAAGCCCACTGCAGTGAAAGGTTATAACTATATGTCACAAGTAAAAGCCTTGGGTCGCGAGTTGATACAATTCCAAGTCCGGAAGATTAAAACCACCCTCAGACTTAGGAAGATGTAATACCTTCCTTTTTATTCTATGAGTTTTATTTGCCCATATAAAGTATTTTATGACGAGTATACTTTTTAAAATAATGTCTTTGGTGGGGTAATTGGTATTACCGAGAATAAATATAAAGACTTTGGGAGTCATGCCATTCTGAAGAGGTTTATTCTACCTGTAAGATGTATGGGAATATTGTTCCATTTAATTAGATCTGCTTTCATATTGTTCAGTAATGGGATAAAGTTATCTTTACATATGTTTTGTTTGATGTCACTTATTAAACATCTTAAGTACTTGATATTTTTTGTGGTCCACTTAAAGGATTTCTCTAGATCTTGAGTTACTTTTTTTATTTTGCCTATTGCCATTATTTAGTTTTTTTCCACATACATTTTATATCCTGAGGTTTTAGAGTATTCTGAAAATATTTTTTGCAAGGGGGGCATTGAGTTTTCAATATTGGTCAGGTACATCAGGTGACCATCTGCAAATACATTTAGTTTATGTTATTGTTTACTAATACGGATACCTGTTAGGTTTGGGCCCTGACTAATTATTTCTGCAAGCAGTTCAATTGCCAGTGCAAACAGGAGGGGGGAGAGAAGACATCCATGTCTAAAGCAATTTCATTAGATAATGTATTATTTGTGTATATTTTAGATTGAGGACATTTATGTAATATTTGTATTAAATGTATTATTTCAGCTGGAAGGTTGAAAGCTTCCAATGTTTTGAATAGAAAAGGCCATTCAAAACGGTCAAAAGCCTCTTTGGCATCAACAGCCATTATTGATAAATCTTTATCTTGTTTTTTATTGTATTGTATTAAACTGAAACATGTTCTTGTATTTGTTTGGAAGTGTCTATTTTTAATAAAACCCTGTTTGATTGATATGTATAAAGTCTGGTAAGACTTTTGTCATTCTGTTGCTTATGAGATTTGTTATTATTTCCGTTCTCAGCGGTCTCTATGAACTCTATAAGTATAGATTTTAAATGCTTTGAATTTTTACGACACGACCACAGCATTGATTGTGTCCAGCACAAGAGATTGGCCACCATAAAGCCGCGTGCACACAGGTTGCATCATTACATTGCTGTCTGGTACATTTTACGTAGTCTTCGCAATCCATGCGCTGCATCACAACAAAAATAATCACGCTACACATTAGCAACTTCTTCTGTGGTTTATCTACTTCCGTGTCTGATACCGCACGGCAAAGCAACGCACACAAGATGGAAAATTCCAATGCATGCGACACACTGCCTGCAGTGCCACACACCGTAACTCCGGCAGATGAGTCACAGCACTGCCTCCCATTGAAATTAATGGACTTCCACCAGAACGCATACAGTGTACACAACCAGTGTGCGTGAGGCTTAACACCTTAGCCTACCTACACTGTGCCTCTCTTGGGGCTATGGAAGTCATGATATTTTGTCAGACGGTTATTGTCATGCAGAAGTTTTCCGGTCTCACGGTAAAGTACCGTTAATTAACATAAACACGTTTAGCATCTCCAGGACACCACACATACAAGCCGCTGATGCGTGCCTTTGTAACATCTACATTAAAAAAATTATATTCCATAAATTTAATATACACCATAACAATAAATCCATTATTTATTTTAGGCAGGTCTAAAGAAACATTATGATATGAAGAACATTTATTTCAGAAGAACGAATATGAGTTGGCCTACTGTATGTTATCTGGCTATGCCATAGGCTGTAGGCTTGTTCATTTAGCAGACAAGATATGCTTATAAGTCCTGTGCCATTATTTTATATTATACCACAGCATTGTTGAATACTCGTTTCTGATTGGCTAGAAGGGCATTCTAGAATGGACATTAAAACCAGATAACGGGTCAGTTGGAAAAGATGTCGGGACAGTTGGAAAAGATATTGGGACATCTTGCAATCATGACGCAATAAGCGCCTACACATGCAGACCATACTTGCTACAAAGTTACAGAAAGCTAAACCAACAACCACACAAACCGAAATTGGATACATTGTAAACGCAGGTCCAACAAGGAAAAACTTGTTTTTGCAGAGACATATTTATTTTGAGCATCTGATGACGTAACGTGGTGAGTGATGAACATTAATTTCTCTGGTCCTTACTGCAGTGTTGCAGTCATGATGCAAGTGGCGCTATGCTGTCAAATCCTCCCACGTTTCTGGAAGGACCAGCTGTTTTCAGCAACTGATTTTTTTGGGGGGGGTTTATTTGGTCATATTGGCAGCTTTGCTAGCAACAAACTATTTAGCTAGCTTCTAGCCTAATTGTGAATTTGCAGTGCGATCTCCTCGTAATTAACAGTGTCGAGTGTCCTGACGAGAAGGCAAACTTTTCTAGCTATGCCAGACAAAATCGGGAATTATCAGCTCATTGTTATGGATGTATCCAAATGAATGTCAATAGAAAACAGCTACTTGGCTAGCTAGCAGCAAGCAAGGGATAAGAACGTTGCCACTGAGCATGGCAACGGCACATAAAGAACGAACGACGGGGTCGCGTCCATAAATATTGAACTAATCGAACGAACTACTTTTTACTGCTCTAATTACGTTGGTAACCCGTTTATAATAGCAATAAGGCACCTCGGGGTTTGTGGTATATGGCAAATATACCAGGGCTAAGGGCTGTATCCAGGCACTCTGCGTTGTGTTGTGCAAAAGAACAGCACTTAGCCATGGTATATTGGCCATATACTACACCCCCTCGGGCCTTATTGCTTACTTATAGCCATGGTATAAAAGTGATAATCAACTCGGGGCTCTATGTAATCTCTGGAAAATAATGCAACTCTGTGGAAGATCAGTTCCACTGTCACGCCCTGACCTTGAGAGGCCTGTTGTCTTTAGTTGGTTTGGTCAGGGCGTGAGATTCTATGTTTTTGTTCTAGGTATTGTATGTCTATGTTTGGCCGGGTGTGATTCCCAATCAGAGACAGCTGTCGCTCGTTGTCTCTGATTGGGGATCATACTTAAGTAGCCTGTTTGCCTACCTTAGTTGTGGGATCTTGTTCCGTGTGTAGGCTTGTATTTGTATAGCCTGAGGACTTCACGTTAAGTTGTTTCTTGTTTTGTTTATGTTTATGAAGTTTAATAAACATGTTCGCATACCACGCTGCACCTTGGTCTGACCCGTCTCTCAACGACCGTGACAGAAGATCCCATCACCAACGGACCAAGCAGCGTGCCCAGGAGGAGCAAACACCCTGGACACAGGTGGGGAAGATGTGGTCTTGGGAGGCCAGGCAGGAGAGGAGAAACGGCGACCCAAAAGGACTCGGCCGAGGAGGAAGTCCGAGAGGCAGCCCCAATAAAAAAATGTGGGGGGGCTACAGGGGTGGTCAGGGAGCGAGCGAGAAGAGCCGCGACCACTGCACCCGGTGGGTTTCCAGTTTGAGTCCCTACGACCATGGGAACAGGAATGGGAACAGTTTTATACTGAGGAGTCGGAGGATGACGACGACGATGAGTTTCTGTTCCCTAACTCGTGGGGGCTCCCGGAGGAGTCCTCACTGGAGGAGGATTGGGCGCGGAGAGTAAAGGACTGGTACAGTCGTAGACCTCCAGCGCCGGTTCCCAGTCCGGAACGCCTCGTGCCTGCTTCTCGCACCAAGCCAGTGGTGCGTGCTCCCAGTCCGGTAAGATCCGTGTCTGCTCCTCGCACCAAGCCAGTGGTGCGTGTCCCCAGTCTGGCTCGGCCCGTTCCTGCACCTCGCACCAGACCTGTGGTGCGTGTCCCCAGTCCGGTACGGCCCGTCCCTGCTCCTCGCACCAAACCAGTGGTGCGTGTCGTCAGCCCAGTACGGCCCGTACCTGCTCCCCAGCACCAAGCCAGTGGTGCGTGTTCCCAGTCCAGTACGGCCCGTCCCTGCTTCTCGCACCAAACCAGTGGTGCGTGTCGCCAGCCCGGTACGCCCCATACCTGCTCCCCGCACCAGGCCAGTGGTGCGTGTCTCCAGTCCGGCCCGGCCCGTGCCTGCACCTCGCACCAAGGCAGTGGTGCGTGTTCACAGTCCGGTACGGCCCGTGCCTGCTCCTCGCACCAGACCAGTGGTGCGTGTCCCCAGTCCGGCCCGGCCTGCTCCACCGGTGCCTGATCCGGCTCCGGTCGGTTGCCCCATTCCGGAGTCAGAGCAGTCCGCTCCACCGGGGTCCAGTTCAGCTCCGGTCAGCGGCTCCATTCCGGAGTCAGAGCAGTCCGCTCCACCGGGGTCCAGTTCAGCTCCGGTCAGCGGCTCCACTCCGGAGCCAGAGCAATCCGCTCCACCGGGGTCCAGTTCAGCTCCGGTCAGCGACTCTACTTCAGACCCAGAAGTCAGCCCCTCTCCAGGGTCGGGGCCTCCCACACCAGGGTCCAGACAGGGCTTGGTGCATCGTGGGGGGATTGCCGATCCAGGCCCAGATGTCAGCCCCTCTCCAGGTTCGGGGTCTCCCACACCAGGGTCCAGACAGGGCTTGGTGCATCGTGGGGGGATTGCCGATCCAGGCCCAGATGTCAGCCCCTCTCCAGGTTCGGGGTCTCCCACACCAGGGTCCAGACAGGGCTTGGTGCATCGTGGGGGGATTGCCGATCCAGGCCCAGACGTCAGCCCCTCTCCAGGTTTGGGGTCTCCCACACCAGGGTCCAGACAGGGCTTGGTGCATCGTGGGAGGAAGGAGAGGGGAAGCATCACGCCAAGGTCCAGACCAGACATGGGGCGCAACGGAGAGGCAGAGAGGAAGAGGTCGTCACGCCCGGAGCTGGATCCGACTCCGAGGCTGAAAGCCCACCCGGACCCTCCCCTAATGAGTCAGGTTGGTGCGGCCGGAGTACGCACCTTTGGGGGGGGGGGGGGGGGGGGGGGGGGGGGGGTACTGTCACGCCCTGACCTTGAGAGGCCTGTTGTCTTTAGTTGGTTTGGTCAGGGCGTGAGATTCTATGCTAGAAATTCTATGTTTTTGTTCTAGGTATGGTATGTCTATATTTGGCCGGGTGTGATTCCCAATCAGAGACAGCTGTCGCTCGTTGTCTCTGATTGGGGATCATACTTATGTAGCCTGTTTGCCTACCTTAGATGTGGGATCTTGTTCCATGTGTAGGCTTGTATTTGTATAGCCTGAGGACTTCACGTTACGTTGTTTCTTGTTTTGTTTATGTTTATGAAGTTTAATAAACATGTTCACATACCACGCTGCACCTTGGTCTGACCCGTCTCTCAACGAACGTGACATCCACTCCGCTAGCGTGGTGAGATATTCTGTAGCTAAAGGTAATGTGTCAGCCTGTTAATTATGAAAATATTTTATAAAAAATGGGTTTGGGCTCATATATAGGCCTATGCATTTGCATAAGCTATAATATGCATATGGGTGTTTTGAATTAATCATCACCTTAGAAAGCACTGTCCATTTCGTTGTGTTAGGCTTTGAAACAACATCCACATCGACCATGTTTTCCACTCAGTTTCAACCTGTTGTTGAACTTGTTGAACTTCTTTCTTCAAATTGATCAATCCAACACATTATTACACACATTTCATTGATTTTCTTTCTTTATAACGCATTTGTGTACACAAATTCCACTTTGTTGTGGCTAACATTAGCTAGGCTATCTAGATGGCTAATGTTAGTTGGTTACTACTAACACATGTCCAGAGTGCATAAGAGGAGATTACCATGACTCAACAGTCACATCGAATTTTACTGCGGTCATGACTGGTGTGGCGGTAATACAGTCACCGCAACAGCCCTAGCCTCTCTCCATGTGCTATTTAATTAATTGTAAAATAAAAGACAAATTGGAGGGTGATGGATATGTCATGTGATCCCAGTTTTCGCGATCCCTCCGGATTTAAGCAGACTGGATGCACTTAATGTTGTGCTTGCATTACAACACCAAATGATGTTGTTGTCCATGTATGTTTCTACAGAATACATTGTACTTGGATATCAATTGAGGTAAGAATATTGCTATTTTTTGTTTACGACCGTTTTTTCAGTGAGGTCATTTTTATCCTTCCAATATTTGCCAAGTCAGGGCTTAACCGGCCATGTACACTATACAAGCAGCACTCACCTACTCATGCTAGCCTCGCCCTCATGTGGGTGCTAACAAGCTAGCAAGAAAGCTAGGTTGTGCTACGTATCAACCACCATTGTCAGCCAATCCAGTAGGGGTTGGAAGCTATGGTGAGCTTCGATTAGTCACTCAGGTCACGTTATCTCGCTTTGCTTCCGTTGAAAGCAAATGGCTTCCGATGTTTCACCGCACTATGTCTCTTCCTAGTGTAAGTGGCCTCTAAATTGCCCCCATTTTTTGGCACCAGAAACACTGTTGTTTAAAAACAATATAATTCTGGTCAACATCCTCATTAATAAATCTGCTGCAACAAAGCCTACATCAATGTGCCAACACCTGCCATATTAGTGTCTAGCTGGGACATCATGGAAGATGCATGGCACCCGGTACAGGAAGTGCAGGTATGCTGCAGATCTTTTCTTAATGAAGCAGCAGGAGTGTAATTGAGTGGGCCCTCACCCCCCTCCCTTCCCACAAGGTAGGCTAAAGACAGTTGAAAAAATACTGGGAACGGAAATGTGATCGATATACTGTCCTTTTCCCTTTATCATAAAATGATTTGTTGAACAGTTGTAGATTTAGGGCTCTATTCAATCCATATCGCGGAAATTCAGCGTTACAGCATGATTGAAATGTTAAGATAATGTTCCCGTGTTAGCAGAGATCGCATTCAAGGTAAACACTGCATATGTTGGAAAAATCGGAAATTACCTTTACAGTTCTAGCGTGGAATCTTTAACGCTTCAGCGATACAGCTTGTATAGAGCCCTTAGGCCTACACTCGATCATGAATGGGTAAAAAGGGGCTTTCGAATTCAACTGGGCTATAGGGCTACGATTTAGTGGCAAAAGGTCGTAGACCTTACGCTGTTTGAGGTTATTACTAGTGTTAATATCCTAGGTCTATTTTAAATATTAATTGCAAATAATGATTCCCTTATCCCGCAATGTTTTCTATATCAATACAGCATGGACAGTGATGAACAGTGAATTGACAAGAAACGACAGGCGTTTTTAGACCCCACTTTCCTAGACAGACAATAGATATCCACTTACCATAATTGAAAATACCAAAGCAACAATGCTGACGGGCCAGACAGGGCAGAAGCAGGACAATATGACCAGTATGAGATAGTCTTTGGGCTTTTGCGCCTCTTGGACCGCGGCATTCCCGATGGAAGAGGTGCAACTGCGACTCAAACTGACCCGGGACGGGGAAAGGGGGGCAGCGGCCAGGTGCCCTGCAGAGCCCGACCTAAAGGGCACACTGTGGCCGTTCTGGTCTACATCCAGGTTCTTGTCGCTCCCCACGTTGACCGTGAAGGAGGAGGACATTTTCATACCGTTGCCCCCAGCGGGCTTGGTGGTCACGGTGCTGAGAAGTTTCTCCGTCTCCTGAGACTCGTTGGCGGGCGCGCCGCGGCTCTCTCCCAGGGTAGATTTCTCGAATTCAGTGTCTATGTTGATTGCCATTTCTTCAAAATCCAAAATATTAAAATTAGTTTCCAATAGAGGAAAATAATGCCTACTTGTGTAAAGTAATAAGACTGGTTATAGTGGTGCTAAATTCCAATTCTTTGACCTGATAAAAAAAAATATTTTAATCGTGCCAAGATTAATTATCCAATTTATTTCGATTTTACAATAAACTCTAAGACTATGACTATCCAATGTAACCAATTACGTGGCAAGTTGATATGTATACTAATGCAACACTTAGGTGGGCTATGTCATTATAAATCAACCCCTTTCAATTAGAGATAAAACATTTAGTGGTATTTTCCCGTTGGATTTTCGCATCATTCTTCCTCTAGAATCAAGAATGCCTTCCGTCTCAATTCCGCAGTTCCATTCAATCCACACGCGCTATCGGAAAGCGATCTCCTCTGAAATGTGCACACCCTCTCTCCATCTATAACGCCTGAGCCAAATAACAAATCACTCAGTGAAGCGCCTGTCGCCTGCCTTTTCAATCCCACCGCGACGCACAATTATTACTACCTTTATATCTCACTTAAATAAACGTTTTCTTTTCTCATTCAAAGTAATAAAGAAGGACGGAATACAGATGAGTTTATCTCAAATATACCCCCAGAAACAGAGAAAGTGAGTTTTGTGTCCTGTGTGTTGTTCCGCAACCGGCCGTGTGTCAAGGCTGTTTCTCACGCTGCAGCAACAGAGCCACTGGGTTGAACTTGTAGCAGAGCAGTGCGGCGCCCCCTCCCCACCCCCTTCCTCTCCTCCCCCTTATTTCTCTCCTTCCATCCTTCCCAACATCAGCACCACTATGGAAGCGCGCCAGGAGCAGGAGAGGCAGGGCGGAATCTCTCTGGCGCTTTGATCCCCGCGTGGGACGCCTCAAAACCTCTTCTAATATAGGCTAATATAGGCCACTTATACTATTCTAATTTGTCTAATTTGTGGAAATAGCATTGATGATCTTAGGTTTGTTTGTGTAGATTTGCTCAATGTCCTGAGGACACGCTTGATTGAACACGTGTACACCGTATGGTAGGAATGTTAATTGTCTTCCACTAGGCTCCCTTTACGCAGCAGGTCAGGAACCTGATATAGCCTACTGGTAAATTAATACCAAATCAATAACCTACCACGGGGGTTGGTTTTATTTGTGGATACTGACATAGAAACTTTGTAGTTCAACCTTGAATTTAGGCTTCCATCCACATTCTGTATCAACTAATTATAAACAGTGGGTAAATGTTTTCAGATACAGCATTTAAAGCTGTAACTAGATTGATACTATGTATAGCCCTAAAGTGCTACATGTTATGATAGCTGATAGCACTATGTTTTCTGCTGCTATGGTCCAAAATGAGGACCTATGACAAGTGAGGGCAGTTGGGTGTTGTCTGTTTTTGTGTCCTACACTCTTAGAAAAAAAGGTTCCTTATAGAACCCAAAAGGGTTATATTGCTTGCTTTATATATGGATCAGAACCCTAGATGTTCTTCTTCACTGAACCAAAATGGTTCCATACAGAACCCTGCATGGTGCCATTTATGAATTATGGCTACTACTATTAAATAGTAATATTTTTAGCTAACAATATAATTAAATGAACAATTGAATAATGGACAATATAATACCAGCATAGTTTTTAGAATGTATTGTCATTAAATGCAAAAATAGTTTGGAAATATGCACTGGTGGGCAGGAAATTTAGAGTATCATGTAGTAGCTTAAACCAATTGATGTTACATTGAGCTAGGTGAATGGAATATGAATGACAGTCATCCAATATGCTATAATAGAAAGAAGGCCATGCTCCAAAAAATTATCGTCCTCCCTCATCTTAAACAGCACCGACCGCCACTGGCAGACATACAGTATATAATTATTATGATGTAGAAGAACAATGCAGTGCTTTGCAAAAGTATTCATCCCCCTTGGCGTTTTTCCTATTTTGTTGCATTACAACCTGTAATATACATTGATTTTTATTTGGATTTCATGTAATGGACATACACAAAATAGTCCAAATTGGTGAAGTGAAATGAAAAAAATAACTTGTTTAAAAAAAATCAAAAAAATAAATAATGGAAAAGTGGTGTGTGCATATGTATTCACCCCCTTTGCTATGAAGCCCCTAAATAAGATCGGTTGCAACCAATTACCTTCAGAAGTCACATAATTAGTTAAACAAAGTCCACCTGTGTGCAATCTAAGTGTCATATGATCTGTCACATGATCTCAGTATATATACACCTGTTCTGAAAGGCCCCAGAGTCTGCAACACCACTAAGCAAGGGGCACCACCAAGCAAGCGGCACCATGAAGACCAAGGAGCTCTCCAAACAGGTCAAGGACAAAGTTGTGGAGAAGTACAGATCAGGGTTAGGTTATAAAAAAATATCTGAAATTTTGAACATCCCACGGAGCACCATTAAATCCATTATGAAAAAATTGAAAGAATATGGCACCACAACAAACCTGCCAAGAGAGGGCCGCCCACCAAAACTCACGGACCAGGCAAGGAGGGCATTAATCAGAGAGGCAACAAAGAGACCAAAGATAACCCTGAAGGAGCTACAAAGCTCCACAGTGGAGATTGGAGTATCTGTCCATAGGACCACTTTAAGCCGTACACTCCACAGAGATGGGTGTCCAGAAAAAAGCCATTGCTTAAAGAAAAAAATAAGCAGTCTTCCAGAGATTTGAGACTGGGACGGAGGTTCACCTTCCAGCAGGACAATGACCCTAAGCATACTGCTAAAGCAACACTCGAGTGGTTTAAGGGGAAATATTTAAATGTCTTGGAATGGCTTAGTCAAAGCCCAGACCTCAATCCAATTGAGAATCTGTGGTATAACTTAAAGATTCCAACTTGAAGGAGCTGGATAAGTTTTGCCTTGAAGAATGGACAAAAATCGCAGTGGCTAGATGTGCCAAGCTTATAGAGACATACCCCAAAAGACTTGCAGCTGTAATTGCTGCAAAAGGTTGCTCTACAAAGTATTTACTTTGGGGTGGGGGGGGGTCAATAGTTATGCACGCTCAAGTTTTCTGTTTTATTTGTCTTATTTCTTGTTTGTTTTTCGAAAAAAAATATATTTTGCATCTTCAAAGTGGTAGGCATGTTGTGTAAATCAAATGATACAAACCCATAAAAAATCAATTTTAATTCCAGGTTGTAAGGCAACAAAATAGGAAAAATGCCAAGGGGGGTGAATACTTTCACAAGCCACTGTACATGCAGTTGTTGTCAGCAGCAGCCGAAAGAGAGATCCTCTGCCTCTGATGGTTCTGGGTTACTGCCAGACGGAGCAAAACATAGATAGTGTGTTAAAAGTTATGTAATGATTAACTAGGCTATTGAATCACCAAGACTTATTATACATAATATATAATAAATAATTTATACATACCTCTCAGTGAGCAACAGTCTTCAAATGGCTTCATGAAACATAGTCCCCTCAATTGACTCCATACTGAAATACTGAAATAAAAGTAACAATTAGCTAATTGTCAATGTCAGGCTGGCTCTGTAGCTCTATTTGGCATGTCCCATAATAAAAAATCATGTTTATTTAAAAGAGTTAGCTGGCTAACTTATAAAGTGGCAAATTAAATTAGCCTAGCTATATTTTTCTGTTTAGCTAGCTAAGTTAGCTAGCTAGCTAGCTTGCAAACATGCTCAAATTCTAATAGAGTTGTAACTTTTTTTTATCTAGCTTATCATATTACTTTGGCTTCATATATTTGAATAAAAAAATTAACTTTGCTTATCTTAATACATTGAAAAATAACGTGCTTATTGGTAGGCTAGGCCAGTGTTTCCCAACCCTGGTCCTCGAGTACCCCCAACAGTATCTTGGACAAGCACACCTGATTCAACTCGTCAACTAATCATCAAGTCCTCAATGAGTTGAATGAGGTGTGTTTGTCAAGGGCCACAACGAAACTGTGTACTGTTGGGTGTACTCGAGGACCAGAGTTGGATAAGAGCGTCTGGTAAATGACTTAAATGTAAACACTGGGCTAGGCTACTTGCAAGTTGGTTCAACCACCGTCCTCTTGCGTCATCATGCTGGAATGGAAGTTGATTTTTGAATGGGAATGGCAGTTACATTTTGAATTGATCAAAAGGTTCTATATAGAACCACTTTTTTATCTAAGAGTGTATAGTCCAAGTTGATATTCAGGTAATAATAAGGATTTACCCTCGACCTTGCCCACAAATTGGGGGAAACAAACATGATTTCCCATTGACCCCCAGTGTAAAAGAGCAAACTTCATCATCGATTTTTTGTTATACAAAAATAACAAAACATGCCGAAAAGCTGTGGTTGTCCAATGTACATGTAACAAGGTCAAAAATCCCAAACTATGGTTTGCAATGCTCCCATGTAGGGAAATAGAGCCTGCGAGAAGAGCCCTATGGCATCAGGCTATTCTGCGTGGGAGAGTGGGAAATGTGGGGCAAAAAAGTATTTAGTCAGCCACCAATTGTGCAAGTTCTCCCACTTAAAAAGATGAGAGGGGCCTGTAATTTTCATCATAGGTACACATCAACTATGACAGACAAATTGAGGAAAAAAATTCCAGAAAATCACATTGTAGGATTTTTAATGAATTTATTTGCAAATTATGGTGGAAAATAAGTATTTGGTCACCTACAAACAAGCAAGATTTCTGGCTCTCACAGACCTGTAACTTCTTCTTTAAGAGGCTCCTCTGTCCTCCACTCGTTACCTGTATTAATGGCACCTGTTTGAACTTGTTATCAGTATAAAAGACACCTGTCCACAACCTCAAACAGTCACACTCCAAACTCCACTATGGCCAAGACCAAAGAGCTGTCAAAGGACACTAGAAACAAAATTGTAGACCTGCACCAGGCTGGGAAGACTGAATCCGCAATAGGTAAGCAGCTTGGTTTGAAGAAATCAACTGTGGGAGCAATTATTAGGAAATGGAAGACCACTGATAATCTCCCTCGATCTGGGGCTCCA